GCTAGGTTTACCACTTCTGATTGATGTCACATATTACTTATATCTGTCAACATAAGTAGCATACACCACAATAGTAGTGCTCCTCAACTATACATATAAATTAACTCCTAGGAAAAAAACAGACTTTCATGATATACACATAACAGTTATAAATGAATGGTACTTGGAATTATTAATATTGAGATATTGTACTATGATTTTATCAGTTTTCAAATTTTATTGATTTTATCACAATTCCAAATTAAGCTATTCAATATGCACAAAGTTATTCATTGAAATAAGTCTACATCTATATGTATGTATAATTAAAAAGGTCAGTCATATGCTTAAATAGTTCTAAAACCACATTACTATCTATACTACTACTCCTACTACCATCACTACTACTAGTTAATAATAGTAGCTCTCTAATATTACTTATATTTTAGTTTAAAAGTAAAAAACATTTCTTAATTAATCCCATATACAATGAAAAAGTTTAATAGTCATTCTATTTATAATTAATGACTTACTAAGTATATTCATTACACGTGGTTACCTTTTTTAAAGAAAAATACCATTATTATTATGATTAATGTAGATTTATTGAATTTGACTAATTTTGTAGATCTTAAGTATCTAGTATGTTTTTGGCTTATTCAAACTGAAAATGAAATGAAAGTGAATATTATTTACACAGATTGAAATCATGAGTCAGTTGAAGCTAGACCACCATTGAAAACCTGGAAGCACTGGACGGGGTGCGGGATCGTGGATGCACACTGCTGAGGAGTCCCATGCTAGGACGAAACGGCCGTCCAGTGCTTCCAGGTTTCCAATGGTGGTCTAGCTTCAACTGACTCATGATTTCAACCTGTGAAAATTTCTAAAATCTCCACAAAACCCTTCTGAGAATATTATTTAAACATTAAAATAATAGTAACACATTTACTGTGGGATGTACTACTTATATCGATATAAGTAGTATATAAGTACTAGTTAGGAATAGAATGTTTAGCAATAGAAGGTCAAGAAGATCGAGAAAGAAAGAATGAAAACAGTAAGCAATTAGTATGGAAATGCATGATCACTGTCTTGTCTGTATATACATGTACGTTTGATCACATAACAGCCTGAGTGCATATCTCTCTCTAGAGTAAATGTTGATAGCTTAAATATTACTCGACGAATCATTCTCTTCCCCAAGTATATATGTACTGGAATCCTATCATTAGCCTTTGCTTTGCCTTGCTGCACCCTTATACAATTTGACTATAAATTTGCCTATTTAATTGCTTGTGTATTCTTACTCGCCTCTTCGCTTCAAATTCCATCGATGTGTTCATAAATTTGTTATCTGTGTTATCCGCCAATAAACTGTAGTTACTGCTTCTTATTACCTTCTGATTTTAAACACCGTTGAGATTTATATCATAACGGTTATCAAGGTGATTGATTAACAACGCAAAGCCACTACAAAAACACTAAACAGTAACAATGATTATATTGTATGATTTTCAAAAAAAATATCTGTAACAGTGGTAGTATTTGTAAAGATTTTTATTTTTCTGGTTAGCGTTTTTTTAGCGAGTTAGTTTTCTACGGAATAGGGTCGCTAACCCCATGCTCAACCCTCCTCCTTTATCCGGGTTTAGGACCAGCAGTAGACTCAGATGGGCTCCAGGTGAAGTTAAAAGTTTTTATACTTTTCTATTACTTATATGAAGGACTAAAACAAAATGATCAGTCTATATTGGCATATATCCATCTTAAGCAGATTGTTTCAATAATAACTATTTGTTCACAAGTATTTATTAAAATTTGATAATGACTAACAGTGATACTTAGGATGTGAATTTTATTCAATTCGAAATTCATCAGCATCCTATTGATGACGTTCATAATGAGACCCGAGATCAATACCTTCAGATCTAATCATCAAAGTAAATGCATATACATATACACACAGAGATATGAGTATGAATCCACCATCCCGCCCCGCGAAATTCGAACTCGACCTAACAGTATGGAGCGCGAACGCTTAACCTCCGGAACACTGAGCCGGCCGGCATCCAACGGTGTTCATGTCTAACTTCAACTAATCCATGAGATTGAGCGACACATCCACCATTGTCATCAGTGAGTTACTATCTCACAACAGACCCGGTTGAACTCCACTGATCACAGCTTTTCATTAGAACACCAGGAAATACCTCTTGAAGCCAGTCACTAGTGAGCATATGTTGATCTATAGGTCTAGAGGTTAAGCAAGGTGAGGTCGTGGATGTGCACTACAGAAGAGTCCTACAATAGAAATAAACGGGCGTCCAGTTCTCTCAGTTGGTCTAGTTCCAATTGACTCATGATCTCAACTATTGATATAATTTTTAGTTTAAGTGAAAGTTTGTTGGGGAGATCAAGAAAATTCTCCGATAAAAAACCCAAAAAGTGGTTCTGAAAACGCTGAGAAATATCTTATCCAATCAGTATTCAGTAGAAGTTTTGTCAGAAACACCTAGAAAGTGAAAAACCACATATCGAGTCTCTGATTGGCTGATTACCTATACTACTACTATGTTTAGTAGTGTTCCAGAATTCTCCGAAAACCCAAGGATATCTAAAATACCATAGATTTTCTGTACATAAAGCGTTCTGTTCCATATCTTGCGCCTTTTCTCTCGTGTTCTAGTCGTTGTGTAGATTTAGCCCAGGGGTTACTTGAAGAGCTTAGTAAACCGAATCTAGCGTTCAGTTAGAAGACTTATCAATTTCTCATTCATTATAAATAAACTGATTGGCTCATATTTCGCAAGGTCGCTTATGATTCGTTCATAAATTAGTCTCGCCATTTATAGTTATCTAATACAGTATATTTGATAGAATATTAGTCAAATGTTCCAGATTCAGTTATGAGATGGTGGAGAAAATTTGTAGCTGAAGTGGATGATTTTGATGGAGTTTTGTTCTCTGAGCTGGATGGTTTGGTCGTTCGGAAGAACGATGAAAGCTTCACAACCAAACCTTCCAGCTCAGAGAACAAAACTCCATCAAGATTCAGTCATTTACAGCATTGCGATAGAATACATCTGTTGTATACCAACCAACCTAAGATAAAAATATATTTCACAACTTCTTAACTTTCAATTAAATAAAAGCACAAACCAATTTATGGTATAAAATAACATTAGAATCCGAGACTCATGTCATGTCCTATGTGAGACTCATCAGTTGAATGTTCACCCTAGAATTCGAACCCAACATTGTCCACGCTAAGCATTATCGCGTTAGAATAGTGAGTTTATTACATAAATACGAAATAAAAGTATAATGATACGAAAATTATTTGCTCATAGGTTTATACTGTAAAAATTATTCACTAAAGAGGTAACTCTTAAGTACATTGACGTATATAACTCTCTACTTATAATAGTAACTTTTTGTGTTTTATGTATAACCGGCAAAATTATATGATAGCAACAACCTTGAGGGAACCAATCAGATTTGAGATAGTGCTTGTCAACTTTCCCATAACATTTAAAAAAAAAACAACATAGGAAGAATAGTATGTATCTTATTAAAAGAAAACCCAGATAAAACTTGTCTTTAATTAGATTCTAAAGTGATTATATTTGTTAAAAACAAGTTTTATGCAAGTATATAGTGAATTTGATATGGTGCGTGTACTAAATTAACAGAAATACGTACTCTATAATCAGACTGTATCTCAAAGCAGATGATGTGATTCATGACGTAATCAATGATAGTTTCATGATGATAAAGTATTCTCAAACTCTTACTACATATTCTAGCTCTAGCACTCCGTACTTTAATTCCCTAAGCCCGATGTGCTAATCCTGATACTACTAACCCTAATTTCTTATGTTGGCACTACTAACTCTAATACATTTAACCCTATCACTTTTGACTTGGACTGGACTCTAGATTTTTAGTCGTAACCTTTCTTAGTTTAATAATAATGTTGGTTTTAAATTGCTATTTAACTATGTAGAGCTGAAGGTCTCATATGAGACTGGAGGTTCATCATTGATATTGTAGATGATTCGGCATTACTTTGGGAAGTTTTACTGACTATTCATGGTTTGCTGGTTAACCGATTTCATTCATACTGGTGGTTGCTTTTCAGTGTTCAGTTTCACGGGCGAACGCTTAACTATTAGACCACTAAGCCGGTCGGCATCCAACAGTGTTCATGTCTAACTTTAACTAATCCACGAAATTGGCGACACGACTTCTCATTAAAACTCCAGGATATACCTCTTGAAGCCAGTCACTAGTGAGCATTTGTTGATTAGTATCAGAAGGGATTTTGTGAATATTATAGTACTGGACAGCCATTCCGTGCTATTGTGGGACTCCTGAGCAGTGCGCATCCACGATGCAGCCTGACGAGATTCGAACCCAAGACCTATCGGTCTTGTGCGCGAATCCTTAACCTCTAGACCACTGATTATATAATTATCCGAGGGGTTTTGTGGAGATTGTAGTAATTTCACCAGTTGAGATCATGAGTGAATTGAAGCTCAACTGGCTTCAAGAGATATATCCTGGAGTTATAGTGAGAAGCAGTGACCAGTGGAGTTCAAGCCAGTCAGTTGTGAGGTAGTAACTCACAAATGATTGATCACTGGGTGGTGATAAATGTCATGCTTGTCTAGTCCTTATTAGTGCAGATCGAATGTTATCGAACTCACTGATGACAATGGTGGATGTGTCGCTCAATTTCGTGGATTAGTTGAAGTTAAACATTAACACCATTAGATGCCGGCCGGCACAGTGGTCTAGTTGGTTAAACGCCTGGTGCGAGACTGATAGGTCCTGATTTCGAATCCCGCGAGGCGGGGTCGTGGATGCGCACTGGCCATCCACTGCTTCCAGGTTTTAAATGGTGGTCTACCTTCAAATTGATTCATGATCTCAACTGTTGAAATATAATTATCCAATTCAATCACACACATATATATTTCTATCTATAAAACTATAAATTTACTTACCTTTTATAGATTTAACTATATTATTATTCTATATAAAAGAAAAGAAACCTTATCACGATTACAATATGCTTCAACCAGATGAACTTGATGCAATAGAAAAATTAAATGAATTATGTGAAAAAGAAGAAAAATTAGATAAACAACCATTAAAAAAAAATCATAAAAATCATCATCATGAACATCATAATAATAATTTATCATCTATATTTCGTTGTAGTGATACACGTACATTGAAAGCAATAAAAAATCTACCGAAAGATGAATTCAATACTACTAATACTACTACTGATACTACGACTACTACTAATACTACTACTACTACTACCAATACTACTAATAATAATCATAATAATAGTAATATAGATGATAATCATTTAATACCAACTGGTTTACCAAGAATTCAAACAAAAATTACTGTTAAAATATTAAAATATGATTGTTGTATCACAGTAATATTAGATCCAACAACTAAATTAAATACAATTAAAGCAATGTATGATTTAAATGAACAACTTATTATTATTGGTTATCAACGTTTAATTACATTAAAAACATTAGATCATTTACCAATGAAATTTAATGCAATTATTGAACAAAATAATAATTTAAATTATGATTTAACAACATACGTTGAACATAGATATAAAGTGAATTTAAATATGTATTATTTAAATTCAGCGCGTGTAAAACAAAAAAATAATATTGTTTATATTATTATACCGCGGAAAATTTAAATATATATATATATATATTCAATCACTATCATCATCATCATCATCATAATAATAATAATATGAATATAAACACATATTCTCCTCCCCACCCCTCCTATCTTTTTGTTGTTGCCATGACTAGTATTGAATGATTTCAATGGTTAATGTTGTTACCAAATATGATACATCAATTGAATATTGAACGATAGATGTATTAGAATGGTCAAAGTTCATTTATTTCTTTGTTGTTTTTTTTTCTTCTATATATCATACCGCTTGTATATGACTTAATTTTCTTTATATTGATTGTTTACATATCATTAGGTCTTTTTTTTTGTGGTTGTTAAAATGAAATATGTTGTTAATCACTTTTACATCATTATATAAATTGGATTTCGAAAGTGTGTAATTGTCCAATTTCAGATAATAAAAAAAAACGTTTTTTTTGTAAAGATCAGTTGTGTTTTCTTTCTTCTCTCAATATATTCTATCTGAATATGAATTATTTACATACTTACTTATGATTATTACACTTTGTAGAGTACTATAAGCTGCTCACCAACATTATCCATCCAATTTTGTTATAGACAATCCTCTACAGTTGTTTCTAGTTGATATTTATCCTTTTTATGTCTACTTCTAATTCTCTACGTAGTATGTATATTCTTCAAATTTCCTGTTTTCCGTTTTCCTTAACGATTTTTGGTAGTAAGCGTTTGGCTCGTGATACAGTTTGATGATTCCCGTAATGTATGTCATATACACCAACTCCATAGTCTCTTTCTAATTTCCTCCTCATCTGGAAACTGGTTTGTTATCTCCCACAGTAGGTTGTTGCTGATGGTGTTCATACAACGGACATTGAGCATATCGCGTGGACAAATGTTCATAAATACTTCTACCTTTTTGATGACGGTTGTGGAAGTTTCAGCTACGTACAGTAGAACTGACTGTGCTGACGCTTGTATTGAAGATTGTAACTTTGATATTGGTTGACAGATAGTTGTTTTGAGTTGCGTATTTTGTTTGTTCAATTGTATGAATGCTGTCCTTCCTTTGCCAATCCTCTCCTTTACGTCTGCATCCGATCCTCCTAGTTCATCGATGATGCAGCTGACCAGATATGTGAAAGACTTCACTTGTTCTCGAGTATGAATTACTTTTTCTGGTTAGCGTTCTAGAGTTTCGCCATCAAGTGTGATTACGTTGGTTTTCTATGTGTTGCATTTGAAGATCATCATTTCTCCCTTATGTATGTTGAGACTTACTGATACAGATGCTGCTGCTACACTGTTTGTCTTGAGCTGCATTTGTTGGTGTGTATGAAATAGAAGAGCCAGGTCATATACGAAGTCAGGATCGTATAGCTCCTTGCAAGCTGTTAATTATATTCTGTGCTTTCCGTCACATGCGGAGGTTTTCATAATCCAGTTAACCAGAGAAAGTGGGGGAGTAGGCAGCCTTGTCTGACTTGGAATGCACCTGCAAGCTGCCCTCCAGCATGATTACAACTCCTTGAGTGTGTGGAACATTTTCTTCTTCGTGACCGGATTACAGCAGCGTTTCTCCCGTATGTAGATTTTGCTGAATAGCTTGGGTACAATGGGTTTCTTTGATTCGGAGCACCGTCAAGTTGTATATCCCTATTTAGGCAGTTATTTGATTGGGTCTCTCGGTCTCCTATATTGTCCGGACGTTCCATGTGTTTATAAACATTGTCGCTGTTGTTGTTAGAAGGGGCATCGGCCTCGTGACTTCCGAAGGATCTAGATTTTCATCATGAGTCGTCATAACTGTTCCTTCAACTCGGAGTCCAGAGTTTAAATTGTTTATTTTTTTCTAACTAGCGTTTATTGAGCAAAATTGTTTTTTACGCGATGTGGTTGGTGACCGCATGCCCAATCGACCTCTTTTGTTTGGGCTCGGGACCGGCAGTAACTCTATAAGAGTTACAGGCAGAGTTGTAGATATGAATTATTGAAGTGCTATATTGTAATCAGTCAGTCAGAAACAACATACAACTTCGTACATACGTACATCAGTTCGAGTTGCCATACCACATTAGCACACACATACAATTGTCCATTCAAATCGCATAATGGTACAAGTAGTAAAAGTATAAGCAGTAATCGGAAACATTACGGTTTCAAGATGTTATTCAACCAGTATAATACAGTGAAATAAATTTGGAATGAGAAAAAAGAAAGGGTCATGAAGAATTCAGAAGATTAGAATTTGGGAGAACACAAAGATTGAATGAACGTGTGCCATCGCAAACCATTTTGAGCCATGTCATTCAAGGTCTCTAACCGTCGGTTGCTATCGTCTCACGGATCCCAACCAGGTAGTCTACACTTACAAACGTGACTCAGTCCACGTGACAGTGACTTCATGGATTTGTGCCATGTTTTGGTCTGGCCGCCCCTAGCTTTCTTCCAACCTAGTCCCCTACACCATAAAACATCGCACCTCGGGGCAGTCGGTGGTTGGGCATACGTAACATGTGTCCCAGCTATCTCAACTGATGAAGTTTCACTACTTAATCATTTGATTTGCCATCCTTACCTAGTACTCGCTTCCTAACAACTACATTACTTACTCGATGGTCCCAGGATATACGAGCAATGTTTCGAAGACACCTATGATCAAATACTAGTAACCTGAGAAGATCCTCTACTCTTACCGCCCATGTTTCACAGTCATAAAGTAGGATGGAATGGACTGCTGCGCAGTAAACACATCCTTTGGTTGGTGTCGGATATATCGCCTATGCCATAAATGACGCAAGTTGGCAATAGTTGCCTAACTTTCATTACTAATGGAGTTAGATTCTACCATTTGGTCCTCATTATAAAACAAAAGCATACAATATAAACCTTTACATTCAGAATGAAAAGAGCAAGAACAAAGATTCTAGCAGAATAGCATGAATTCATTTTATTTCGTAGGTTCTCGTCAGCTGCTTACAACCTGTGATATTTGAAAATCATAATTACATAATGGGTTTAAATTGCTAACTGAATATTGTAAATATATACCTAATGTGAAAGAATATTCTACAACATTAATTGTGACAACAGTTCAAAAGTGGGTTAGAAACAATCGATTACATAATGAATAACATTGAAGGAATGTAGTGAGTAGAGTTCAGTTGAAAGATTATTAATTTGAAAGATAGTTGAAAAAATTAAAATAAAGTCAATGATGTAAGAAATGCAAAACAAGGGAAAACAAAAGAAAAAAATTTTTTAAGGTGCAGTGAAGGAATATTTGTCACCAGGGCAAGGAAAGATTAACCACCGTCTCCTTTTGAATACATAGGTCAGGTTTTTGACGCCTGATGGCAATGGCTTCAGCAAACTTCAGAAGACTGGAGTTTGGCTGCTTACTAATCACCCTAAAGGATTGTAAGGTATCTACCTGATGTCCTGTATCGAGGAGATGTTTCGTGATTGCACTGTTCAGAGTCTTTCTTTCCCTTGTTCTAAGACTTTTTGGAACATGTTCAAAGAATCTAAGATATGCTCTCCTTTCAGTTCGGCCGATGTAGCTGCTTTGGCAGGTACACGTAAATTTATAAATGCAGTTGGCAGTAATCTGAAAGGGTTGCTTGTCGATCATTGATTGGGTCACTGAACATGTTGTTTTATAGAGAATTAAAAGTTTAGCAGCCGGATAAGTTCTGGCTAGCGCTGTATTCAGTCTTTTGTTGATAAGTTAAGATTTATATATACTGGCTTTTTATTGACCATAGTTATTACCGTCTTCTTTTCCTTGGGCCTTTTATATTTGTCAATAAACTTCTGTGGATAAAAGTTTTCTTTTAGACATTTTTCTACGTTCATTAATTCTTCTTCCAGTTTGTCGGTGGTACATATCTTTTCTGCCCTGTAAAATAGTGTTTTAACCAACGCCTTCTTGTAACTAATTGGACAGAAACTATTGAAATTCAGGTAAAGGCCATTCCAATTACTTTTTCTATAAATTGAACGTTGGACTGTCCCGTCTCCCCTGCGTTTTATGGCAACATCAAGAAAGTGGAACATGTCGTTCTGTTCGTGTTCCATAGTAAAATGTATGTTAGTATGAGCGTTATTGGACCTAGTGGACCACCCATTGCTACGCCATCGACTTGGCGATATATGGTGTTGTTAAATTGGAATTGGACATCTGTTGTACATATTAGTAGTAGTTTTTTGAATTATGGGGCTGGTAAAGGTAGAAGATCATCATTCTGACAAATTATATCAATAGTTTCAAAAAGTGGTATATTGGTGAACAAGGATGTTACATCAAAAGAGACCATGAACTTGTCGTTAACATTCGTATGATTTAGTCTGTCAGCAAACTGGAATGAATCTCTCAACGTATATGTTGCTAATCTACGACGAATTGGTTCTAGTTTTTCTGCTAACCAGCGTGCGACTTTATGATATGGTGAGTTGATCATTGACAGAATAGGTCTAAGAGGAACGTCATGTTTGCGAACTTTTGGTAAACCATACATATGAGGCATACGTGAACCACGTGGTTTTAGATCGTTGTAAGTAGAATTTTTTGAGCAGAACGACATGTTCCACTTTCTTTTGCATTTATTACATCATTGACTTTATTTTAATTTTTTCAACTATCTTTCAAATTAATAATCTTTCAACTGAACTCTACTCACTACATTCCTTCAATATTATTCATTATGTAATCGATTGTTTCTAACCCACTTTTGAACGGTTGTCACAATTAATGTTGTAGAATATTCTTTCACATTAGGTATATATTTACAATATTCAGTTAGCAATTTAAATCCATTATGCAATTATGATTTTCAAATATCACAGGTTGTAAGCAGCTGACGAGAACCTACGAAATAAAATGAATTCATGCTATTCTGCTAGAATCTTTGTTCTTGCCCCTTTACATTCAATTAATTTTTAGGAAACAATTATGTTCAGAGAACTAGGAATATTTTAAAAAGTGCTGTTCAACTTGGTAGTATAAAAGAATTTGAAATAATATATGACCGCTAGAAAGTCGAATTCGAAGTTAACAGAATATGTCCTAGTTTTATTAAGAAATGACCTTTTAGTGTTCATATTTATTTCTAAAATATCTTCATGGTGGTTATATTGATTTAAACAAAACAAGAATTGTGTACACAGAAAGTTTACGCAGAAATTTTAAACTTATAATTGACTAACTAAAAGTTCATCTATGTAACCTTCCACATTTGACTGTTTATGACATAACTAGACCATGAACTATAAATCTTATGCGAAACAACGAAATGTAATGACAAGTTATTGTATAGATAGTTTATCTAAAAATTATAGTCTTATTTATTAACATCTCTGTTCAGTCCTATAAAACAGTACATTGAAATACAAAGAGGATAGCACAAAAAGGGCATATCGATGACCATTATGGATTTAGCACTTAAGAGAATGGATGTATTATCGCACGGCATTCGTAATTAAAAATAATGAACCCATGTTGAAACAGAAATATCATTCCAGTGTCCGTAAAACATCTATTATTCATGAAGGGTGGTCACAGTTTAGAAAACATAATCTTTGTTTCGGTAAAAAACCAATACAATATGTGTCACATGTGATTGTTTGTATTGATTTGCATACGAACGCGTATATACATTGATTGTTAACGCTTATAAATAATCTACAGAATACATGAGCAAATTGAACCATTATGATTTCATTTTAAGGCGAGACTATAATTTATCGACGAACCATTCACGTATAAGATAACAGGTCTCGGATTTTGGTGCGACATTCACTGATCCATTTTAGTAAATACAGTCTTGGCATTATAGCTGTTGTCAGTTAGTGATGAAAACCCTAAATCGAATTCTTTTTCTTAACCACCAACTGTAAATCATAATTCTAATTCCTCATACTAATTTATAACCATCATTTGGTCCTAGTTATTACGTGGATACTGTCAAGGTCACTTTAGCATCACTCAAAGATCGTCCATAAATTATGGTTCCAGCCATTTTAATTTGTTTTTTGATATCTTAATTGAGATTTGGTTAGTTTTAGTGGGAATGCAGTTACACATAGCTGATAAGCTTAAACTAGAACGAAATGCAAGCTGTGAGTTGCACTACAATCAAGATTCCATTTGTTCTATGAATTATTATGATTTTTATTGAAACATGATTTAAATTGCCCAGAAAAACCGTGAGATACTGAGTGATTTTTGTTCTGAAAAACTCAAGAGGTTCAGAGATATCTATGAGGATTGAAAGAACCATAGGATCCTATTTCGATAGAAATAATGTGCATGAGATAGCTTATGTTTTCCGGTTGTAAGACGAGTAATGATGAGGCGAGTGAATAGTTTATTTTAGTGGAAATGATTCGAATCTAAACAATGATGTGCTGTCACAAATGGAGAATATTCAGTAGGGGGTTCGCGCACGAGACTGAAGGCCCTGGGTTCGAATCCCGCGGAGCGGGATCATGGATGCGCACTGCTGAGGAGTTTCACAATGTGTCGAAACGGCCGTCCAGTGCTTCCAGGTTTACAACGGTAGTCTAACAGAAATCGGTTCATGATCTCAATCAAAAAATTAGTGTACCCTGGAATGTTTATAACCTTAATAAGTATATTTATCAGACAAATTACTAAGAAAATTCAGTCAATCATTAACAACATTGAACTTAGTCTACGTTATCACACCTCATGTCATTTCAACAACAAGAAATCAACATAATGAGTAATAATGTCTAAACATGAGAACTACAGTCCAAAAGGAAACATTACAAATGAAAGTTAGATATTTAAGGTAGAAAATGTATACAACTTTATCATTATGACTGATTCCACTCTATATCACATATAATCACTGATTATAAACATTTTTTTTTAAAAAATTTCAGGTCTTACTCAAACAGTCTATATTTACTAACGTAGATTAAACAATACAAGAAACGGCACATAGACAATACAAAGATAAACTCATTTATTTCTGATAATATAATTGAATAACAAACAACAATAATGTTAAGCATTAAGTAGAAAAAAACAAGGGAGAATGAAAACCATTTCATCAAACAAACTGTAAACACACACACACACAAAAAGAAACAGACCTATGTGCGCATAGATACCTATGAATAAATAGGAGAAAACAAAATACATATATAGGCATATCACATAGTTTATTTGTAATTCAAATGGAGAAAAACAAACAAACTTCCATGTGTGTGTGTATATATATATATATATATGTATAATAATATATAAGACCAGAAAAACAAACAAACAAAGAGTACATTCAGCATAGTGTTTATATGAAATTAATTCTTTAATACAAATAGAAAACATTCCTTCATTTCATCTTTAGAATTGTAGAAAAAAAGAAAAAAAGAAAAGAAAAAGAAAAGAGATAATAAATCATAATGATTGTAATAAAATGTAGACGATTTGTATCTTGACAACTATCATTTATACACTGATATAATAATACCTAAATCGGTAGATAGATAGACAGACAAAAATGAAAGTGAACAAAAGATGGAAAGGCGAAGTAACTAAGATGGAAACCAAAAAAATAAAAACAAACAAACAAACCATTACTTTCACTACATAAAGCATAAATGAATAGACCCGGTAAATCTATATTTCTATGTATATTATTGTAATATATGATAATCAACAATAAATGATAACCAAAGAATAAAAGTTTTCTTTGAAGCATATATATAGTTATCATTGAAATTGTTTGTAAAAAAATAAATAAATATTTATTAATTTTTTTTTTAAAAACTAATTATTTGTAACCGGGTTATTTAAACAAATCAGCTTGTTAAAATACAATAAGCAATAAATTAGCTGATATTTAATTGTTATATAATAGTGAAACTTAATGGGGAGAGAGGAAGGGAGGGAAGGAGGTAGAGAGACAGAGAGAGAGAGAGTAACAATGATAACTTGAGAAGTGATCAAAATGTTAAAGAAATATGATTATAAGCTGTAACAAAAAATTTAAAAAAAAAAAGAGGGAAAGAAAGAAAAGAATTGAATAGACAATGAGTAAGTCTTATCGATTCAGTCGTTATTCAACCCTATATAAATTAATACAAACAAAACAGCTTGAAGAATAAGGTAAGATAATAATAATAATAATAATAATAATCATAGAGACAATAGAGACTTACTATGATGTAATATCTGAAAGGGGGTAATATGAATAATAATGCAAAAAAAAACAAACCAAAACAACAAAAGCGATATTGTTAATGAATGATCTTATGTAGTATATTGAACAATATGAACTTACTAAGCAAATACATACGAGAGTGAATATGTACATTCTAGAAATATAAATATCTTTACATGAATTCATTTGATGATACAATGAAAGAGCTTAGGAGAGACCGAACGTTAGCATAGAATTACTCAATTTTCTTTGTAATATTATGGTCAGAGGTATTTATCATTATTAATGTTAGTTAGTATATTAGTTGGTAAAATATATATAGTGTACATATAGATATTACTTGGCATTTTATTGATAATCAATTAACTATTGGTAATCATGTTGACAACAAGTAATCAAATGTAAACAGTAGGAAAAGAAAAGGTAATGTTAGTGATCCATCTTAACAGTTGACGAATTAATCAATAAAGAGAAAGATCTAGCAAGATGAGAAAACAATGGGTAACTGATTTGGTTTTTTGTTCATATTATTCATTATTACTCTTTGTTATCATTCAATTTATGATTGTTATCGTTGGAACTGTTAAAGTGACTTTCTTCATGTTGTTTTTGAGATACTGTTTCCCCAGGCAATGTACCACATGATAATAATTGTCCGTATATTTGTCTACTGTTATTAACATTACTATCGTTATTATTATTACTACTCGCAGTAGTAATAGTAGTATAAGTAGTAGTGGCCGGTGGACCGGCAGTGATACATGTATGATTAAAAATATCTAGACTGGCATCAACTATTGTACTAGTGCTAGTCCTTGTTGTATTACGACTAATCATGTATTCATGATTTGAAGGTAAATGATCCAGCTCAGGATCATCAGATGTTGACAGAGATGAAGAGGTGATACGACATAGTGATGTAATCAAATGGTCATTTCTCTCATCTATTTCTTCTCCTTCATCATCATCAGCACCATAATCATCATTGTCGTCCTCTTCCTCCTCAACATCAGCATCATCATTCTCTTCACTTTTTCCCCAACTTGAAAATCGATTATCATACTGAGTTTCGTTGTTATTTTTGTTGGCAATCGTGATTTGGTTCTCATCACTGTTAGCATTATCATCATCAAGATCACAGTCATCATCTTGTACACTATCATTTTCCATCACACCAATCATATCGTTTGGAAGCGTCACAATTGAAGGGATCTAGATTATACAAATATATGATAATGAGAGAGATGAATGAAATAGACTTTGATATGAAATTCGCTTGAAATATGATACGAGAAAGTACAAAAATAGTTGGTGCACATGATTATGTATCACATGAAATATAAATTATCAAAAAATTAATATTGGCAAGTGATATTAAACTTTGCATAAGTTAAAGTGAATGCCTCTATCATGGTATTTTACGAAATTTCTTCGATAATACCTCAGAAATGATAAAAAATAAACAGTTGTGAGCAGTAATTAATGATAACCAATTTTATAGCTTTATGTTCTTCGTAATGAAACCGGCTTTATATAAGAAAAAAAGCAGTTTGGTATCCCGCCAAAAAACACGGCAACATCAACTGTGGCAAAAAAATAGTGAAACACCTGATTGAAAACTTCGGTGTCCCAACAACGATTACGGACGACCGTGGGGCCCAGTTTGGAGGCGAACTGTTTCAGCAATTTACGGATACTTTCGGTGAAAAGAGGATTAGAACCAGAGCATATCATCCGACTGCTAACGGGATGATAGAAAGGTTCCATCAACAGCTAAAGGCCTCATTGAGTTTTTCTGGAAAGATTACAAATGGGATGTCAAACTTCTTTTGGTATTATCAGGCATTCGCTCAACTGTTAAACAAGACATCGGTTGTTGTGCTACTGAGTTGAGTTAGTTGATGGAACAACGTTACGTTTGCCTGACAAATTTTCTGACTGTCCAACAGATATTCTAGAAGACATAACCTACTACGTACAACAATTAAAACAACGGATCGAATCTATTAAGTTCGTCGAACCACGAACCCAGAAAGTGAGATCATTTGCATCCATTAAACTGGACAAATACTCACATGTATTCGTTAGAAATGCTAAAGTACGACAGCCCATACAGTCTTCACAACGGTTTATCTAAAACCATCTGGAAAGATGGTAAACCAGTCACAATAGAAAGAGCAAGTAAACACGACATTGTTAGCATCGATAGAGTGAAACCAGAGTTTTCAGAGAGCGCTGAAAAACAGACAACGATGAAATTGTTTAAATGTACAGAAAAGCAAGCACCACACAAGCTATCTGCAACAAACAGTACTTCCCACTTTAGGGTTTAGTGTTTTTTTGAAGTTGATATCCGTGTACAGAAATCGATATCAACTTAAGAATTTCTAAATAATCCACTAGTTTCTATTGTATACATAATCCATTCGTACAGTAATACTCATGGTAGTTTATTTAACACTGCAGCTGAGTGATATAGGTTCGTATTCTTTAAACAGTAAAAATGACTAACAAGTTGACTTTCAAACTTCTACCATTAGACGTGTTCTAATCTTTCTTTATTATAACAGGATGATAATAATACTGATAATAAACTGTTAGGCATGTTGACAGTAAGGTTAAATAAACAAAGTTATTAAAAAATTCTTTTAAAAATAAAGAAAGTTTAATAATCGTTTGATTGTTAATGGCTTAAGTATTCATCAAAGGATACATAGGGAAATTATCATTGGCAAAGGATAGCTCAGCATGATAAGATAAATGTTTAAATTGAGATTAAATGTAATGAGGATGATCGTGAAAACAAAGTAAACTAGTTGGGGGATAGAGGATTTGAGGGGAAGATGGAGGGTGAAGCAGATGGCTGTGAAAGGAAGAAAAGCATGAAAAAAGAGAAAAATAAAAAAATAAAAGAAATCAGGACTATGGTAGAAGAAGAGGTTGTACCAGTCGTTTTCGGCACACAATTTCTAATCTTTCAACAAATGAAAAAGTAGTCACATAATGAAAGTTTTATTCTAATTTCAGTCGAATTAAATAGAATATTTACTTATAACAATGTCAGTAACCCTGTTATGCGTTTCTAATTAAAAAAAACACAATACAAATGTGTAAACATTTTTAATTTACAAGAAACGCTCATAAGCTATAAATGTTTTGAGTATCGTCTAGCTTGTATGGGGTTTTCAAAGTTATTTATTTATTTGAACACATAAATACTGATACAAGAAGGCACCAAACAGATATGCGCCACATAAATCATTCGATTTATGTGAGGACTGGGATACTACCCGGGTGCTCAGATAGAAGTAGATGATTTTCTTAGGGGGCCACACCTTGAGCCTTCGACCTAAAGGTCTGATTCACAAGGCAGGAAGTACAGTCCCATGATAGCCAGTGACCGAAAATTGGTTCATACGCCATTTGTTCCATCAGGATCCTGGATCCCATGTACACTATTGGTTTGGAATCAGGGTTTTCCAACTCCCGTAGGTGGATCCTCCATATCCACCAACCCAGTTAAAGCAACAGACGTTCACTTTTCGTCCTCTCAATTTCGTAAACCACAGTCCTACCGCGAGAATACAGTGAGTGTATACGCGTGTACATGTGAGAGCATTTCGAGAGGGAGAGCGAACTCTCCCACCTTCAGCCATACTATGGCATTTTGTAGCGTTTTCAAAGATAAAACAATTATATGGCTCTACCAAACATCAGTAAAATTGAGACATAAGCTTAAATACATTCATTTAACAGACTGATTTTAAGTTCAGTAAATTATTTAGATAGATAACTTGAATATCAAGTGATTTCAACTATTATTTGAGTAAATCCAATTAAAGGGTTTTCATAAGAAGCAATTCCTTTGAAAGGACTTGTAAAAATTGTATTTTCCATTTCATTTCCTGCAAAATCACTTTTTGATCAATCAGAAAAGTCTGTAAAGGTGATTACTTTTGAATAAAAACAAAACAAAACAGATATCTAACTGAAATGTGTACAATAGTTTAATGTCATTTATGGATTTCTCAAGTGTAACTTGGAGGTTCTTGAAATTCGAAATCGAATAAGCAACATTATAAACATTATATATATTTGGTTAACAAGTTTCACTTAATCAGTGCATTATATTGGTGGAGAGAGAGCCTTACAAACATGCCTAAATTGGCTTAATATTTTTCGCGTGAACTAATTCTAATTCTACCGTAATTTCTAATGCTAATCACTAATCTTAACCTAAATTTTCAACCTAGTTGTATTTCCTCACCTCAATCATATAAAATAATCTTGTGGAGAAGAGCTTTTTCTTGTGAATACGTTATTATTACATTACCATTGGAATTATTAAGTATATGATTAATAGTCAATCCGTATATTTGTACCATGTGCCCATGACCTTAAAACTGAATTTCAACACCTGATTGGCTTATCACCATACTCTACTATTAGTGTATAGTTCATGCAAGGTGGAACTGTTGAAGTAATCAGTATTAAAATTAAGCTTACGGTATTAGATTAAGATAGGAGAATTCGTTGATTTGGTTGTATTAGTCAATTATATTAGTTACGAAATTATTTACACATATCTAGACACTATCTATACCATAATGCAATGTTGGCTAAATTAAACTGAGAATAAACAATAAAATAAAAAAAAAGAAGAATTAATCATCTAAACTGACCAAATTCATTAGAATTCGTCCAGCTTGTTCCAATGCTTCTATTGTTTTTTCTTTATCATCAAGCCAATTATCCGATGTGTCTAATTTCAAACTATCCAAAGCTGATGCAGTAAGCTATTATGTCATAGAATAAATATAATAAGATAACCTTCAATATACACAACATAGAAATTTTGAAAAAAAAATATATACATGAAAAGAAGATGGCTAATTGTACTCATTGTAATAGTGCCTAATGCGGCATAGTTGTTACAGTTGTTTAACAAAACATTACATTAACTATATATATATAAGTCAATCGGGCGCAAGCAATGTAGAACCTATGTACATACATTCATCAGTTCAAGATGTCACATCAAATCAAAGTAAATCGAGATAAATTTGTCATGACAAATACTAGTTAGAGTAATAAAAGTAGTAACAGTATTAGTGGTATTAGAAAAAAATCAAACATAGACAATATTATTCGTGAAGAGTAAATGGATTCGTGGGATAGGAACGTAAATGGTACTCTTCAAAATTACGTCCTGAAGGAATAATACAAAGAGTGAATTTATATATAAACTGTGACCAAGAGTAATGCCATCAAACGTTCTTAATTAATGGTTGGGATGATTGAGTGAACTTTAAACAGATAGTCTGGATCAAATTAAACGACTTAGTGCAACGATTCATAATTTAATAGACTGACGATATAACCAGAAAACATAAATCATAAAGCCAATACAAAATGGTATTAGCTATATTAGTAAAAATTATTACTGACAAACCATACTTATGCATGGTACTAATGATTGTTTCATCACTGCGACGGCACCTTTATGCCAAAACAAATGTACAATTTAAAACAATTAGCCTCTTTTGATAATAATCATCTACTCACTAGTGACTGACTACAAGAGGCATTTCCTGGAGTTATAGTGAGAAGCCGTGAACAGTGAAATTCAACCAGGTCTGTTGTGAGATATCAGCTCACTAAAGACAATGGTGTAAGGTGGCGCAATTTCGTGGATTGGTTGAAATTACACATTAACACCGTTGAATGCCGGCCGACACAGTGGTCTAATGGTTAAGCGCTCGCGCGCGAGACTGGTAAGTCCTGAGTGAGAATCTCGCGGGGGGCAGGATCATGGATGCGCACTACGGAGGAGTCTCAAAATAGAACGAAACAGCCGTCCACTACTTCCAGGTTTTCCATGGTGGTCTAGCTTCAATTGACTCATTGATTTCAACTATTGAAATTTCGATAATGCATTGAGAAGACGAAGTTTATCAGAATTATGTGATATACTTGTGCAATATATTTCGAACAATCTGATCACATATTCTTGTTAAGACATTTTTATATGAAAATTAGAAGGTCAACTAGACAGGTTAAACGTAAGCCGTAACAAAGAAAAAAACAGTACACAAAAACAATATGATAACCACTCTGGATAATAAATCAGTATTACCAGGGTAAGTTACAAGTAAGGACAAATTGGTGATTACATCTCAGTCCTACAGGAGGTTAGTCACGGCTCGGATAGCTCAGTGGTAACGTCTGTGACTGTGAAGCTGGGTGACACGAGATCGAATCCGCCAGGGAGCATCAGTTCCCTCAAGATTACAGGTACACCTTGCTGACGAGTGCCAAGTAGCACGAAACCCGGGTCCAGGGTTTCCCGTTGACTATCTCCAACCACCACCTAAATCTCAATACATAGTGCCCGCAGTATCGAGTCACCTAGACTGGTGGCCACATTGCAACATGATCGATAGCATTCGATCTGCACTAATAAGGATTAGACAAGCATGAGATTGATCACCACCCAGTGATCAATCAATTGTGAAGGACAAATTGTTTATGAACTCCATTTCCGTATAGCCAAGGCTTCATTAATAGACCTTAGTATATATCCTTGAAAGCTTTTGTACAACATTACAAATGTTGACTTGATGATAAATCTCAATCAAATATTTCACAATGAAAGATGATGTCTGTTTATCTTGTGATTTTATTTCAAATTTGATAATAAAATCCTCAACAAACTGGAAGTTATACACTTACTTTGATTGAATTATGATAGAAATCAATATCATTCAATCAACTAGAGATTAATGATTATCATTTTATTATAATTTGATCAATAGAATTTCAAAGAATAATGGTAACACAATTATTCATGTTTAAAAAGAAAAGGTAACATTTTACAGAGTATACATACAGATACATAAATAATTTTATGTGGCCCTACTCTACAACATTCACTTGTCGCATATTTTATGGAATAAATTCAATGCCAAATTTATAGATTAGAGAAAAAAAAGAATATTTACATTGTTTTTTTTTCAATAATAAATGTTATATATATATATATGGCATAATGATATTGGTTTATCTAATCCACCAAGATATAGCACAATAATAATAATCATAATCATAATCATAGATTAGTACAACTAATAAAGATTCATTGAGATGTAAATCAATAAATGTATTAGCAGGTAATATTGGTAAGATGAAAGTGTAGTGATCAAGAACACCAGTGGGGGACAATTGAATAGTAATTGTATATACAAAATTACAGAACTTGTTAATAAAATCTAACAATCATATAGTAAATGCTTAATTTGCAAAATGTCCATCAATTGTCTGAAAAGAACTCAGACTTGATTGTTCTTGCATTTTCATACAAATTGTATTCTGTTTCCATTCTTTACTATTCGATCCTTTTGTCTCTCTGCCGCCAGACATTCTGTTCACGACTAACATAATCTACTACTTATGTCAATATACGTAGCCCACACCATACTCGTCCCCACCCCTTTAGAGCATTTGTTCTTGCGGTGGTTCTGCTCGCCGTGCCACTTTCTTCTTCTCTGCTGTCTGTGTCACGCCCACTGCCAGAATGACGAGTTTGCGGAGCGCTGACCTCCATAGCTCCGTGGACGTGCCGAGGCACCAACAGCATCCGACATCTACTCGGCACCTGGGACGTTTAACACCCGTGCTTTACCGGCATGCTGAGACATCTACATCAAATGTCCGCTCAGATGAATCCGCATGTCCCATCGTTCCTTTTCGTCGACGGCACCTGCCACAGCCCACGCCGCCCCACCCGAACATTCAACTCGGCGACACCTCTCAGCACTAGACTGCCCCAACTAGCATCTCGATTCCAGGCATTCTGTTTCCATTCTTTACTGTTCGATCATCTTGTCTCTCTGCCGCCAAACATTCTGTTCCTGACTAACACCATATACTACTTATAAGGATATAAATGACCCACACCACAAGACTTGATACTTTCGAATAAATTGTGAATGGAAAATAACATTTGTGACGTTTCCTAACTCACTGTTAATTACTAATTTAGAGAGTACGTAAATTGAACTAATTAAATTATCTCAAGGTTAAATTACACAAAAGAACAAATGGAAATATTTTGTGAAAGTCAATTACATATTGATTCAGTGTTTTTGTTTTTCGAGACATGTTTGTGCATTTATGTGTTAATGAGTGTAACATTTGTAATATAAACAGTTGAATTTGTATGTATGATAATAGTATGAGATGTGAATAGAAACAGATATGGCAGTTTGGATAGATGGTCCAAGTTTGATGAATGGTAATGTTTTCATTTCTATTGGGGGGAGTAGGATTTGGTGATACTTAAAAAGTTACAGCTACTCGCTTTTCCTTACAATGATGAAAACCTACACGAATCATTTATTATTTTTAATACTGGTTTAGTGGTCAATAAAGGTAGCACAGACTACAAGCTACAACTAAAATACCAATTATACGAGAGTATGTACAGCCTGGTGTCACAATATACACGGATGATTGGAAAGCATATCGATGCCTATCTAGAGTTGGTTATGTGCATCATATTGTCGTTCACAAGCGACATTTTGTGGAACCCATCAGGGGAGTGGTAGGGGTTAAAATAATTTTTGCGACCTTACCATGGCCTCCAAAGGTCGACTATTATGGATTTACATACATGAGTTTCTATATCGTATGCACTGTAATTTCAAAATTACAGAGCCCCATTTCTAATCCTGAAACGTTTTTAAAACCATTTTGAAGAAGTATATCCACTATAATTTTTTGGTTTCGTATAAAACATTCTTACTCTCTAATGACTTTTCTAATTGATTGAAGTTTCTCAAGGTAACTTGAGATTATGATCTTGCAATTATGTCATAGGTAGGGAAATAGTTCACCTATGACATAATCATTTGTGTATACTTACGGAATTTTACAAAATGTTTGCAACTAATCGAAAACCTAATTACTGAGAAACTTAAAAATTTATACCATGTTGATTTAAAGACATTTATCTCATCTCTTATTTAGAGGTATAATCATCATAGAATACATATGTCAAATATGTTTAGCAATAAGCAAAGACAAGTCATGGGGGTATTTACAGATGAATATAAATAGCAGTAAATCATTGTTTAAAAACTATTTATTCGTGAAATATTGACAAAATAATGACTTGCGAAACGTGAACTTTAGCCTAGGAATCATGTTTTCCTAAGAATTTATTTAACGCATGAGGAAAAATAGAATAATAACGATAGATAAATAGGAATAATACTACTATTATAACCCCTAATATAACAACAGTTGCTTATTAATACTAATACTATTGTTAGGCTTACCTCACTTAATACTTTAACCAAATAGATTTCGTTGGATAAATAAGTGATAACATCCGGATCCGTGAATAGTAAATTAAGGAATAAATAAAATACTTGATATGCAGCAGTATTTGTTTCATAAATAAAATTGGAATTTAATAGTTTGAATAAATCAACATCATTGGAATCTTTAAATGAAATAAAAGAAAGAGTGAGAAATGAGAGACTGAAAGTGATGATCACATCAGGAAAAAAAATGCATTCATCGTGGTTTGACCTTAGTCGAGATACAATTGAAAACTATGGACATTTATCCCGTCCTAGCAAAGAATTCATCAGCCGAGAGCATTCCATCTGACTGAGATCGCAGTATGTGATGAATATTATCGACACATTAATTTAATCTTCACAAAATTTACTTCTATCAAAAAGCTGTACATCAATTTATTTCGACCAAACAAGTTGTTTATAGTTTGCCTCAATATAAATGTTTCACCTGAAGCTTTCAGAATAAATGGATCTTGGCCAACAATGGAATCCACAATGCGCATTTCCTTCTATTTGTGCTTTCATCAGCTGGGTGTAGTACCTGGATCCTATTGTTGACATTCATGTTAGGACTCTAACTTAGCACTCACCTACTGAATCCAGTTAGTCAACGAGGAGGATGTCTATATCATTAAAAAAAGGGTTTTAGTGATTTAAACATAATCTATCCGTTTTTCAATAAGAATAGTAATAAAATGAATAAGTTAAATTAGTGAACTAAGGTTATGGTAATGAAAGTGGGATTATGTAACTTGCGTATACGCAATACCTTTCTATTTTAATTCATATAGATACGCTTGGATCAGTCTGAAAAGTCACTGATTTATTTATTTCACTAGTACTCTTTGTGAATTTCATTCACTATGACAAAATCATCCTGGCAAATACAAATACATATTTATTGCAATAATTAATTTTTTTACGGATACATAAATGGCATAAACGTTTCGGAAAATGGAAACTGGTAAAGAAAAAAAAAGACAAATTTCTTATATTGTTGGAATTAAACAACATATTGGAAGAAGATCAGTCCTCTTTTGAAGGAGAAAACAAATAAAGAGAATTCATCGAAGAATATTTTTCTCTTGACGAAATCATTCAGTTAAGTTGTACATTCGTATTTATAGTTATATGGAAAATATATGTCTATAGAAGGATAGAAGAGACTGCATCATAAACTAGATTCGAGACTCATATTATCACAAAGAAACTTATTTGACGTTGAAGAGAAATCGTTATTGACTTAAGATCCAGTTATACACTAATAAAATTACTCAGATGATAACTTAAAAGGCTGACGAAATATTACGCATTTATTATAGTGACCTAATAACCGAATGAATTAATGTTAAAATAAGTAAGAGAGATTGAATACAAGAGAAAATCTTTGATCTTAACTCTATTCACGGTGTCATACCACATGTGTAAGTTTTACTGCAGAAGTTTCTTTTACAAAATGCTTGTACTATTAATAAACTTTTAATGGAAATTAAAAAGATTGACATTTTTCAAATACAGTAAGTTTTCGATAATCATTGAAAATCCTCTTTAACTGGTTCACACAATTTAAAAAATTATCTAAGAAACATAAAATATAAACTACTTTTGTTTGATTTAAAAATTTTCGATACCATAGGATAAGTCAATTGTAGCTCAGTCATACATCTAGTTTAATAAGACTGTCAATATTAATCCGGTTTACTATTCTTATCCTACAATTTGAAATATCCTTCAACGATATGGGCAACCGAGAAGTATCGTTCACAAATTCAGAATAGTATTTGACAGGCGTTTACCAAACAGAAATAATAATAATAATAATAATAACAATAATAAGGGCGATTACAGTTTCTAAAGGTAACTTACAGCTGAACAGAAGACGTATACGTACAGATTTTAATGAATCTGACACCTGTAATAGACGTTCTAATAATTTTAATATACTGTCTAAATCACATGGATGCAAAATGGAATAAACTAATTCCCTGAGAATAAGATCTGAAAAATTCATATTTTCATAGGAGAGGAACTATGAAAAAGAAAATAAACAAATACACGAAAAATGAAAATAGGTAGGCAAAATGAAAATATAAAATAAGACCGATAAAAACATCTTTTAAATGACAATGTTTTATTGTCCCGATATATATTTAACATTTAGGAAGTTATGGAATCCAGGATGAGTGTTTTGTCTGATCTGACTGGTCATTTGAATATATCTAAGAACTCGTATCGGGGTTCACACTGGGACGCGAACACGGAGAACATCTTCCTTCAAATGTACGTGTTATAAACTGAGCGATCGAGTCTAGATGGTCACTAACTGGTTGAATAGGTATAGAGGTATTAGTCGTGATTTGTAACTTCTCACTGCTGATATGCTGAATTGTGACCGAGTAGTTACAGTTCCTATATGTTAATCTTGAGTTGATCGGCTAAATTTATTGTTATGCCACACGCTTAAGTATATCAAAAATAATAAATCTTGAGATTTAACATGTCGAAACATTCCGCTCAATATATGGGACACAGGAACTGGTCAATCAAAATAATGCATATATCAACAACAGGACATAATATAAGTCTAGAATTTTTGGAGAGAATTTTAGTTACTATTGACATCGAATGTAGAACCACAGAAAATTGTGTGACTAAACAGATGGTACCTTCTTGCTTGAAACTCTCGATCGTTAATGTTGGGGCTGACTAATATAAAGCGTTAACTTGAATCAGATCAGATAAAAAAGCCAGAGCTTTGCATCCAAAATGAAATATGTTCAGCCTTTCCTTTTATCCTGGCCAGTTAGTTAATAATCAATTTTATAATGTGTTGACGTAATGTGAATAATGTTCATTTCGATGTCCCAAACTTATCATTATCTTTACTATTATTATTATTATCTTTATGACTGTTATTATTATTACACTTGATAAACTTTTTGAGAAATTTATCCAGTATCCACCCCTATCTATTATATCTGACCTAGTTCATATTGTTCTACATATTGCGTGAAATCTGATGTTATTCTCTCCCCCCACTTCATGTTGACCATATTTATTCTGATCATATATCTTACAATGTCATTTCACTTATAAACTGATTCAAGTCAACAACTTCATATTAGTTAGCCCCCAACAACAATCCTTGATTCACATATTACAATTTTATATGATGTACTCTGCCATAAATCGGGCCAATTTTGTGGATTATTAATTCGGACTTATAATTGTAGAGTATCTGATGAGACATTCATTGAAATGAATATTCTTCGTTTATATACTTGCGGTTTCCACCAGTCAATGAAATTTCAAGTTTTTTTTTCTAAATAAGCATAATGAAGTTGCTTTACTGGTAAATTTTCTTTTAAGTTTGTGATCTATCATGAAACTCTGTAATGCATATGATTAAACACTGGATATAATAAAAAACAACAACAATATTTGATAATAGCACATCAAACATGAATGCTATTAAAGACTAACCAATAGAATATCCGAAATAGGTTTAAATGTGATTGGATTAAGGAGTGACCCTGTGAAACGTTTAACAGTACGTTCTGATTGGTTAGAGAAAAATAATTGAATTAAAGAATTAGAAAGAGTGACCAATGGAGTAGATGTTACACAATAAGGATTGTGCTGATTGGTAGATATTGACTTAGCTTGTGTATCAGTTAAAAACGATTCGGAAATGATTGGACAAGTTCCATGCGGTTCACAACATTTCTCTGTTTTGTTTATTTTATGTGAGACTTGGTCTTCGGTTTTTGCTGAAGAATAACAGTTAGCAGATGAGGTTGTCGTAGAAAAGGATGGTGATGACGAAGATAGTCGTGGTGAGAAACTGAGGTAATGAGATGGAATTTCACAAGATCTGACTAGATAAGATAATAAATCCAGTGAGATTTTTAAACCACAATACGTGATAAGACTAGACACAGTAGTATTAAAATCATGGTTACTAATTGTGGTTAAATTATTTTGTTCATTGTTCATTGTATCATTATAATCATATTTATAGTGACTGTAAAAATCGAAATTTGAATTCGATGCTGTAGTTGAAACTGTTGAATTAGTTAGAAGTGCATAGACTAGAGTATCTAAACACGATGAAAGCCGCAAATTTGCACAGTTGAGTGACTGAATTTCCATAGATAATTCGTTGTATAAACGTCTGATAGATGTTTGTATACAATCGTAATTACGCGATTCTTGGTTCCAACCGGGAAGGGAAGATGAAAGAGTATACGGTATTGATGCTGTTGTTCCTGATGGTGAAGTTCCAACAGTTTTCAACATAACTTCATAGGACAGCATATAACTGGAATACAGTCATAAAAAAGTAACAGTATTTTCAGAAAAATTATTTATGCTTTATTCAATGATCAATTATACTGTAGTATTTCCAACTTATTAAGCTTAACCTGGTAAAAGCACCGGACATTTGTTTTTCGTCCTCCCAATTTCGTAAACAATACCCTCAACGCGAGAAGGCAGTGCGTAGAACTTTCCTGGCAGTGGTTTTATGCACGTGGCCAAATGAGAGCATTTGGAGAGCGAGAACTAACTCTCCCACACCCTCGGCATTTGGGGTATATGGAGGATCCCACCTAGGGGAGTTGGAAAACCCTGATTCCAAACCAATGGTGCACATGGGCTCCAGGATGCTGAGGGAACAAAAAGTGTACGAACTTATTGTTGGTCACCGGCTACAACGGGACTGTCTCCCCTTACGTTGCCCCGTTGCCTTGTAGGTCAGACCTTTAAGTCGAAAGCTCCGGGTGTGGCCTCTTCAAGAAAACCACCTGCTTCGATCTACATACCCGGGCAGTATCAGCCCACACACAAATCAAGTGACTTGTGTGGCGCATATGTATTCGGTGCCCCTCTGTACCAACATTTATGTGCTCAACTAAATAAAATAAACAAATAAATATTAAACATAAAACGGAAGTTATAAAGAAAACTTGCAGCAGTAATAATTACGACCAAATCACACTTATTATTAGTAAGTTCAGAAATATATTGTCATTTAGCTAAAAATATAATTTTTAACGATTCATATATAGGTTGGAGTTTGTTGTGTCAATAAAGCAACAAATTTAGAAAGTACTATTTATTGAAACCAATATGTTGAACTCAAGCTAAACGGACTTTAAACATGCTCCAACACAAACAAATTGTGAACATGATTACTTTCAGGACGTAAATCCCCGTTTAATGTTTGTCTCACGTTCGAACGAGTTAATTGAACGTTAGACATATTCTTCGTTAGTTTAACATGCAAATCGTACTAGACCGCAAAAATATACTATAAAGATGTCAACAAATTGTACGAATATATATGAATCATCGAGATTGCGATAAATATAATTAAGATGATCATGCTATTTATCTAGTTTGTATATTTGGTAAATTATTTTAAGCCGTCACTAGGATATAATGAAGTGAAGTGTGAAAACACAATATTGGATCTATCATATGAAAGATTACTATTTATATTTTTATGATATAATTAGTAGAAACTTAATCTGTTGTATTTTTATATTCTCCTATTTCTAAGCTCCCACTTGACCAGTAAATCGTCGTCATATATCGTATTATTTCAAACATCACTAATCAACTATTTCCCTGTTGTTCCACTTTTCTATCATATATGACTAACTAATCACAAGCACTGTAATTCCTATTTGTGCTGATGTGTAGTCAAACATTCCACGTATATTATTTCATGGGTATTGATTGATGATTGAATACAGTACAACTGAGAATTGATCTGATTCCTATCTCTGTTTTCTAATTAGTCATTGGGTTAGGAGAAGACGGACGACCAATAATGGTCAAGGTCTTGATTGTTGTTCATAAGTCGGTGTGTCAATTTGTAAAACAGATGGTTATCGATCCTACTGGAAGTGTAAATGAACTAGTTGATAATTACGCTAGCGAAAGAGAGATTTATAATACAGCGACGCCAGTAATTATGATCAGATTATACTGGTCTCAAACAATAAAAGAAAACATTTTATCTTAAATTTCCCAGTTATGTCACATTATTATGCACAATGAAAAAATTCATTGAAAAAACATTAAAACAAATACATCAACACACTTGATTAAAATTTCCGGGACATGCAGTTTTAACAGATAACAACATTCTTGGTTACCATAATTTGCATAATCTAACAAAATAGCAAAATACTGTGCCCATATTACAGAGGAAGGACACATAGTTGATAATGATGATGATGGTAATGATGTAGAAGGATTATTATTAATAATAGCAGAATGGTATAACGTAGTCGATGATGATGTTGATGGTACTGGCATAATAGACTGAAGTGTCGATGTAACCGCAGCATTCATAGGAAATGAAGATGATGAAGGATTTCCTGATCGAATTGTAGAATAGGGTTGATGATAATTTGGTTGTTGTTCCTGGAAAGATTTATTTGATGATAGTGCTAATGTATTTGGAGAGAAATGCAACTGATGTACTATCAGTTGTATTAAACATTCTCCTGGATTAATCATCTGATTATATAAATTATTATTACCATCACTATCATTGGAATCATTTTGTAAAGAACAGGAAGAACGTTTCTGTGGTAAATTTATAAAACGATTAATAAAACATGTGGCAGAATATATTCGAGCAGTAATCTGTGCGTTATCTACGGTTGAATTTTCAACAAAAACTGGTGATTTTGTTTCATTCAATGTAGACCTTAATAAATAAGACAAGACACTAACGGTAGTAGTAGTAGTAGCAGCAGTAGTTGTTTTTGTGGTATTGGCAGTGACTTCAATATTTGGAGAAGTGGTCGTATTAGTAGTGTTGGTTGATGTAGACCTTGTATTACATACACTAGAACAACAATTACTATTATTATTGTCACTGCTTTCAGTAGTATTAGTAATAGTGTTAGAACTATTAACCAATGAAATAAAAGAATGTAGAATATCTTCACACTGTACAGATGGATCATTCATACATAAATGACAGATATAAATGATAAGAGCGGCACTGAAAAATCGCATCTGGAAAAAAAAATAAAAAGCAAATAGACACGTAAGAATATACAAATATATGTGAACAGGGCAGAAAAAGGAGAGAATGAAATCAAGAAAACTTTACGCGTGAATAACACACGTATCTATCTAGGAAGTCGTTGAAAAAATAGTACAATGACAGCGGATGCAATCACCACCACACTTAGGGAAAATCGCATTCAACTGATGCATCAACGTTTATCATATAAATAGGTAACAAACACAATTAATTGATCACTGGGTGGTGATCAATGTCATGCTTGTCTAGTCCTTATTAGTGCAGATCGAATGCTATCGATCATGTTGCAATGTGGCCACCAGTCTAAGTGACTCGACACTGCGGGCACTATGTATTGAGATCTAGATGGCAGTTGGAGGTAGTCAACAGGTCTCGGGTCCATTGTTTCCTGTGATCAATCAATTGTGATTACATCTCAGTCCTACAGGAGGTTAGTCACGGCTCGGATAGCTCAGTGGTAACGTCTCTGACTGTGAAGCTGGGTGACACGAGATCGAATCCGCCAGGGAGCATCAGTTCCCTCAAGATTACAGGTGCACCTTGCTGACGAGTGCCAAGTAGCACGAAACCCGGGTCCAGGGTTTCCTGTTAACTACCTCCAACTATCATCTAAAATAGGTAACAAACTCTAGACATTTCACGAATGTCCAGATTGTGTATTGATAATCACATACACGAGAAATAATACATCAATCTATTAATCAGAGAAATAAAGTGAGCTTCTTGTTAGAAGACAAATTCTGACTGAAAAATATTCCGTGACACAAACAGAATGAGGATGTCAGTAAAATAAAATGTAATAATCAAGAAATTGTGGATTTAGTTCTTTTATTGTATATGAAACGAACGGTTGTAAGAGACTTCATTGAAGCAAATAATTGTCAGTAGGTTTAGTGTTTACATCAGCCGATCATTTAGTGGTAACGATGTTAGCCTAATACAAGATTAGACATTGACCGAATGCTTCAGTGGCATAGTCTTTGACTCTTTCTGAGTATGATACCTGATTATACGAGCTCAAAAGACAAGAGAAGCACCAAAACTCTTAGGACTATAGATACATCTTGCCAAAGAGTGAGAATTAGAAGGAATGGTTGGAAATAGTCGAAAGATGAGTAAAACTAGGTAGTTTTACGATTCCTGGTGGTAAATTTCAGAAGACTTCAAAGTACCAATAGTGAAAGCCAGAAAGGCTCATGTTTTCCTGGACCACATAGGACCTGTAATCAGTCGTAACATAGAACTTTGTATGTATGTATATTAGTTTAAGTCGCCATACCGTATTACCACAGGGTGATGAGGTTGTCAGGTCAAATCCCAAAATAGTAGAGATATTAGTAATATCAGAGGTAATAGGAAAGATCGGGAATCGAACATACGACTCGAAAATATAAATCAAAGAATCAAAGTGACATCCCCATCAACAGATCAGAATAGAAGCCACTGGATATCTTACTATCGTTCCCTAAAACATTCCTCATAAAATTTAGTTAAACTTCCTCTGTTGAATGAATTCCTTTTAGAGTGTATTTTTAACAGAAATGTATTACCTACTAAATACAATTCCCGTTTATTGATTTATTGATCGAGATGACCCATCTTTTTTTCATTTTCCTCTAATGATTATCACTTCATCTGTATAGTGCATTTAATTATTGATTATGCCATACTGTACTAGAATTTGAGTTGTTTTGAATAAAATATTATGATTAACAGAAACCAAATTTCAGTTCAGTTTCCTGTTGATTGCATCTAGTGTAATCACATCGAGACAACAGATTATAAGTTATTTCAAATTAAGATGAGTTTGTGGAGGTTAATATACTGTTCTAGTTTATAACACGAACAAGAACCATTAAATAGCTTTTCGTCCAAGTGTGGGACTCCTCCATAGTGGATATCTACGGCACAACAGGGGAGCGAATTCATCCTTCATAAAGTGTAATATCGTGAACTAAATAAAGTAAAACAATGTGGAATATTGGATGCCGATTCAGATCCTAAAAGATGACAGGGATCCACCGAAGGACCTGAGGATCTCGGATTCGGTCCCTATTGGGTTTGTGTATGTGCAATGATGAGAGATACCATACAAGAATGAAACAACTGCCCATTGTTTTCTGATTTTCAACGACTGTCTAATTAAAATTAACTCGAGAAGCAAATTATGTATCCTTCTTCTAGTCAAATCATATTGACAGAAAGAAATATATATATAACAGAATAACCATCTATCTGCAAAGTAGCATCGCTAACAAATCAATATAATAAAAAATAATATCATCATTATTACATCAAATAACAACATACTTCAGGATAAGGACAATGGAATTGTAAAAATCTAATTTGATCCGGTGATGCTAGAAACATTGTTTTAATTAATTCACATCTTATTGGCGCACTAATTGAAATCAATTTGATGAATAAAAGTAGCCAAGATTTCCTTTGATTTGAATAGGAAACAAAAATGAAACAATATAAAGAAAAGGATAAGAAATAAAGAATGATAAATAAATGAACTAAATAAACCAATCATAATTTTGAATAATTTTTTCCAGTTAGCGTTTTTTAGCGAGTTAGTGTTCTGCGGGATGAGGTCGCTAATCTGATGCCCAACCCTCTTCCTTTATCCGCGCTTGGGACTTGCAGTAGCCCCAGAGGGACTCCAGGCGGAGTGTGTGTGTGTGTAAAAAAAGATAACTTGCACAAATTGAAGCATCAATTGTCTGAAACCCACTTTTTCTACTTAAAGAAATATTATACAAATGTATTATTAGTTTTTTTAATAATACATTTGTATAATATCTCAATAAGTAGAAAAAATGAATTTCTGACAATCGATGCTTCAATTTGTGTAAGATGTTTCTTTTTTCTTAGAGAATCAATCAATAACCGAACTAAATTCGTTGCCTCGTTTCGGCTTTAATAATAATAATAATAATAATAATAATAATAATAATAATAATAATAATTGTAAAATGAACTATCAAATGAAAGTTTCCCATTTAGTGTTGTATCCAGTACTCAGACTAATCCGATTAAATAATGACGGTAATAAAAGACAAATATTAGATGAAGTAGGATAATTTACTTCAAGGATTCCTTTATGCAGATATATGATGGGCAAGGAGATAAACAACTTTGTCTACCCAAATTAGCTTAATATGATTCAATATTTATCGTTGGATCAATAAAGCGATAAATAGACAATATGCATTTATGAGCAAAAAACCTTTAAGGCTAATGCTGAATAACTGACATGGACAAATATATTTGCACGTAATGACTCAAGAAAATGAGATGAGATTGTCAGAGAGAGTATAGTGTAAAGACGAGCTAAAAACAACCGCAACCAATTTTCGGCCACTTCGCAGAAAATCAGGAAAGTTTTTGGTAAATAAACAATTTACAGAAAATAAGACAGTAATATTACGAAATGTAAACAAACTTCACATATGTAATGAATTTATTAAAGCATTCTACATGTGATCCCGTCAGTAAACTGAAAAACAACAACAAATAAACTTGTCTTAATGGATGTAGATTGTGCGTTTTTCCCAACCTTTAAAAAGATCCAAAGAGATTTTTCATAATGTCCACATTGTTCTTGATTAGGTTTAAGAGTTCCATAATAGGACGAAATGACCTTCCAGTGCTTCTAGGTTTTTAATGATATTCTAACTTAGATCACTTCAAGATTTAAATGAAAGTCAACAATCTTCACAACTTTATACGAACAATAGGTTTCAGTACTTAGGTTAATCGATCACCAAATGACATTACCTATAGTGTAAATAAGGCTCTGTAGCCAAATAGATGCATGAATTTAACGCAAAAAAGCAAGAAATGTTATTTAATTAGTTAGTCCATAAAATTCAGTATCACTACTAGGTGTACAGTTTGGTTCAGAATTGAGAGTTTAGGTTAAGATTTAGAGATAGTATCGATTTGCCAATCGTATATTATGTACAGAGATAAAACTAAGCATTTGATATGTTCAATATTATAATTTTTACTGATCGTTATGAATGATATTTTAATTTCGCCTTGAATGCTTACCTGTATCCATGCATGTCTGAGTGGGATATTGATGATACAGAGGGGGGGGGTAAGGTTAATTTATTATACGATAACAGTATGAAATCTGAATAGTTTCAGTATAAATACTTGAGAAAACTATCCAAAAATGGACAGGTAATTAAATCAACCTTAGTAATAAGTGCAAAATGCAAAAGCCATTTTAAATTATTTTGATAATTTTAATATCTATCTGATGGTTGATAAAAAGATGGTATATAGTGCTAATTTCATTTGAAAGTTCTTGAGTTCAACTGGAATACTAAAGTTTTTTTCTAACGCCTGAGTCAAGATTCTATCAGAAAAATCTAATGTAGAAAGTATCACAAACGAAACCATTTGATATGTAGACACGATTTTAATTAGCAGAAAATGAAGTTTCTCATTTTATACGAATTAAAGTTTTTTTTTCAAAAAATATTGGTTATCTATACAATGCATTTTATTATTATTTAAGTATATAAACATTGATACAAGAAGGGACTAAACAGATATAAACCACATAAATCATTCGATTTATGTGAGGGCTGGGATACTGCCCGTGTGCCCAAACTGAAACAGGTGGTTTTCTTAGGGGACCACACCCCGAACCTTTGACCCAAACGTATAATCTACAAGTCAGTGGAGCAACGTAAGGAGATGCACTACCATGGTAGTCGGTGATCAGTAATTGGTTCATACGCCATTTGTTTCCTCACGATCCTGGAGCCCATGTGCACCAATGGTTTGGAATCAGGGTTTTCCAACTCCCCTAGATGAACTCTCCGTATTTACCAACCTATCTCAAGTGCCGGACATTCGCTTTTCTTCCTCTCAATTTCGTAAACAACAGTAATAGTACGAGAATGCAGTCATTAGGACTTCTCTGTTAGTGTTTGTATGAAATTGTTCGCGATAGTATTTCACAAAACTTGTTGTACTTTCACACTAACTGTTACAATAGTATGATTTACAACTGATTATAGTTTAGAAAAACGAACACAATAAGAGTTGATTCTGAATTATAAGCATAACTACTTGTACAATAATAAAATTTAAATATAATTGTAACCAGTTTAACCTACCAATTTGATATGACCACATGATAACGTAGAAAAATAAAATGAAGTAATAACTCTACAGTAATAAATCCTAAATTCTGATAGGCACTGGAATTAGTCTACAAGAAATACAATTAAAAAAAAACTGAATAGAAACAAAGAACAAGGAATTTTGTGCAGAAAATATAAATGTATAAATATTTTAACCAAATACATATTGTACTTTAATGATCAACATTAGAGTCATTGATGATTACAGGTTTGAGTTTGGGAGAAAAGTGATACATTCTTTCTGGCAAATTAATTGATAAAACTGTTAATATTCATTAACTGGTTGACTGAGACAAACTCAATCATTGATTACTTTAAGGTATTATGCTATATGGTTTAATGAATCGGCTTGAAGGAGGTCAGAACAAGTCATGATGTTATCATTAAATCATTCGGTGTTATGGTTAGTTATGTGAAGAAATACAACTTGCGTATTTAGGATTCAAGTGATAAATCATATATCTATAAATGAAAACGTTGGATGACACAACCTAGAATTGGTTGCAGTGATGTCGATAAATTCAATTTTTATCATACACGAAATCTTTATTTTGAATGTGCTGAAGGCGGTTAGAAGGGCGTGTGGTGAATCTTTCGAGGTTATTATTAATATGGTTGTAGATAGACATCTTAAGTCTTGCGAACTCCTGGCTAATGTTGTCTTATCAAATACTAACTTCATCCGTACCTTTCTCTTTGTATATCTTTTGGTAAAATGAGGCGCCAATACATTAGAATCCATGCACGCAAGCAAAAGTATAAAAGTTTTACAATACCTTACCTCTGTGACGAACAGGTTGTTACGGTTGACCTACTTAATAACTTGTATTTTTAAACATGTTTCTAATTAGAAAAACAGTACGGATTCAAATCATTTAAAAAAAACACATTTCATTTAATGACAGGTAGTTTATCTACTTTAATTTTGAATATATGTATGGAGTTTTATTATTATTAGCTTTATTCAATATTATAATTTTGGTACAATATAGAATTCTCAGCGCAAAGTATTTCAACAAGTTTCCGTTTCTTTCTACTTGGTCGGTACTGGCGATAAATATTGAGGGATCGCCAGTTAGATGTTAGCACTACAGTGAATGAACAACTGAATAATGTACATTCTTTTCGTTGTATATTGCCAGCAACCATATTGTCTTTTATTGAATTTTCTGTAACTTTGACAACGAAAGGTTGTACACTTTTCAGAAACGCAGCAGAATAGGTTATGGGATTGATAAACATAATGATATATTAAAACAAACAAAAATAGATAACTTGTTGAAATATCTAGATGGCAGGAACAGGTAGCCCAGATGCTCAAGCAGGCCGCCGTTCTCAGTTTCTTTTACTTTTTGTTCGAATCATATTCTTTGTATGAAGTCTTGTATATTATTATTTTGATTTACTAACTGCTAATCCTATTAATGTTAACTAGCTGCGTTGCTTTAGTGTAGCAGCTCAGAACTGATGTATATTTGTATTGGATTTTACTGTATTCGGATTGACTGATTTTACATCTAATAACGATCTATTACAAACACTAATTCAATATGAAGATGCTGAACGAGGTAATGGACAACTGTCTACTAGATATGTAGGTATGTTCAATGAATATATGATTTAAGGTCATAAAAAGTGTATTTAACAAAACTGATGGTATGTTTATCATAACATTATTAAAATACTGCCCATTCATGGCATTACAGTTGTCCTATGTCCATTCTAAGAAATACTTCGCTGTTTTATGTTTTCTTGACTTAACATTATTCCAGTGTAAAGATGATTCTTTTTTCAAAATTGAATGTAACATAATGATCTAAATAGTGTGCTAACAAAGTAAAGCAATTAATCATCTTGGTATTTAAGTGATAACAACGGACTAACTCATTTACAAGATTATATATACATAAAATAGCTTTCTTCCAGGTCTCAAAATTATTGAAAAAGTGAGAAATTTATTCCCTGATCCAATCAACAGAGATAAAACAAAGAATACATGGACAGTTCTAGGTACTTTTTCTATACATGGAGAATCCATATTCAGGACACAATTTCCATTGCATTTCAGTTAATTGAAAATGTTTAAATACTTATTAGATATAATTCTTTTATAATAATCACTATTTTACTCTGAATTCAACAATCAATAACAATCATTATACATTTCTTACCATACACAATTGTATATTATTATTAATTAAATTATAGATAAATTCTGGAAGCAATGGATCAAATTGAATACGATGATGTAAGTGTTCAATATTCTGCCAATTTACAATGTCTTGTACACGTTTAGTTAATCTTGATTGTTTTGGATTTGAACCTTGATAATTGGGAAAAAAATCAACAACAAAAAAGAAGTAATAAAAGAAACAAAGAAGTATTCTTATAGAAATTACAATTTGTTATGTAGTATTTTTGGCTAATCAAAACAATGAATAATTCACAATGGATTAGCCAAACGATAAAATAGGAGTTATTCAGATTATGGTACAACCAAGAATGAAAGGTTGAAGGAAAAAATGACTCGATTAATGAAGTTACGTACTTTGAGACGTTGTGTTATAATGTAGATGTTTTTTTTGCTCATATTTAGTCATCATCTCCAATCCATCACAATAGAAGAATAAATGTACAGAAAGTTTAAGGATTATAATTCTTTTTCAAGTGAATAGCTATGATGACTTATAGAAACAGACCTAATGAATAATTAAATTGAATCATATAGTGTGATACATTGATTTCTCTATATGAATTAGTAACCATTCGTTCACTCAGTCAGTAACTATCATTGAATATTTTAAAATGAAATTTTGCAGAGATAAATAAAAGCAAACACTGTAACATACCTAATTTAGGTATTGATATGTTTTTAATTTGTTCATGAAAATCTTCACGTTCATAGAATAATAAATATGCACTCCACCAACGTTTACCAGATCTTATATGAGCAAATTTCGACAGATCATGAGGTGGAACTTTCCATTCACCACCAAACCACTGATCGACAGCCTCTTCATCTTTATCTAACCGAACAGGGATAACCTTGAGTGTATAAGAAACAACGGAGTAGATAAAAAAAGACAATGAATAGAGTAAATTTCTGAAAGGAAATAGAAACATAATACCACATAGTCAACGTCAGTTAAAATTATCACCAATTCATTCGTCATTAGTTGAATAAAGAAGTGCTTATTCATCTATTATATATGGAGGTTAACCATAAATCTGTAGAATTGAACAGAGCAAAAACAAAGGTTAATAGAGGTCCGATTCGATTCTAAAACCGGACCGTGTGTAGTGCGGTCTAACCGAGCCTTCATCACATGTTGGCCCTGGGTTACTAATCAACTACTAATTGTACTATATCCACGATGATATACGGTCTCAGGTGGTCACCGAGGCACCATCAATCGATGAATTACTCTGAATGGCTGTCTAGCTCCAATGGAGTCAGTCATCCGACTAGTGGATCACAGTTTCCATAGAGACTTCTACAGCCAAGTTAAAGAGTGGACAACGGCAACACGATAATAAAAAACTTCCTCAACCAGCTGAATCCATGAACACCACTTGAGTGCAATTCGCATTTCTTCGTAATCTTGTTAGATATTCAATTTCAAATCATCTGTTAAAGTACAGTAGCCCAGACGAATTTTACTTTCTAAAAATAACGTCCGCACTCTTGACTCACAGTTGATGACGAGAAACTTGCCGTCCTCTTTGAATAGGCGTCCTGAGATAATACTTTTATATTCTGGATCTGATGAACATTTTATCGCTATGTGCGATAACACATTGTATTCGCTGACGCTATTAACTTCACAGCCGGCAAATATGCTCGTTTGACCAATGTATTTTAATTTCCCTATTGCTATGAAATTCGTTACTATCGGGTGTGACCCCATAACTGACTTTAGTGTTCCCAGCCATCAATTCTCTCTATAAATACGAAGTTAGTTAACATTAAATAGTTCGAAAAAAAGATTAAACAAGCTGAAAAATGTAATAAGATCGATCTTAAAATACAATCAGTCAGCCAGCTACAACGTAGGACCAGATACATATATTCACCGGTCCAAGTTGCCGTACCGCATTAGCACAACAAGATTACCACCTGATTTATAGAAGTAGTTAATTCAGTGGTGGTAATATATAAGAGAAAGACTTCATATAAGGACATAGTACAAGAAAGAATTAGTTCGTAGAAAGAAAGATATGAAGCGATTTTAATCTGAAGGCGAAGTTGTACTGGTGACTGTACAGAGGTGTGACAGCAGTAAGGTGTTTCCTTCAGACAACCAGCATAACAGCGATGCTGCCTTCCCACAAGGAGGGGTGGGGTTAGAAAAGGTCGACCCTAAAAATACACACCTCGCCTTATCCCACAGATATCCCTCCCCGGTGGTAAGGTCCCAACAAGTACACAGCTAACACAAAAATTACTCATAAAAAGGTCGTGAGGGACCGATCTCAAGCAGTTGTCCCTTAGACACTCTCTCAGGTCACTAAGACCACCCCTAATCCAATTTCCTGTCCGGGCACCTCCAGAAGAACGTTTCCACGGTGTGGGAAACCGGGAAGTGATAACCGCCGTCATACTTCTAACAGCACTCAAGACCATTGTATTCATAATCAACCTCTCTCTTCAATTCCTATTATTGCTCCTACATTGAATTTCAAATCTAAACTTAAAATACACTTTAAGCTCCTTTATCAAAACTGTCAATAAAAATTTCTAAGGCTAATACAAGATAGAAAGGTTGAAAACTTTATGCTTTTTCATTTGTTCCCAAGTCGGAAGTCCACTTTATTATTATTATTATTATTTTAACACATAGATATTGGTACAAGGAGGCACCAAATACATATGCGCCACACAAATCTCATTCGATATGTGTGAGGGCTGTGATACTGCCCGGGTGCCCAAACCGAAGCAGGTGGTTTTCTTAAGAGGCCACTCCCCGAGCCTTCGACCTGAAGGTCTGATCCACAAGGCAGTGGAGCATCGTAAGGAGATGCATTACCATGGAAGCCGGTGACCAACAATTGGTTCATACGCCATTTGTTTCCTCACAATCCTGGAGCCCATGTGCACCAATGGTTTGGAATCCGGTTAAAGCGCAGGACATTCGCTTTTCGTTCTCTTATTTTCGTAAACAACACCCTCGCCACGAGAAAACAGTGAGTAGAACTTCCCTGGCAGAGGTTATATACACATGGCCATGTGAGAGCATTTGGAGAGGGAGAGCGGACTCTCCTCACTCTCGGCCGTACCAGGGCATTTGAGGGCTAAGTCCGCTTTAAATTCTTAATACTTGTTTAAAATTAAATATAATATGAAAACTTATTGTTATGGTTTCTAAGCTAAATTATTTCTATCTCTTTTTTATACTTTCAATTACCATATTTTATTTAATCTATCAGAACTGTTTATCATATTCTTATAACAAAATCAAAGTATAATTTCATCTATATGTAAGAAAGAAAAATTGATCAATCTAATAAGTTATGCATATGCAACATGTATGTGATTAATTACTATGGTAAAGGAAATATATATAATAATGAAACAAACATGGATTCAATCAATGATGATAACAGTTTGATGAGAAAAAAGAAATGCAGTTGCATAAAATAAATGAGTCTATATTCTTCCCATTGATTTTCTCCAACTGTGTAACATAGAAAATATTTAGTAAGATCAAATTGTTACTATGAGTAAAATTATAGGTATAGAAATACTAACGAGTAATTTAATTTAGACAAAAAAAATTAATTTTCAGAAAGAACTATTTACATAATTAAATTTAGTTGAGATAATCTTGTTCTAATAATAGACTCCTTCTTGACAGTGAGGTTAGATGATTATCACACCATAAAGTGAATATATTCAAATTGGAAATGTATAGAGGTAGATGTCAAATCAGACGTCGAATGCCTAAGCATTCATCGCGAAATATGAAGGTTCGGTGTTTGGTTATTGACACGAATGTAAGTGCGAATGATGAGAAGTTGCATACAACAACAACAACAACAACAAGACAACGATCTAATCCTTTCTGGTTTCGATGATTATCTTAACTACAAATATTTGTTTATCGGCAGCATAATACACATGATAAGATTATAATACAAAGATATTCTTGTTGAGTGACTCCATTTTGAGTAACCAATGAAATAATAACCCTATCAAAATTACATTGATATCGTCTTTCATTAAAGAAAATATGTAATCACATAACCATATCACTAAAATAAACAATTTAGGATCTAAGTAACAATTTTTTTCATATTGAAATAGATTATATCATCGCCTTATGTCAACCAATAAAATCATATCACAAAAAAATAATCATTATATAATATGGTAGTTGGAGGTAATCAACAGAAAACCCTCCACCAACCACCATCTTCTCTCAGCATAGTGAACGCAATGTCAAGTCACTTAGACTAGTGATCATATTGCAATTTGGTTGATAGCATTCGATCTGCACTAAGAACAACCTGACACACAAGACATTGATCACTACCCAGTGATCAAACAATTGTAAAAATAAACTTCATTTTGATTGTTCACAATGAGAATGATTAGTAAAGGATTGTTGTATTTTTTATAATCAGAATAGGAATTTGTGAAGATTGTAGTAATTTTAATAGTTGAGTTCATGAGTCAATCTAAGTTAGACAAACAATAAAAACTTGGAAGTAATGGACGACCATTTCGTCTTAATATTTCAATGTGCTTACTAAGGAATAATTAGTGAAATAAATATGAACTTACATTATGATCATCATATTTATACCATTTGAATGTTTTTGTTCGAGGTCGATAATGTCGAACAAATGAATAATAATGTCCAGATGATGCTTGACCACTATGAACAACTACACCGCGCAAATTATATTTTGTACATGGATTATTATCATCATTATTATTATTATCATTGGTGTTATTGATGACATCAGTAGTTATACAGGACGATGAATCTGTAGAGTCTTTTAAACCTTGCACAGTATATGGTAGCATATCCAAATGACGTGGAAATTCACAATAATTATTAAATTTAAGTGATACACCCCTATGTAAGAGAAATGTAGAATATGTTAATGGTTAAATATAGTAAGTATGATGAGAAGGCAAAAGAAACAAATAAAGAAGATTGGGAAACACAGATCGAGGAAAATACTTCTGCCTACTCAATTCATTGTAATAAAAAGATTTTATGATGGTTATCTCAGGAATGATAAATTACGACATTAAGGAAAAAAAATAAGTATTTCAATTGTTGTAAGTAGTATTGCCAAACAATTTAGATAATTTAGTGAGCAAGAATTAACCAATGATGTTTTTGTCAGTTTCTTTATTCTCTCATTTCGTTATGTAACAATGACAATTCAAATATCCGGATAAATGATGTCCAATCATATGACTCATTTTCTGCAGGGAAGAGGTTTACATTATTTGGTCAGAAGTTCGTAAGTAATATCATACTACCTATTTCATTAATGTTGACTAGATTTGATAGATCAACTTAGAAATACAACCAACAGAATAAGCCCCTTGATATAATAATTCACCTTCCTGATGCTCAGTGATCAAAACTAGTCAGTATGAAATTTTAGATTTCATTCTACATGATCTTTGATATTCATTTGTCAATAAGGCTTAGAGGTAACATGAATGATACTGTATACTTCTATACTCAGTATAATTTAGATTTATACATAAATGAAAAGGTAGGATCTATGATTTTAAAACTTTAGTGGTGAACTTCATTTGTAGCCTTGATGATACACTTTATTAATTGTCTGATAACTCATCGTCACAATGTTAAAACTAGATATTAGATGGCTAAAAGTAGTAGACAGGTTGAAAGCTCACATAAGAAGCATAAGGATTTCCTCCAGAATAGCTCCAACCAATAAATCAAACAAATAATGTATGCAATATCCAGCTAATTAGACTAGTCGCTCCCTTGAAAATTGATCGGTAGATTACGATCAATACAAAGAACCTTATAAACAAAATATTGCTTACTAATCACTGGCTTAATCGGTGTAAATCTTAGTTAGATATTAAAAAAAATCGAAAATGGCCCAAGACTTTTAATCATCGTTAATATATAATTAATCAGATGGCTGGCTTATGTTGTGTTGTTGTGTTACGCCTGTTACTCCTAATGGAGCATAAGCCGCCGACCAGCATTCTCCAACCCACTCTGTCCTGGGCCTTCTTTTCTAGTTTCATCTAATTCTTGTTCTGGCTGGCTTGTGGTTTTATATTTTCACAAATCTCTTTGATCTAAGATTTAAGGGACCAAGTTAGTCCCCTAATAGAATGGACGTTTAAAGTATTCATCTTACTCTCAAAAATACTACGATAATACGTTCAGACGACAATAAGACTAGTCAGGTTATATCAGAACCATGATTTATGACCTGGAATAGAGAACCAGATTAACACTAGATAACACTTTGTTTAATACAATTAAAAGCGATCACACATAACTAATAGTCCGTAGGTTATGTCTGTTTGCCCAGGTTCAGTGATCGACTACATTTTACTTTCACTACGATACATCATCCTTTCATCCTGAACCATTCAGGCGAATCGATGGATTGGTCAAATGAATACTAGTAAGAGAGATAATTCATTGGTTTTATATTTATATGTACAACCTGATTGATCATCTTTGTCATAAAATGAAATAAATGAAAGCAAAATAATGAAAATCCTTTAAAAAGAAAACAATGAATCCACTTACCGTTCCCAATCATAATCGAAACGTTTCAATTGAATAGTTAATACTAATGGTAATTTTTGAATACACATACGTTTTAATATTGGTATTTTTTTATTGCACATTCTACAATGATATGCATTATCTCCTTCTAATAATTCACCTTTTACATATTGTTCCAATGAATCAATTAGATTTCTATGATCTAATATATCAACATTGAGTGTAGTAAATGATTCATAACTTGTATATCTAAAGAGAAAAAACAATAATGAAAAGAAAACTTAGTATACTCAAAGAATTTCAACTTTCAGAAAATTATCTTGTTGAGCTACAAATATTCTTCATCACAGGACTGGACGACTTTTGCTGGTAGAGATATTCATGGTTCGGCATTATTGCAAAATAATATTGATAAATATTATCTGAACGCTTGAATCCCTTCCCTAAGCTCTTCTAGTAACTACAGGCTAAATCCACACGACAACTTGAGCACAAGAGAAAAAACGCAAAACAAGGAACACTCGCTTTTCTCCAAAGTAAGTTTCTATACAGAAAATCGAGGGTATTTGTAGCATTTCAGATGGTTTTGAGCTTCTGTAACCCTACTAAACATAGTACCAAGATAAGTAATCATTCAGTCAGAAATGTGACTCGTGAATTTTCACTTTCCAGATGTTTCTGAGATGCCCTTGTTCAGTGCTTATTGGATCAAGTGCTTCTCAGTGTTTTTAAGGCCCCCTCTGGGCCTTTTTCAAGGATCCATCTAACAAATATTTGACTCGTTTACCAGATCAGATTTGTTGTACTGGGTTACGAATTACACTAAAGGTTTGAAGACTATTAATACCAATAGATACCATTCAAGTTCTTTACAACCTGAAAGTACAGCTCAACCATGTGGGTCAATTACATAAGAACCCTGATAAATAATAAACTAGAATAAGATAACTGTTCGATGTTCAACAAACTTTAATGGCTTTTCAGTTAAAAATCAAACTGAGTATAAAATAGCTTATTTTGAAAGTCATACAACATAATTACATCAATAAAATTTGAGTTATTTGTACACAGATTACACTTCATTTCGCGATCAAAAAAAGATATCCAGCCAGCTACAAAAAAGACGTAAAGTCTAGGACAAGTTTGAGTCAGTTGAAATTCTACATAATACACTAGCACAATGAGATGAATAGCAAAAGAGTGGATAAAATATAACGGCGACGGTAATATGAAAGATTAAATAATGAGAATATAGTTCGAAAAGACTAAATGCAAAGGTATGTTTGGAAAAAAAACTGCAACTCGAGATTTAAGAGATAATAAAGAGTGAATGGATTTAGAACGTTGTGACTGATTGTAAATCATATCACATGATACTTCTAAAAAAATGATCGTTTTTTATGTGCTGTTTCTAACTAGATAATCTAAATATGTTAGATGGGTGAACAAGAGATCAAGTATGACTTCATGATAAACTACTAGATGTTCAAAGATATTAGATGATTGATCAACATGTATGAAATCAATATAAACTTACCGATGTGGACAATCCAAACAGATCTTTTGATCGGCAAATTTACCACCTAACACAACTTCAACAATTTTAGGCAATTTACATAATTCTAAAGCTTCATCCAAATCATTACCGAGTATTTGAAAGAATTCCAATGCATCATGTTGTTCTCCAACATGTACAGCTTCTGCACGAAATCTAGTTATTGTTTTTATGAGGAGAAAATGAAAAAATGTATATAAGATATATTTATTTTTCATGGTGGTCTAGCTTTTATTGACTCATGAACTCAACTATATAATTGTGTATCAATATAATGAGTTAAATTGCAATGTAACTTATTTAGTGGTTTAATTTAGAAAAAAATAGTGATTGAACGATGAATGGTATCTCTTCTAATAAATATAAGGATGTTCAAATAGTACATGACATCAATCATTATGATTGTAACTTTTAGGCTTAATGATGCTACATATGTTGGGTAAAGAGAGGTTAGACTAAAAGAGCTAACTTAAAATCTGAGGGTGAAGTTTGTACATCGACGTGATGAGAGTCAGGAACTTTCCTAAGACAACAAGAGTCCCAAAGGGTTTTATTTTCTCACAAAAGGAGATATTAGAGAAATCCGACGATGAAAATTCACTATCGATTTTTTCTCTCAACAACAACAACGCTTTCTTCATCTGAATATTGAAAGTGATCCATCAGAATATTTAGTTATCAATGACATGGTTCTGTTTAGTGAAGACGTTGACAAAATGAACAGTTTCTTTATCCCCACAAAGAACAATGTAAAATGTTGATTTATGACTGATTTGCGCCATCTACTAAATTGATCATCAGGAGAAAAAAAAGTTGAGCAGATGGGTCAGTTCATTTATCGTGAAAGTCTTATAAACCCTGGTTAATTGAAATTTGTCAAAATCTCAGCACGGATTCAGAAAGATCTCCTGTCTTTCACAAAATTCTACCAGTTATGATATGGGCAAGGTTTTCGTCTTATGATGAAGAAACAAGTATAATGTGTAGGATGTAGTATTTCACCTTATTACTGTGAAAAGTGACCTAAGAATGTTAGATGATTTACTTCTTGCTTACCTTTAGACTATGATTTTTCGAATTATTTTATAAATCTTGGTTAGATTAATTTATACTTTATTTCTCAAATCATTTCCATTCTCTATCATGATATTCATCAGTATGTCTTCGGAAACTTGATTGTTCTTCAATTCATTACTGATGGAATAAATATTAGTCAATCAATATTCTTTAAATAAGAAAGATTAGTTCAGCGAAAATGAAAATGAATTCGCCGAAAAGAGAACTCTTCGCTGAACTAATCTTTCTTTCTTATTTAATGTCATAATGGGTATATTCCGTTTATTAAAAAATCAATATTCTGTTGAAAAATATAATCTAGACATAATTTATATCTTTTACAAACCATATGAAACACAACCAGGAAGTTTGCAACAAAGTACGATTCACTAACTAACCAGGATAATAAAACAGAGTAGATGATATTAGAGTATATGCTTCAAAATAGAGCACTGTACATGTATTCTTACTCTGTAGATAACTTTAATAAAATACATGTATAACAGATGCATGACCATTTAAATTATAGGCCATAATAGTGCGATCATAAATCAATACACAGTTCGATATTTCACAGTATACTCGTTGTGAGAAAGATAGACGGATATCTTATCTATGCTACAAGTAGTAAGTAAGCGATCTAAATTCAAGTGAACATTTATCATCATCACATCAACTGCTGAATTACATAGATTGATTGACTACATTTCTCATACAGCAAATACAAATATCCCTCTTAAATTGTAATGGAATCAGAAAAAAGAACAAAACAATGGAAAGACAAAATACAGATAAACAAGTAATCAATATTTAGTCGATGAATATGACCCAACAATAAAGAAACTTACTTAAAATGACGCCAAAATTCTACTGGTGCATAATATTTAACACGACTATAAGCTAAATGTCCAAAAATTGTTTGCATATGATATAACACATTTAGATGATGAATTTTCTCTTTACTTAAAGGTTGAAACTCTGGTTCTTTTGATGTTTGATCATCATGAGTTGTTGTTGTTGCCGTGCTATTTTTCAATTCCTCATTCTTTATAATAAAAACAAAACACATAAAAAGTTATTTAGAAAATTATAGACAGTAGTAAAACCTGGTTTAAATAAATAACAGTTCCAATAGAACAAAGCGGAGTTTTATCAAAATATAACTTAATTTATTATATGAAGGATTACTATTTATAATTTTAATGATATTATGAATAAAAGCTCAATCTATTGTATTGTTATATTCTCTTAATTCTAAACTTCCACTTGACTAATGGTCAGTCACTAACAACTTAGAATTTAGTATGTATGTACATCAGTTCGAGTTGCCATATCACATTAACACAGAGACGCAGGTGTCGATTCAAATCCCGTAGTTGTAGAGGTAGTAAAAGTATAAGCAGTAATCGGAAACATTACGGTTTCAACATGTTATTCAACCAGTATAATACAGTGAAATAAATTTGGAAAGAGAAAAAAGAAAGGGACATGAAGAATTCGGAAGATTGGAATTTGGGAGAACACAGAGAGTGGATGCACCTGCGCCATTGCAAACGATTTTGAGCCATGTCATTTAGGGTCTCTAACCATCGCTTGCTATCGTTTCGCGGATCCTCGCTTGACCAGTAAATCGTCGTCATATATCGTATTATTTCAAACATCACTAATCAACTATTTCTTTGTTGTTTCACTTTTCTATCATATATGACTAAATTATCACAAGCCCTGTAATTCCTATTTGCGCTGATGTGTAGTTAAACATTCCACGTATATTATTTCATGGGTATTGATTGATGATTGAATACAGTACAATTGAGAACTGATCTGATTTCTATCTGTGTTTTCTAATTAGTCATTGGGTTAGGAGAAGACGGACGACCAATAATGGTTAAGGTGTTGATTGTTGTTCATAAGTCGGTGTATCGATTTGTAAAACCGATGGTCACCAGTCTCACTGGTAATATAAATGAACTAGTAGGTGCTTAGGTTAGAGAGCGAATACGTAAATGCTCTCCTGTAATAACGGCCTGACCACAGGAGCAGTTTTTTCGATAATGTTTAATCTAAGCTGTCATATGTAACATCAACACATAGAAGGAATTAAAAGATACGAGAAAAGGAAAAAAATAGGTGAAATAGTTATAGTATGTATAGCAGCCGTCGAATGCTTCCAGGTTTTCAATGGTAGTCTGACATCAATCGGTTCATGATTTCAATCGAAAACTTAATAATCTTCATAACCCCATACTGATAAATTATATAGTTCCAAAATGAACAAATGAGAATGTAGAAAACGAAGAATGCGTAAATACAGAATTCAAATCATTTCAACTTCTTACATAACAGGACAGAAAAGAGAAAACGGGTAGAAAATGAGAAGGTAAAAATGTAAACAATAAGGAAATAAGAGGGTCGAAAATAATATATAAAACTATAATGATGGTGATATGTCATGGAATCTAGGCGTAGCCAAAGATCTAATTCATATACATCAATGCAACGATATAAATGACTACAGATATACCATTCCGATTAGTGAATAATGAGTGTAAGTCGAGAAAAACACCACGAAGTTACACAACTAAACTCTGAAAAAATTAATGTTACCATATCATTATCTGAATGGAGTATCACTAACTTCTCTCTGAAACTTTAACCTTACATAATAGTTCTATGTTTGGACATTCTATCCGTGAAATTATATAATATACAGCAATATGTTTATGTACTGAAATTTTATCAACAATGTGTGATGCATAGCGCTACTGTCCAGTTGTTACTGTTTAAACCGAAATAGGAAAAAGACAATTAAAAACTGAGATATACAGTGTACACGTTCAATTAAATGAACTTATAAAACTACTTGTTATTATAATTCATAGCTAAAAATGTTAGATTCAGCTAACTAGTCAAATAGTTCTTTGAGTAATATCGACTAATAGACAGTGATCATTTAAATAAAAACAGTATGATATGATTAAACTCACTAATCTTTGTTGACAAATATTGTCAGCGATATCATCACCGGAGATTGGTAAAGTTGTAGGTGCAGTTGAAGTATTTATCACTTTCGAAGCTTCTTTATCTATCAACAAGTTACAGTCCAACAGTAGAGATTCTGGATTTGCACTCAGTACACAATCACGAATTGGATCCAATGTAAACAACTGTTGTATAATCGAATTCATATAACATGTAGCTCCACCATTTTTCAAACCAACAAAACGATGTGTAATACTTATATCATTATCATTACGATTATAATTGCTATAATCATTATTAGTCAAATTATTTTTATCAATATGATCAGAAAATATTGATGATGATGATAATAATGATGTTGAATTATTAGAATTTAATCCAAAATTATAATTCCAGTTGAAATGCATAGGTCTTGCATTGGCTAAAATATTAATAAATGATATGTTTTTCTTCAATTATGAATGATCTTTATTTATTTATTTAAACACATAGATATTGGTACAAAGGGGCACCGAATACATATGCGCCACAAAAATCTCATTTCATATGTGTGAGGACTATAATACTGCCCGGGTGCCCAGACCGAAGCAGGTGGTTTTCTTAGAGGGCCACACCCGGAACCTTCTACCTGAAGGTCTAATCCCCAAGGCAGTGAAGCGACGTAAGGAGATGCAGTCCCATGGTAGCCGGTGGCCAAATATTGGTTCATACGCCATTTGTTCCCTCACGATCCTGGAACCCATGTGCACCATTAGTTTGGAATCAGGGTTTTCCAACTCCCCTAAGTGAATCCTCCATATCTACCAACCCGGTTAAAGCGCCGGATATTCACTTTTCGTCCTCTTAATTTCATAAACAACAGTAATGTCATTAGAACGCAGTGATTAGGACTTCCCTGGTAGTGGTTGTATGCACGTGACTATGTGAGAGCATTTGGAGAGGGATAGTTGACTCTCCCCAGTCTCGGCCGTACCAGGGCATTTGAGGGCTATTGATAGACAGAAGATCAATAATAACTATAGCTATAAGAATATTACCCTATATGATGAAAGCTAATTACCTCTCAATGCTTAGGATTATTCCTCTTAAACAAACATATATACAACATAGTTACGCCTAATTATTAATGATGTTAAATATAATGTAGGTTTTAAACTTACTGGAAAAAATCAAATCATACAGCATAGTTGTTAATAATTGACTATTTAATGAATTACATTTAGTTATGGATAGAAGAAAATCAAAAGTTGAATTCATTAGTTTTCTTGAACATGATAAATGTGATGTAGATAATGGAGAATAAGAATTGTTGTTGTAGTCATAATTTAATATGTGATGTTGATTATTGATTTGTGAGCATATTGTAGATTTACGTATTTCGTTATATTGTTTTGAAGCGGGAAATAATAAAAATTCAACTAAGTCCTATAAATAAGAAAAGTTAAAATAAGAATAACGATCAATTGTAGTGTACTACTTATCGAAATTAAGTAGTTGGACATAATTCAATTTTTGGATAATGAGGTAGGAACTAGGCCATTTATTTTAAAGTTGTTATTATACATATACGTTTAGTGTAAGGAGAAAAACTTTTGAACACGTTTTTTTTAAAACTTCGCATAGGTACGGCTTCAAAAAACCAGTGTTCGTCTTATATAACCTTGATAAAGAGACAAAAAGCCTACATTCAGATTTATCTTATGAGCGGTAATACGTTTGTGTTCGTTTCGTAATTGTATGGAGTGACACCGTTTTGAATACTATAGAAAGCTTTATTTGTAGTTATAATACAACAGCGTTTACGTGAATTTACAGCGTTTTCCTGACTTTCATTTTTGGTTCATTCGTAGCTACTAGAGTGAGCATCGGATAGATTCGGTAATTTCTGAAGCCTACACTATACTCAATAGTATTAATATTATTCTGGTCGTTTATTATCTATTCTAAGTCAGCTAACTTCGTTAGTTATTATAACCATCGCAACATACGAGACACTTGGTTATCCAAATAAAATATCTGAGGCAAGGTCAAAACTTGTAATATACAAGTAGAAGGACTAGTCTCTTGGCAGTTTACGCACTTAAATCGGAATCGAGTAGTTTCAGTTGACCCGTCTTCTTTTCCGATCTATCATTTCTCAACCAATCAGGTGATAGAATAGTTTTCGTCTCTCTACCCAAGACAGTTAGTCTCAATTCTTAATCACTCATTTCTAGCCTCAAGGTTAAACAAGTATATGGCATCAAGGCCTTAATCTAGATCGAGACAGATTCTCTCCTGTATATTATTGGGTAAACAGATCAAGGACATAACAGCATCTTTTTACCATAAGTGCTAAAATATTAAATTACTAGAGAAGAATAAAACTTACCTTAACTAAATATAATTGATTTATTAAATAATGCGATGTATTGTTATTATATTGTTGATCAGTAGTATTTAGAGTTTCCGATGTAGTACTTATGCATTTAACGTTATCATTATTGTTTCTATCATCACTATTTACAATGTTCATTGGGAAGTCGTTTATCTGTCCTGATATTTGTTTCATTTGGTCAAACAGTTGATCAGTATAGTCTTCGCTCGCTAACAATTGTAACGATGAATTAGTAGAATGTAGAAAACATTGATATAACGATTTGCAAATTCTCAAGTGTCCACAAATTAAGGAATCTTTATCCTCAATAGACATATTATGAAAATGATGAACAATGGTATCTGGTCTAAGGCATGCAGTGAATCTTATCCATTCTTTGTTTAGTGATGATGATTGATCAGTGGATTCTGGAGTTGTAGCACAGTGGAAAATCGGTGGAGTGATATCAACAGACGGATAAGAAAAAATAGGTGTTTCACATGATCCTAATTGACGACCAGTTATCTATCAGATAAAAATGAAGAAATAATATGTAGTACATATGGCTGATCAGAAGTTAGAGCACACTAACATCCACAACCAGATACCATATTATTTGCGAACTCATTTAAGAATATGCGTTAAAAAGTTTAGATGAGAAGAGAATGTGGAACTTTTTATGATAATCTTATTGAATGGGGCTTGAAATCAATCTCAATCAGTTATCCTAGTAATTTGACTACATATTTCTTTCTCATAACATAAGTACGATAGAAACCGTCTCATTGATATCTAGCCAACAATATATAGAGTTGCAAAATTTTAGAGCACATGATTTAAAAAAAATCGTTTTGAAACCCATTGCGTTTGAGGACAGTCTAATTTTTACTTTGAAGCAACTGATCATGGTCTTTAGATGGCACTAACAGACGTGTAAAAGAACAACTGTCTTCGTCGCAGATGATTATACACTGTTAGATAACTGTAATTTGCACCAAAAAGCACTTCTACTATAAGCCACATGTAAGAAAGTAATAAAATTATGAATATAGGCAATATTGACTCGTAAGTTCGATGATTCTATATCCCAACAACGTTGATCAACTTCATTTTGAAATATTTACACCAGGAAAAATACGAATCTCTAGAAATAATAATAACAAATGCACAGTAGACTTTAAAAGAAAACGAGCTTTTCAACATTACGATTATACCATTATATGTCTTGTGAACATTTTAAGTCAAAAAGACTTTGCGTAGATACGATAAACAACCATGTTCATCAGGTTCGGTTATCAACAGAGATCGAGTTCAAGTTCAAAAGTGAAAAATAACAAATGTCAAACACAAATTCATAGTATTCAGATATGAACCACTAGCAAGATAGTAATTGTTCCTCCTCTTAAAATCTTATAATCACATTGAAAGACAAGAATGCCAGAAAACAACGTTGTGAAGTTTTAGATAACTGAATGTGTGTTATTACGGGACGAACACTGAAAACTTCAAACTTCCAGGAGAATTTTTCTATGATTATTTATAATTTTCTTGCATAGTAGGCAGAAGCTGGCTGCTGACTCCCCTTAGAACTCAATACAAGGGAATGATGAAAAGCTTGTAGATAGCGAACCAATAAGAATATATATGAATGAAAATGAACATGGTGAGCTAACAATTTTAGATTGCTTAGTGAAAAGAAATCTAAATAGAATTCTAAATCTATCCATCTACCGAAAACCTACACACTAATCGTTAGATTGACTTCAATTCAACACATCCCTTCAGTGCTAAGATCTTGCTAGCCTTAAATCTTTTTAAAAGAGCTAACAAGATCATCACATCAGAAGAGGATAAACAATAGGAAAAAAATGTAATTAGTATCTTACAATTTATTAATTTTCCTATGAAGATTATTAGAAGTATATTAAAATAAGATGTTTCATTGCGTAATAATGATAATCCGAATGAAATAACATGGATTAGTACTGTAGTTTTACCATACCGTGATGGCACAACAGAAAAACTCCAAAGAATCTTAAAACAACACAAAATTAAAGTATATTACAAAACAACCAACACACTTCGAAATACTGTAGTTGGGTTAAAAGAAAAAAAATCGCATTCATGTCAACACAGAACTGCGTTTACATATCAGGTTGTGTCGATTGTGATGTCTTCTATATTGGACAGTCATCTCGCGAAATTTTGACTCATTCCGAAGAACATATCAGGTAATCCCGTAGAGCTGGACAGACTTCAAATTAAATCGGCAATAGCAGTTCACACCACTTTCAACGACCACAAAATCGACGTCAAAAATATTAAAATATTCTTGTTGTTCCGTTGTACTATTTAAACTTGGATTAATTTCGGTTCGGTTATTTACTCTCTGAGGAAGTGGCTTAAACTAAGTCACGAAACGTTGGGAAATCTAATTTGTCTACTCATTGAGATATCACAAATATGCCATTTATTTACAATGTTAAACGTACAGATCGGACGTTCTTTAAGTCTTAAATACTAAACTAAAGAGGAAAAAGTAGATTCGGAACAGCAAATAGAATTAAAATTGGAATTTTGATTAGTAAATGTAGCACATGATATCAATTAGCACCTCAAGATATAACTCTTTCTATATAGAGTATGTATTTTTACTAAATTAAAATCATAATGGGAAAACAATTAAATTATCTGCAAAGACATATAGTGGCTAACAGTGGGATCCAGGACGTGCGTTTCGTCCTATTTGGGACTCGTCAGTCGAATGGACCTGCACCGCGAAGTTGATGTTCACTCTGGAGCTCGAACTCGGTACTGATTTATATAAAGATAGAATGATTTATCCAACATAATCATTTAAACGAAGGACGATAAATATAGAAGTACAAAAATTTCCATATACCTACTTAATCGACAAACAGTCGAATATAAATAATTAAGTCATCACTTCTTATAAATGATGTAAACAAACTATCATCTAATGAAACCACATATAAAAAAACTGTAATTAAACAAAAACAAACCATTAATCGAAGCCAGACAATTTCATCTCTAAGCCATTGATGTGCACTTTGTAAAAATTGTTCATGATTATCCATAAATGGAATGATTTGAACAAGTAAATTAAAATATTCATCAGATTGTGTTATTTTCGATGGAACATAATTCTGAAATAAAATATTTTGATATTTGCTATTAATCAAGTCAATCGGATATATATAGCTATTAAGAAAATTCTACAAAGTTTCGTCTCTTCTAAGTGGCCCCAAATGCCCTGGTACGGCCGAGACTGGGGAGAGTCAACTATCCCTCTCCAAATGCTCTCACATAGTCACGTGCATACAACCACTACCAGGGAATAACCAAGCTTTGATTTGATAATTTCGAATAAATTGAGCATTGGGTTGATTGTTATAAATAAAAATAATATATTAGTAATATCCCAATGAGTAGAAAATTGGATTTTCCGACGTTTCGTGGCTTAGTATAAGTCACTTCTTCAGAGAATAAATAACCAAATTAAATTAAATTAATCCAAGTTCTTGCATTGTTCCGTTGTACTATTTAAACTTGGATTAATTTAATTTGGTTATTTATTATCTGAAGAAGTGACTTATACTAAGCCACGAAACGTCAGAAAATCCAAATTTCTACTCATTGGGATATTACAAATATATTATTTTTATTCACTACCAGGGAAGTCCTAATCACTGCGTTCTAGTGGCATTACTGTTGTTTATGAAATTAAGAGGACGAAAAGTGAATGTCCGGCGCTTTAACCGGGTTGGTAGATATGGAGGATTCACTTAGGGGAGTTGGAAAACCCTGATTCCAAACTAATGGTGCACATGGGTCCCAGGATCGTGAGGGAACAAATGGCGTATGAACCAATATTTGGCCACCGGCTACCATGGGACTGCATCTCCTTACGTCGCTTCACTGCCTTGTAGATTATACGTTTAGGTCAAAGGTTCGGGGTGTGGCCTCTGGGGCACCCGGACAGTATCCCAGCCCTCACATAAATCGAATGATTTATGTGGCTCATATCTGTTTGGTGCCTACTTGTACCAATGTTTTTTTTCAAGTAAATAAATAAATTTTTCTATATATCTTGAATAAATTTGACGTCACTTCAGTAGTGTGTTTTGAGTAGCCGGTTGTAATGTAAAGGCAAATATATATGCAAGATATTGATCAGAGAGCTAATCGAAATATCTTGGAGTTGGTCCAGAGGCGATTCAGGTTTTGGCAAAAATGTACATCGATCCAAACTCAGTCAGTCAGTCAGCTACAACGTAGGACCAGGCACATATGTGCATCGGTCCAGGTTGCCATACCTCATTAGCACAGCAAGATGAACACCGGATTCATAGGAGTGGTTAGGTCAAAGGTGGTAATATGTAGGAGAAAGATTGCAATAAGGATATAGAATAGGAAGAAAGAATCAGTTCGTAGAAAGAAAGATATGAAGTGATTTTAATCTCTTAGCTTAAGGGAAGACAGGGAGTGTATACACCGACGCCATTGTGATCGATTCTGTCTTGTGTTCCCTATAGTCGCCGCCTTTTCCATCTCTTTGCTTTCGTTACCCACCACTGCTCACGGTCGTTTCTTAGACTTTTTCTTAACCTAGATCTGATTTGTTTTCGCTCTTCATCGTGTTCAGGACCTGATGGGACGAGTTTGCGAGAATCCATCAGTGTGACAGACCTTGAAGAAATCCACTGGTTCCTTGCAACTCTGTGGTTTAAGTCGCTAATAGATGTCACTGCTGTTTCCACAGCTGATTGTATGCCCTTCCAAGCAACATCTGGGTCAGCCTCGTCTTCACTACTAACTAAGTGTGACCTCAGTTGTTCCTGGAACCTACTTTCGGTTTTCTCGTTACTCAACTCAGTTCTAACGGGTCTTTTTAATGTGGTTTTTTTGCGTCCAGTGAGGCGCAAGCAGATGCGTGCCCGTATTAGGGCATGGTCGGAGTCCAAGCACGTACTCCAGAATGAGCGACAATCTTCTACCGACCCTCTCCAACGATGACTGATGGCAATATGGTCTATTTGAGTCCATCGTTGGTTTGGTGTAGGGGGTCGCCATGTTAGACGATGTCTCTCCTTATGCTTAAAATTTGTGTTTGCTAAAAATAAACGATTGTCTGAGCATAGCTGCAGCAGACGATCACCATTATCTGTTCGCTGTGTCGGAATACTAAAATATCCACCTAAATGCCTTTCTGTTTGGTTTAAACTGCCTATCTGAGCATTAAAATCACCTGCTACGAGTACTATGTCTGAGCGTTTAGCTTTCTGAAGAAGTTCGGACAGCTTTCTGTAAAATTCATCTTTCACATCATCTGAGCTGCAGTCAGTGGGAGCGTAGGCAGAAACGACAAAAAGGCAACGACGTGTGTCCCTATCCTTCCGAGTTCTTACGGAGCCGTTTAACCGAACAGCACATAGACGACTGTTGACGGGGATCCACTCTAGCAGTGCTTGTTCCGCCCTCATACTTAGTGCTATCTCTACACCTGCCAGTCCACGAGAACTTGCCATCGAGTCACCAGATACACGAAGGGTGTATCTCGTTGGCTCTCCGTTTTGCCGAGGTGAGGTCAAGTGAATAACCACACTGGAATCCTGTATGCGTGTTTCGGAGACACAGCACACGTCAATGGTAAGAGACTCTAGGGTTTTAGCCAAGGAAGCCTGCTGACCAATTTGACATAGGGTTCGTACGTTGAAGGCTCCAATTTGTAGTTTGGACGAGGTTTCAGTAGACATGGGACAGTGTTTTGTGCACTAGAATCGTTGGCTATGGTGACACTTGAGGTGGAAGCCGAGAGAGGAAATTTAAAGTTGAAAGTTGATTCTCTCGTGTTTGCAATTCAAGAGTCTTAGTTAGACGTCCGATAATTATCGATGTAAGAGGAATAATAGGAATTGAATCGAGAGGTTGATTATGAATAAAGTGGTATTGAGTGCTGTTAGAAGTATGAAGGTGGTTATCACTCCCTGGTTGCCCACACCGTGGAAGGGTTCTTCTAGAGGTACCTGAAAAGGAAATTGGATTAGAAGTGGTCTTAATGAAATGAGAGCGTGAACGCAGTGCCCAATGGACAACTGCTTGAGGTCGGTCACACACGACCTTTATGTGAGTAATTTTCGTGTTACCTCCATACTTGTGGAGACCTTACTGCCGGAGACGGATACCCGTGGGATAAGGCGAGGTGTGCATTTTTAGGGTCGACCTTTTCTAACCCCACTCCTCCTTGTGGGAAGGCAGCATCGCTATCATGCTGGTTGTCTGAAGGAAACACCTTACTGCTGTCACACCTCTGTACAGTCAGCAGTACGACTTCGCCTTCGGACCTTGGGTTTGTTGCTTTTAGTCTTACCGCTCTTCAACCGACCTGTCTGACATGGTAGGACCTTGCGGAACGGTTGTTCCAGCCAGTATAGCTCGGTTGCTTCATCACGATAGGCAAGCCCGACCACCACATCAAGGTAGCAACAACGGTCGGGCGATCCAAACTACGATAATATATCATCACCAAACGGAAATGGATATCAAAGCATTAATAGAAGTACAGTCCATGTAATTATAAAAAGAGAAACAAACTTCACAATATATAAACTGTGAAATATTTTTAAAACTCAGGATCTAGGGTAAGAAAAAGGATTAATGTATCTGTGTTATTTCGATCGATTTTGGACTACATCAACCAACTTCATCAACTATTGATCATAATAATCACTAAAATGTATGTCACATGTGAAGTAGTTCGAATACTTCACTAGAAACGGACGTTTGTGATGTTGATCAGAAAAACAATTAAAGCTCTACGACTAAAGCATCCACTTGAGCTAAAAATTTATTCCATCATCTTAATTAAGATCTAAAGTTGTTCATAATCGTTTTCAGCAAATTCATTTCGACAGAGACATTGAGAGAGGTCGTTAACATAAAGCCTAGGAACGATTGCGTTGACTCAAATCGTTATGTCTCATTAGCACGAATAGATGAAAATAACAAACGATATAAAAATACTGTGATAGTAATTATAGCAAGGTAGACTAAACCGTGGAATATGACTTGAAAAGACAGATTGGAAAGGTTTGTATGGAGAAGTACCGTAATTCAAAATTGAGGGCAGGTAAAAGGCGAATGTATTTGTGCCAATGTGAACGATTCAAAGTTGTGTCACTCATTGTCTCCAACCCGTGATCTCGGTTACTGCGCAGAGCCTTACCAAGTGGTCTGCATCTACGTACATGACTCAATCTGATAGTCAATGGCTTCATAGGCTGGTACCATGTTTTAGTTTGGTCGGCTCTAGCTTCCTTGAAACCAACTCCTGCATCAGCAAGCACTAGTCGTCGAAGTTAGTGACGGTAAGGCATACGTAATAGAAGTCGTAAGCATCTCGATCGATGAAACATCATTATCTCGTCAACCGATGTGTCACATCTGCCAATTACCCCATATATATCCTTAAGATTACTCACTCCAAGATAATAGATTTCAATAACTCTGACAAGATGATGTAGGGTAGAAAACATGTAACGATTCATCTATTAGATATCTGTTTCACAGATGGGTGAAATACAACTAAATTGGATATACAAACCTTAAGGTGTAATGATAATTGAACCTACCAATACTATAAATCGGAAGCATAAACTACACTTTCAAATACTCTTATTGACCAACAGAATATATTCTCAAAAATATTTCAAAACAGAAGATATTTTGACAACTAGCCGACTCACAAGTTAATATACATAGATTTAGATACAGTTGGTAAACAAACTAAGTGTAACACAACTTACAGGTAACCAATTGAACATTTGCTCCAATGCATAATAGACATTATCTCTGTTCTCAGTTGCAGTAAATGTTAGTAAAGTATGCATAGAATATCTTGTAGTTATGCGAATAATTAACGAATCGGAAAATAACAAATCTTGTAACATATCTGCACCAGTTAATTGATAATTGTAATCATATTGATAAGAATGTGACTGAAGAATAGAAGGAGGTGGATATCGACGATATTGACGTGAATGTTTACGATGATTGCTACCACGACGATCACGACAACTACGATAACTATCTACTGTTGAATGATTCTGTGATAAACAAACTAACATTTTATATGATAAAGGGTACTTTAAAAATGTACGAAATTCAGTCTGTGGATACAGACATTGATACCATGGAATACAGTTTAATGCTTCTATGATTACAGAACCTTGAGTTTCACCACTTCGAAAAGAATTAAAGCATTGTTCATGAAAGTTAGAATATAATAATTTTGACAAATTTCTATTATCAATATCGTTGGAATCACTATTATTACTACTACCACTACAACTTCTACTACTACTACTACGACTATTATTACTGCCACTACTAATATTCTCATTATTAGATGAAGAACTTGACGATGATAATGAGTGTAACTGGTGAACAGAAGATAATGTTGACGATGAGGAAGATGATGACAATGTAGATTCACACGATAATAAAGATATTGCCGATGAAGATAAACGAGTTGAACTGGATAGATTATTAGTAACTGTTTGTTCGGTATCATTAACAGGAAGGATATCTTCATTGATATCTTGAAATTTATTTTCAGTTAATACAAGTTGAGAGAAGGATTCAACTGACAGATCATTTTTCAGTGAAGCCAATCCATCTATAAATGAAAAGAAATTCAAAAAAAATTTATCCAGAATATATATATATATATATGTCTCAGGATCGCAATTCTGTGGGATTGTGGATCTGCATTGCTAAAGAATCACAAACTAAGGTGAAAAAACTATCCAACGCTACCTGGTTTTTAATGATTTCCTAACAAAGTTTAGCCTGTGACTAAAACTATTACTTACTTACGCCTGTTACTCCTAATGGAGCATAGGCCGCCGATTAGCATTCTCCAACCCACTCTGTCCTGAGCCTTCTTTTCTAGTTCCATCCAAAAGGTCATATGTAATACTAGAATACCTTTGTCTTCTATACATAAACTAAGCCATGAAATATTGCTTCTGCCTTCTGCTTTTCAGTTCAGTGTTAAAAAGTGAATTTCCGAGGATTTCATGTACGAAAACGCATCGAATTCAATGCATAAAAACGTGAACTTTGGGTAACCATATAGCATCATTATTATAAAAGTTAATGAGTTTTTTTCAAATGAAGTTAATTAAAAGTCAAACAAAATAATAAAATTCATAAGATTTTGATGGAGTTTTCTTCTTTGAGCTAAATGGTTTGGTCCTGGAGCTTTCAGGTAAAAGTCTACCTGAAGTTTGTGCTGATGATGTCGTTCAGAAGAACGATGAAAGCTCCATCACTAAACCATCTAGCTCAGAGAACAAAACTGAATCAAAAACATCCACCTGAGCTACAAATCTTCTTCACCATCTCAATAAAATTCTTACCTTCTAATAAATTATTCTCTTGTACATTATTTATACCTGTACATGAATAAAGTTTATCAATACGATTAGGTTTCATACTAAAATCTTTTAAATATTCCATTGAATTTTCACAACCATATCTTGTTTGCCATCCAGTTAAGAAAAGATTTCCAAAAGTATTATTTATACTACTTTTAAACCAGTAACTTTTCACTTCATTTATGGATATCTAAGAAATATAACAAAAATGATTTCACTAGACTAAATGTAAAAACAGTAAATTTCTAGATAAACTGATGAATGATACAATTGAGAATGAATAACTATCATTTAAAACATGAATACACAAAAAATCAACATCTTTTAAAATGGGTTTATTATAAGTACACCTCAATTGATACGTACATCATTCACCAGTTTATAGGATCAAGGCTTGATTATCATATTGACTGGCCACTTACATCAAAGATGTAGACTATTGGTTTCTAGTCGAGTAGTGACTTACTAGTTAGGGCGTTTGAATTTTAACCTCCAAATTAAAGATTCAAGTCTTAATCCAACTATTTTGGAGTAGGTCCCGGATAATAACATAAGCGCTTACACATCAAGTGTAGCTTAAATTTAACCAATACACGAATCTGTACTTAATAACTGTGTTATATCAACGGATTCTCGTACAATATTCTGAGGGTAACTTACTATCTAAATAATTTACCGCCAAATTTAGATAAAAAGTTCAAAAATCGATCTGAATAGTATGAAATGGGTAAATTCTTTACTTTTGTGTAAATTCGAGATTGAATACTACATTTCATACTTTTAACTATTTGGTTACGCCAATACTTTGTGAATTACCTATTTATCTAATTATTTCTCAATTTATTTACCTTACATTATGGTAAATGTTAATGCTAAGTATCATAACTCAAAATGATTTATATTTGACAGGTTAAGTTCTAAGTTGTTTATGAATAACTGACTAAATAAACTTGAATAAGAGTTTGAGAAATTGAGCATAATGTGCATCTATTTAATTCATTATTATGTCTACAGCTGTTGATATATCAATGAGGTGAACTTTTTTCTATTTGAGAGATGATTATTTCAATGCCAATTTAGTCAGTCAGCTACAACGTAGGACCAGGCACATATGTGCATCAGTTCAAGTTATCATACCGCATCAGCACAACAAGATGAACACCGGATTCATAGCAGCAGTTAACTCAATGGTGTAATATATAAAAGAAAGATTGCATATGAGGATATAGTACAGGAAGAAAAAATTGGTTCGTGGAGAGAAAGATATGAAGCGATTTTAATCTCATAGTTTAAGGAAAGACAAAGAGTGTATAGACCTACACCATTGTGATCGATTGTGAGCCATGACACCAAGAGTCTCCAACTATTGGTTACGATAGTCACGCGGACCCCAAACGAGTAGGTTGCATCTAACAAAATGGCTAAGACTAGAATTTAGTGACCTTGTGAACTGATGTCACGTTTTGGTTTAGCCGCCATCAAACCAACCCCAACACTATTCAGCATCGCGCATCGTGGTAATCGGTGTTCATGCATACACAACCATCTCATCAACTGATTTACCATCATTCTCTAATACCCTGCGTCTAACCTCAATATTACTTACCCGGTCATCCCAGCAGATACGAGCAATATTTCTAAGGCATCTCTGGTCACATACTAGTAGCTTACGAATATCTTCTACTCTTAATATCCGTGTTTCGTAGCCGTAAAGTAAAACAGAACGAAATGCTGAGTAGTATACTCGTCCTTTTATTGATAGACGGATATCTCGCCTTCGCCATAAGTGATGTATTTTGGCGAATGCCAACATAGATCTGACATTAATACAACTAGTCAGTTATGAATCGGAACAGGTTGAAACACTTAAAATGAGTACATTAAGGAAGTTACCAAGGTGAAAATGAAAATAATATTTATTAAATAGTAACGAAAAACTTTGGTAATAAAGTATAAAATAAGGGAATAAATTTTAGAATAAAATGTAGTTTAATTTATATCTTAGTTACTTACAACCTGGATGGAGTTAGTGTTTTATTCTCAGCAGTGTATTTCATATCAAATAGCTCAATGTACAGAAGTAGGCAGTAGGACAAAATGTGTAACAGACTGCTAGATCACCTCAGTTAAAGAAGGATTACAGTCTCATCATTCGATTACGTATCACCATGAAGTAGTATTAGCGCAATATAGATTGACATAAATCATGTTTCATGAAGGAGTGTTGGGGCGGATAACTGGAGACTTTAGAAACTCTTTGACTAAGAAGTATAAATATACTAAAGTTAAAGATGCCCAAGACCAAATACTCTTGGAATGCATGCACGACTTCTAATTTAAAAGGTCATATGCTACAGACACCGATTGTAACATGCTGATAGCATAATAAATGAGAACAAGAATTCACGTGCCCTTCGGTATTGCATGTATGAATATACATACAATAAGGAATGTCAAATAAAAAAATAAATGGAAAACTAGCATAGAATATCCATTTAAATATGTCTAATCTGCAATAACGACTTCAATTTTAGACAAATTTCATAGTTAAGTGTTCGTATGCGAACTTGGGATCAGAGAGAGGGAGAGAGAGAATAATGTATCCGAGACCAGTTATCACTGAGCTTCAAGCTAAAGAAATGTAAGCCCTATGTGGAAACCTGCTTGAACATCTGGGCTACCTGTTTTTGCCATCGAGATATTTCAACAATTTATCTAATTTTGTTTGTTTCAATACGTCATTATGGCTATTAAACTCGTAAACTATTCAGGTGCGTTTCTGAAAAGTGCACAACCTTTCGTTGAACAAGTTACAAAAGGTCCAATCAGATATCGTGGTTGCTAGCAATATGCAGCGAAAAGAATGTACATTATTTAGATGTCGATTGATTGGACTGTAAACTTCTAACTGGCGATCACTCATTATTTATCGTCAATATCGACCAAGACGTAAGAAACGGAAACTTGTTGAAATACTTTGTGCTGAGCGTTCTATATTTTGCCAAAAATACAATATTGAATGAAGCTAATAATAATATTATAATAATTCAACACTTTGATTAACTCACACTTCATTTAGAGTTTGCATGCCGTAAATTTAGTTTTATTGAATATTAAAAAAAAGCAAACTAACAAGGGTTGAGATGATGTTATTGAATCGCCGTAAAATATTTCCAAGTATAAAAATAAATACACATTGAGATGGAAAGAGATAAGCAACTTACATTAGATACAATCGTCAACTGTGCAACGTGTAAAGCGTGTAAAAGTAGAAAATAATCTCCGCCTAGTACAGGATGATTTGTACTACTAGTTAATTTATAAGTATGAAGTAGTAATTTACAAATATATTCAATATTATGCTCTGAACTATCAACAACATCACCATCACTATCAGCAGTAGCATCAAGATTTCCAGCAGTATTTCTTTCTGTTATCATCTTCGCTGCAGTAGTGGTAGTACTAGTACTATCTGATACCGGCTGTACCAATGATAGTGGATTTTGTTGTAAAGAATTAGTAAATGAAAAATCATTCCGACAGGAACTAGGATCTTTCACAGCGACTGTCAGAGAAATTAATAACTGATAAAATGATGACTTTTTGAATACATTACACATATAATCTGATATTGAATCTAGGTTATACAATACTAGTGTATTAGCTGTACTAATAAGTAATACACGAATTATTCTTAACAGCCATAGACGTATGTGATAGAGTAGTTTCCAATGAACTGTTGTGTCATAGAAAATAATCTGATTGTCATCATTTTTATTAACAATACTAACAAAAGATGAAAGCGTGAGAGAAGAAGAACGGGAATCGAGTAAATGATCATGGGATAAAGGACGTTTTCTTTCATTCTTATCACAGTTAATAATTTTATGATTTAATGATGATGTAGGAGTGAAGGAGGATACTAAAAGTGGAGACGAAAGAAGTAGGTTTAAGGCACCACCACGAAGTAGAAGCAGCTAAAATAAACAAACAAAAAACAATTATTTCAATAATTGAAAGATACAATTTGACGATAATAGTACTAATCGTGGACTGATATCACATAGAAAATCATTGTAAACTAAGGAAGACTATAGTCGTCTCAGTTTGAAATTGTCCAATTGCCAATCATATTCACAGCAAGAAATGAACTGAGATGGGTTAGTTTAAAGAATAAGTAAGTTAGCACTGAATTAGTACATATTCCCAATTTCAGATGATTTTTTACAACTCTTACTTGACTTGCAATACCTTTCGGTTTCTAATAAAGAGAGCACATAACAAATGTGTTATCTGAATGTTTAATGTACGTGTAGAGATTGCAAGATACAGAGAGATTTTTGACGTAAATGTTGAACGACACCTTTTTAATATTACTTCCTAAAAGTTGCAGGATCCACTATTCATGATAAGCACCACAAACATAAAAAATTATCATTGATCACTACCTCCAATCAATTATCTAAAATCATAGCACATAATATATAAAAATTTATTTGATAAAATACTTACGGTTATAGTTATAGCATCTGACCAATCTGGAATTTGATTAAACAAAACGTTTGTAGTAAAATCTATTGTCCTTGGCATAGTGTTACTACTGATATTCCTATTATTATTATTATTAATAGTAGTAGTAGTAGTATTAGGAGGAAAAAAACGTTGACAATTATACATATTATTACTACTATTACATGGATTATAAAGTTGACTATGATCTTCATTCAGTTTATTAAAATGATAATGTTTCACTAAACAACTAGGCATCATTAAACAATACAAAACTTGTAGTGTATACAATAATTCAATGTAATTCGGTGTATTCTCCAAATTGATTTGTTTATTATTGAATAAATTAAATACTCCAGTTGATACATTTGGTTTTGTAAGTAAATGATGAAACCATGTTTGTGATAAGATAGCTGAATACAAAATAATAAACAACAATGTACATAATAATAATAATAAAAACGAACAAAATGTTGTAACTAAGTAACTTTCTTAACATATCCGATAATAAAGTTAGCTATACGACAGAATAATCAGATCCTTAAGCTTCCATTTTCTAAAAATTGGATTTATTGCTGTAAATATTTAAATGGAGTTCTTATCCTTTGCTGGATGTTTTGATCGTGGAGCTTTCATCATTCTTCTGAACGACATTATCAGCACAAACTTCAAATAGAAGTGAAGTGTTCGAATTTCTTCACATGTGATTCACAGCTTGTCCTATAGACCTCGAAGTTGATTGGTTCCTGTTGACCTTGAACCTTTTATTGTTTACTTCTTTGTTTTGGTTGTATCTCCTACTGGTTTGATTTTTTCCTAGGTTTGCGCACAATTTTCCTGACTGGTTGATAAATTGGATCGATTTCGAAGTGCATGTTGATTGCTGATTGACCTGACTGCCAAGCTTCTAAAAGTTCTCTGGTGTTATTGGAAATTCCTCTATCCAAGATTTCCACAATCTTCCAGTCAAATGAGTGTCCCCAGATGTCCACGTGCATAAATATAAGTGAGGAATAAGAACGCTTCACTTCTATCTGAAGTTTGTGCTGATGATGTCGTTCAGAAGAACGATGAAATCTCCACGACCAAAACATTCAGCTCAGAGAACGAAACTCCATCGAAAGCATCCACCTGAGTTACAAATGTTCTCCACCATCTCAAAATCACATGAGCGTAATATGCTGTAAATATTCTTGTTTCAAATTTGTTCTACTTTACTAATTATTAGATTTGTCGGTTATGTGCACTCATGAGCTTAGATTAAATGCTCAAAATCAGTTGTAAAACGAATAACTAAGAAACTACCACCATCACCACAAAAGTCAGCATATTTCCTTTCTCGTCTATCTCTGGCCTCCGAAGAAACAAGAAGTGATTAACATAGAATTCATACATAAATTACATTGTGGTAAACAGAGAGATATGATAGGAGAAAGATTAATGGTAAACACTTACGAATGAATATGAATAAAAGTACATCGTTGTCTAAAGACTTTAACCTGAACATTCTAAATATTAACTCGTTAAATGTTAACTAAACCTGGATATTGTTTTAATCTTTGGATAATTTGTATTAAGAGTTTCCAAATGTTATGAAAGTGAGGGAAGAAAGAAATGTTATCACAATTGTAATATATATTCATGAAAACTCTATGCTTACAAGATTTTAGTTATTCATTCAGCTACATAATTTGGGGAAGAAAAAGAACGGATGCACCTGCACCTTTGCAAATGTTTTTGAGCTGTCTTTCAAATTCTATAACCATTAGGTACGATAATCACGCGGACATCAACCAGGTAGTCTACATTCATTACCATGGCTCACTCCAAATGTCAATGACTTCATGGATTGATGCTATGTTTTGGTTTGACGATCCCTAGCTCTCATCTAGCCTACTTCTACACCAGATGACATTGCAGATGAGGTAGGCGGTAGTTGTGCACACTCAACACACGTCCTAACCACCTCAGTTGACAAACATTTACCATCTCATCAATCGATTTCTCATTGTTACCTAGTATCCTATTTCTAACCCAAATATTGGTTACTCCGTGATAACAAAATACACAAACAATGCTTTGTAGGCACCTATGATTGAATACCAATAACTTACGAGTACCCTCTATTCTTAATGGTCATGATTCACAATTATAAAGAGGGACAAAGAGAATTGTCAAGCCGTAAACTCGTCCTGTGGTTGAAAGACGGATATTTCGCCTATGCTTTACAAGATATACCACTGTTATATTGGGTATTTCGTCAACAATGTCAACTTTGTACAGCATTTTATGATTTGTATAATTAACAACTTTCTCAAAAAATTAAAAAAAATTAATCAATCACATATATCACAGATTGAAATCATGAGTCAGTTGAAGCTCGACCACCATTGAAAACCTGTGAAATTTCTAAAATCTCCACAAAACCCATTCTGATAATCATATATATGATCAAATAGTGAATTCCTTGAAAATCGTTCTATTACGGCACCTAATTTGGCGTTTCAAGTATGGCTTAGTAAAAAAACAACAGTGATGAAAAAGTCCCTGTTTAGTTGATTAAGTTACGATATAACCACATTACTACTCCTACTACCACTGAATAAATCTTGGAAAAAAAGAAACAGAACTTACGTTCATTGCAACGTTCAATAATTTTCTTATCAACTAACTGGATTAAATGATCTTTAATAAATTTAATTAATTTTTTATGCAATGGCATACAATTGAGTAGTTGCATAATACTATGAATTATATTGGAATGATTTAAAGCTAATGCAATCCTGCTCAAATTTAATAAGAATTCAATACGTTGATCACTATTTAAAACTATAAACCAAAAAAAGAGAAAAAAAGGAGTAGAGATATTTTCGGAGAAAGATAATGATTTTTTTGTGTAATGGTGGAATGCGTATCTTAAATAATACTGTGGTGTATGCTACTTATAACAAGTAGTATAATAACGACAGTCAGGATTAGACTGTCTGGTAGTAGAAGATCGAGAGGAAAAGAACATGAACAGAAAGCAATTGGTATGAAAATGCAGGAACAATGAAGTCTGAGACAATTGATTGATATTTTACAAATTAAGTATTTACTGTAAGGCTCTCAGATTTTACTAAGATGTGATGTAATTTTGTGTTCAAATACATCCAATTGTCACCATTTGTATTCTCGTTCACTACAATAAGAGTAAAGGTTGTATTTGGTACACAGAATTTGAACCTTACTGTACTGTTTCCACATGTTAGGGAATGGATGATGTAATTGACTTGCGTTGACTTTCTCTAAAATATACTAATAGATGCTCCGTAATGGAATGAAGACGTAATCTTAACGAACGACTTACACAAATATATTCACAGAAACAGGTGAACTGGTATATGTAGATTAGGTTAATCAGTCGTAGCAACTTATCATTCACATGAAGATATGGAAGGGTAACTGTAGCAGTTTATATGAATACTTGCTACCTTAAATATATTTCGAATTTATGTTTTTAGACGGTTTTTAAGCCTACAATCAACAAAGCCTCTTTAAACTGAAGCTCTACTAACAGTGTTTTGTTTTGAACATTGTATTTGGTCTGTTAAGGATGTTTCTCCCACATATTTCTCGCAATTAATTTCGACATGTATGCATTCTTTAGAGAGGTGAATTTCAGAATGGACAGTTCAACTATTAAGTGATCGAACGAACAATTTTAACAATATCCTGAGCACAAAGGATGGATGAGTTTTTATCGTTTTAAAATTCAGTTAAAGAGTTCAGGAGATGTACACCTAAATATACAGAATGACTAAGAACTAAATCCCTTGATAAATAAATATGTCAATTTCATTGGTTAGTGCTGTGGTGACGTATGACATCCCATATCCTGAAAATATTTATTTAAATAAGTTTTGTCCATGTTCATTGATATTTTCATTGTATTATGATGGGCGGTGTCCGAAATCTGATACTGATACACAGTGTGCTACGTGCTAACCCCCCCCCCCAACTGACAACATGAGCAAGCAAGTGTATTGGGTTGCCGAATATGGTGCACAAATACTCATTCATATATATACCACTCTAATCCATAGGAAATTGATCCTTTTACTATCTAATGAAATGCAATCGATTGACCTTCTCATTGGCTTTTGATATCAAACTGTTGTATATGCAAGTTTGTATACAGTAAAGGAATGACTCTCTGTTTATTGATCAACCATTGTTATATACATTGACAGAAGTGATTTATATCAATAACGCAGCTTTTTGGCAAGTAATGGTCATTAAACTATGTAATTAACGGATTATAGTTCAAGGAGTCAACAGTACATCCATAAAAACAGGCACACAATTTTGCTTCATTCAAATATTCGTTTTAAATTTTCAGTTTTAGGAAAACGTTACAACTACGAAACTGTGGACAATCCCGAATAAAAAACGTGAAGGAGGTGGAATACAGTCAATATTTTTATAAAGATAATGATAGAACAGATATTGACAACAACTCAAGCGCATTTTATGATGATAAAACAAGTTGCCAGTCAAATGTAGATATCTCTGAATAGCCCATCTTTAATTAGCAGGTTGTGTTGACAAAGTTACCTAGAGAGACAACAAAGTATTACAATTAAACAACTTAAGTTCAAAGAACACAACCCCATTAAGAATATCCTTCTGAGCTAAAACAGATCTTGTTTGTCATTTCAATTCCAAGTATCATTGAAATAGAGCAATGCAAAATATCGTTGTCCTCCATTATGACGTACACATACAGATAAGATGTCATCATTCATGATGCCATATTACGACACTTGAGAATTCCATTGTGCTACAATTTCTGAATAATCATATAAGATAATCTATTCTGTCATTGAATGAATCAGTATTTTTCTTCACGTGTTCCTTTTCAAGGTTTCATGAAACTTGAGGCACAGAGACAAAAACACATCCTTCTTTCTCTGAACAGTTTTATGATTATTCGACGCAATCAATCTATTATGGTCGTATTGATTTATTTGAAAACAGTACTTAATGAAAGTTGTATGAAGACAATAATTGTCAAAATTCTACTTGTTCAGTTTGTTTAGTATAACATACTTATTAGTCTGGGAAAAATTAACGTATACAATGTATAGATAATAAAAAAATAGTAATTGACTAGTGGTAAAACGTCAACTTACTGAATTCGCCTTCGCGATCAACATCCGACTGTTGATTGCATTTTAGTACATCAGAGTCGTCTATCTTCAATTTACTATCTATCAATAAACTATCACATTTACTATCATTATTATCACATTTATTATTATTTGCAAGTTGCTCTTGTTCAAGATTTCGATCAATTATTGAATCGAATATTTTTAATTCTGATGGCAGTAAGTGATCGTCGTCTTCCAGAAAATTATTATTATTATTGTTACTTATAGTGGCAGTAGTAGTAGTAGTAGTAGTAGTAGTAGTATTGTCAGTAGTATTAAGATGGCCTAGGGCAATATCGCTACTACTTTGTTGTGTTGCATTGATTTCTATATTATCAAACACTTTAAGATTATAAGAAAATTGAAAAGAGCCAGGTGTTGTAGTTGATGATTCAGTAGTGGACGATGATAATTCGTTATTGGTAAACATTAATTTTGCGGACAATTCCAGACTAGAAAATAATTAGGTAGATAATTATAACAAGGTTGGAAGATAAAATAAACAAAACCCCAGAGACTATCATTGATGTTTCAAAAGGGAATCAATGTAAATACTTTATACAAGTGAATAGTATTAATTAATTACCAAAACTATTATCAAATAAGTCCATTAATTAGTTCAACTTAATGATAAGGTATATCATTGGTGTATTGTAAAGCACTGTTCAACGTGATTTCGTTTTTTTCTACATTTAGTGAATATTGATTACAGAATTGACCCGATAAGAGCAGAGGATAAACATCCATCATCCTCTATTGCTAAACATATAATTGAAACAGGTCACAAGATTGATCTAAATTCAGCTTTTGTAGTGCTGTATAAAAGTGTAAAAGGGCGTATACTAAGGTTCATTGAAGCCTTAGCCATACGAAAATTCAAACCCCCTTTATGTGTTCAAAAACAGTTTGTTCTTACCTTAAACCTACCCTGGTAATATTGACTTATTATCCAGAGTGATTAGGTTTCAAATTGTGTTCACATTATTATTATTATTATTACTCTTATCATTATCCTTATCTCCTCTTACCCCGTTTCCAGTCTAGTTGACCTTTTATTTTTATATATAAATGCTCTTAACAAGTATATGTGTGACCAGATTGTTCGAAATGTATTGCGCTAATATATCACATAGTTCTGATAATCTTCGTCTTCTAATATCATTATCGAGATATAAACCTCAATATTCATATCATCTGTTTCCTTAAGTAGAACAAAGGCCATCTGTTTTCCACCAACTTTGTCCACATACTATCTTACTGATGAGCAGAATATAACGTTAAGGTGTGCGATGGCAGGTTAAGAGTGGCACCTTTTTCTTTACCAAAATTGATAGGTTAAAAGCTCCAACCGATTAACTGTTTTTAACTTGTAACCTACGTCAAACCACAGTATAGTTCACTTTATGGCTGTATTATACAAAAAGAATGTATCAAAAACATTTATTATCAAACAATAGCAAACAACGCAACTCTTATACCTACACAAAGTATAATTTTTCACTAGTATGCTCGATTTTTCATGCATGGACAGAAATCTCATTTATGGCACGAGTGTAGTGAACTGGCTTTTCGTCTCCAGATTAAAATCTCATCAGTCATCAATACACCAAAACTAATCTAAATTCCGAAATTAGTGAAGGGGTTAATATGTCAACTACTTCACTGACCAGATTACGTTGATGCACACATTTAATATACGAAGAAGGCATTGCGAAACAGTCTTTTGTAATTGATATCAATAAAAAAAGAACCGATTGAGAGAAAAAAAATGATCAAAAAACCTCAACAAGAGAGCAGAGAACGAAAAATATACGATGATTTAATATAATGTTAACTAACTTAAACAGTGATTCCTTAAAAAAATATGATGTTGACCATCTCGACAACAACGAAGGAAAACAGACAATCAATAATAAATAATCATAATCACTTACTGAACAAATGGAATATCATTATTTATATGATCACGATTGTCCAGGAAATTCTTAGTCCAATTCGGAAAGAACAAAAATAAATTCACCAGCAACTCATTATCAATATTATGATGTAATATACAATCATTTGAAGTTGTCTGTTCCACATTTATTATACGTAATTCTAACTGATACATTGAATTTGTCATTGAATGTGGAATATTATTATTATCTTGACATTGAATACCACTACTACTACTGCTACTACCACCACTGGTACCTCTAACACCACCATTACTACCGTTATCATTGAAATTGTTATTTGATGTGAAACCATGTAGACAAAAATTTAAAAGATAAGCACGTAATTCACCAAAAGTCAGATTTCCATGTACAATCAGTGTAATCGTGATTGTCTTACCATCAGATAGATAAATTTGTTTATTGTTATCAACAATATCATCATCAGCACTAATATTGTTGTTATTACTATTGGTAGGAAATAAAATTGGTAAACCTTGACAGGTGACTGTTAAGAAAAATGATGAACCAATCCATGAACTGCAAAATGGAAATAAAAAATAAAAAAAGTGAAAAATATCAAAACAAATAATCATAGTTTAGATCAAGAAGTGATTTTAGCTACACCACCACTGAAGACCTGGACAGGTATTTCGTTCCAGTATGGTATTCCTCAGTACGACCCTGCACTCAGTAACTGGACTCAACACTTACAGTCTCACGCATGAACGCTTGATCTACAGACCAGAAATATTGCAATGAAGTCACTAAACTACAGACAATATATTAAATAGCCTTCAATGGTTTCTTTGTAGATGCAATAAAATCTAATGAACAAGTATCAGTTTCATGTTAATTGAAACTCGTCAATAAGATATCATTGTGGCATAAAAAGTGTGGCAATCTCATATCATATTTGCATTTTTGAGCACGCTCAAAGCATTTGGTACAGAGGAGTGCGACGGCACTAAACCGTGTAATAACTCGGCATCTAAATGATACCGGATATATCAATGACATTTCTCAATCTATCACAATTACAATCAGATAAAAATAACACAATTTCTCTTCAGTTCTCTGAGGCAGGTAGAAGCTCAAAAAGACGATTATCAATTAAGCATTATTTACTTACTTACTTACTCACTTAATTACTTACGCCTGTTACTCCCAATGGAGCATAGGCCGCTGACCAGCATTCTCCAACCCACTCTGTTCTGGGCCTTCTCTAATTCCATCCAATTCTTGTTCATGTGTATCTCCATTTCCCAGCGTAATGTGTTCTTCGGTCTTGAGGATTCCATGTGAGGTCTTGTCGTGTGACGCACTTGGGTGCTTCCGTCAACGTGTGTCCTATCCACTTCCAGCGCTTCTTCCTAATTTCCTCCTCCACAGGGATCTGATTTGTTCTTTCCCACAGTTGGTTGTTGCAAATAGTATCCGACCAACGGATCTGATGTATTTTGCGCAGACAACTGTAAATAAACACCTGTATCTTCTGGATGATGGCTTTCGTAGTTCTCCAGGTTTCTGTCCCATACAGTAGAACTGTCTTGACATTTGTATTGAAAATCCTGACCATGGTGTTGGTTGACAGTTGCTTTGAGTTCCAGATGGTCCTCAGTTGTAAATATGCTGCTCTTGCTTTGCCGATCCGCTCCTTCACATCTGCGTCAGATCCACCATGTTCATCAATGATGCTGCTCAAATATGTAAAGGATTTTACATCTCCAAAATCTTCTCCGTCAATTGTGACTGGATTGGTGCATGCTGTGTCTTATCGGAGAATCTGGCTTTTCTCTTTGTGTATACTAAGACCTACTGCTGCTGAGGCTGCTGCTACACTGGTGGTCTTCTCCTGCATTTGTTGTTGTGTTTGGGATAGGAGGGCCAGATTATCTGCGAAGTCTAGATCGTCTAACTGCATCCTAGATGCCCATTGTATCCCGTGTTTCCCTTCAGATGTTGACGTCTTCATGATCCAGTCGATCACCAGGAGAAAGAGAAAAGGTGAGAGTAAGCAACCTTGCCTAACACCGGTCTTCACTTCGAACGACTTTGTCAACTCTCCTCCATGCACGATTTTGCAGTGTAATCCATCATAGGAATTCCATATGATATTGACTATCTTCTGAGGCACGCCGTAGTATCGAAGAAGCTTCCATAGTGTTGTTCTGTCCACTCTATCAAATGCTTTTCCGTAGTCAATGAAGTTGATGTAGAGTGATGAATTCCATTCAATTGATTGTTCCACAATGATCCGTAGAGTTGCGATTTGGTCTGTACACGATCTATCCTTATGGAATCCTGCCTGTTGGTCTCGAAGTTGGGCGTCTACGGAGTCTTTCATTCTGTTTAACAATACCCTGTTGAAGACCTTTCCCGGTATTGAGAGAAGAGTGATGCCCCTGTAGTTATCACAGTTGCTGAGATCGCCTTTCTTTGGTATTTTGATCAGAAGTCCTTCTTTCCAGTCTGTTGGTATTTGTTCCTCATCGCAAATCTTATTGAAGAGAATGTGGAGCAAGATTTGGAATAAGGAATAAGTCTTACCTTGATACATTTACAATTTGGTTTTCATCTTCTGAAATTTTGGTTACCTATTTGAAGTAGTTAATTAAATCTTCTCAACCAATACAAACGAAATAAAATTTACACCATTGGACAAGACGGTGGTTACCTTAGTAGCTACGTGACTGACTCGCTGGTGTTTAAAGCGAAAGGAATTGAGTTCGAATATCGGGGTGAAAGTCAAATCTGAGAAGTAGGTATTTCTAGGTGATGAGCTATATTTGGGAAGAAATGCGCGTCCTGGATTCCACTGGAAGTCACCATCCAATTCTGCTTATAATTATCATAATAATAATTACTATTACTATATTATCATTATGTTTATTTTGTTAGATACACACTTTTATAAACTCTTCAAACTACAGATGTCAGAAAATCGGTATTCCTGTGTGGGCGCAGATGATAATGATTGGTTGTCTGCTTAGTCAGATATGTAGATAGTCTGATAGGTGTTAGATGAGTTATATATTCTCCTATCCTTATAATTATTGTTATACATTGTTCATTGTTGTTGGATTGTGTCGGCTTTTGGTGTGTAAATATATTTACGTTCTAGTCAGGCTAATCATGTGTTCTTGGTCTGAGTTGTGTTCAAGTCCTGTAGAATAAACACTAGGAAGGAATCTAGTGTAGACATTCGTCTAAAGTAAATTAACGTCTTATACGTGGAAATGTGGAAACCTGACCGTTATAACAGGTATCACGTCAATATAGGGAAAAATCCGTGATTTGATAGTTCATCTGCATTTGCTAAAGTTTATTCTAAGATAAAGGATAATACGGATTTCGCAACAGTCCACTTAACAATTTAGAAAAATATACTTTGTACCTAAAAAAATTTTTAATAACTGCGTCGTGGTAATCAGTGTTCAGGCATACGTAACACGTGGCCCAACCATCTCAGTCGATGAAGATTCACAACCTCATCAACTGATTTACCATCATTCTCTAATACCCTGCGTCTAACCTCAATATTACTTACCCGGTCATCCCAGCAGATACGAGCAATATTTCTAAGGCATCTCTGGTCATATACTAGTAGCTTACGAATATCTTCTACTCTTAATACCCGTGTTTCGTAGCCGTAAAGTAAAACAGAACGAAATGCTGAGTAGTATACTCGTCCTTTTATTGATAGACGGATATCTCGCCTTAGCCAAAGGTGAAGTAAGTTGGCAAAAAACCAAACGAACTTTTCGAGTTAATAGACAATTAAACAAACATACAGCTTACCGTTTCAATGGAATACAATCATCACTTGCATCATTAATAAACATTTCTAAATTCATTCTAACTGTAAGTCGTTTCAATAATTTTAAAATTCTTGATATACGTTTGAATGTAGCTGATTTTACTTCAGGATCACATGATAATGAGGTAGGTGATGATGATGACGGTGATAGTTTTGATGAAATTGTTGTTTCGTACTTTGTTTGTTTTTCGATAGAAGAAATTAACTATAAACGAATATAAAAGGATAGGAATGACAAACATAAATTTAGTGATGCTTTTTTAGTCAGTCATTCAGTAACAACATACAACTTCGTACGTACGTACATCAGTTCGAGTTGCCATACCACATTAGCACACACATACAATTGTCCATTCAAATCCCATAGTGATACAAGTAGTAAAAGTATAAGCAGTAATCGGAAACATTACGGTTTCAAGATGTTATTCAACCAGTATAATACAGTGAAATAAATTTGGAATGAGAAAAATGAAAGGGACATGAAGAATTCACAAGATTAGAATTTGGGAGAACACAAAGAGTGGATGAACCTGCGCCATTGCAAACCATTTTGAGCCATTCAAGGTCTCTAACCATCGGCTGCCATCGTCTCGCGGATCCCAACCAGGTAGTCTACACCTACCAACATCACTCAGTCCACTTGACAGTGACTTCATGGATTTGTGCCATGTTTTTATCTGGCTGCCCCTAGCTTTCTTCCAACCTACTCCTACACCAGGAAACATCGCACGTCGGGGCAGTCAGTGGTTAGGCATTTTTAGACAGTGAAAAGAATAGAAGTTTCAATAAAGAAATAAACTAAGTTCGATTCGTGATGAAAAAGTCCACCCCCCGTCATACTAGTAGTATTCATATGGTCCACTAGTGATTCATTTCAAAGGGAAATTCCCAGATTTCTAGTGATTCATGATATTTGATTGTTGAGAGATTTTAGAGTCCTAGGTTCAATATTCAGTATGGTAGTGGGTGGGCATTGCTGAAGAACCATATACAAGGATAAATCAACAGTCCGGTTCTTGCTTACTTTTAGTGGTTGTCTGACGAAAATTAGATCTTAGTCAGCCAGAAAATAATTTTTAAATTTTTATTTTCAGATTTTTAGGAGACGTTAGAAAATTTAAATTCGCCTAAGATACACAATTTTAACTGTTGGTTGACCGATAAAAACAGCTAAATTCTTACTAGAAACAGTCGTATATTTAGCATGATATCCATCACAAGTTGGTTCAATAAATATGTTTCCTGAATGGTATTTATCATCTCGATTCCTGAATCTTTAGAGTAACTGATGTGTTATTGATCACTGTGTTATTAATCTGGTGATTCAAGTGATAAAGATGAAGACTCGTACATAACTAGTTTAATTACTCATGTTAATTCAAGTATATTGGAAGTGGTGGACAGTGGGTGGCCACAGCTCTACATGGGTTTGTATCCAGGACATTCAAGTTTCACTAATTGAAATCATGAGTCAATTGAAGCTAGACCGCCATGGAAAACCTGGAAGCACTGGACGGCCGTTTCGTTCCATTTTGAGACTCCTCAGCAGCGCTCATCCACGATCCCGCACCCCGCGGGACTCGAACCCAGGACCTATCAGCCTCGCGCCAGGCACTTAACTAACTAGATCACTGAGCCGGCATTCAACGGTGTTGATGTTTAACTTCAACCAATCCACTAAGTTGCGCCACCGTACACCATTGTCTTCTGTGAGCTGATATCTCACAACACACCTGGTCGAACTCCACTGGTAACGGCTTCTCACTAGAACTCCAGGAGTATCTCTTGAAGTCAATCACTAGTGAGCAGATGATTATTATCAGAAGGGGTTATGTGGAGATTTTCGAAATTCCACTGATTTAAATCATGAGTCAATTGAAACTAGACCACCATGGAAAACCTGGAAGCACTGGACGGCCGTTTCGTCCTAGTATGGGATTCCTCAGCAGTGAGCATATACGATCCCGCACCCAGGTTTCACAATAGTAATAATACATGCAAATTGCTCAATAGATTTGATAAAAACAGTAATCAAGAAACCATTAACTGATTAGTTTTTAATTGATATTCACTTATTAATTCATGAAACGAATGAAATAGAGTACTTTTAGCAACGACAGAAGTGGTCTAAAAAAGCGTGGTCTACAATAACTCCTTTAACAAGAGTTAGGAAAACTGATGTATTCAAGCAGTCCATCATAGGGAACTACAATAGAAAACTCAGCAAGGGGAACATAGTTCAAATGGAACTAAATGAGACCGAAAAATGGAATATATGAGAATAAGAGATTGAATAAAACGGTGCCATTACAACCGATTCGAAGCTATGCAATAGAAAAGTGCTAAATCGTGAGTGATGATTATCATACAGATTCATATCAGTGAAAATATAGATGATAATGAAATGAAAAATTAACAACAACTTCATGAATGACATCACTGCTGCTTGAATCTCGTGGTTAACCCAAGTTTAATAAAGTGGTCAAAAATGAACAAGCTTCCGATGTTCTGAGCCATTGAAGGTTATCAAAATAAATAAACTCATTGATATAATACACTATAACACATTTATTAAAAGCAAATTTTACGTAGGTAAATCTGAAACACATATTAGTAATGCTATAACTGGTGATACTAATCATTTTTTACAACCGAAATAAGCAATGATTCACTTCAAATTGAAGACTTAATAATTGAAAGCTGAATGAGATAGACCATTAGTTACTGTTGGGATGCCTTTGAGAAGTACGATGAAGCCTTCGGAGACTCAAAAGGAGCTTAAGGGTTTTCATCTAATCAGAGCATAACAGAACTTCCTAATACATCAGTGTGGCATCCTACAATTAGACGATAGCATAACTTGCCTTCTTGAGGATTGGCTAAATTATAATAATGTTATAGCCAACGTGAATAAATATAAATATCCATGTTTTTATGTGCATTCCTGATTCTTATCCAATGTACAGTGCAAAGTCGAGCATAGAAAACAGCATTCCACGTAAGGATCGGAGTCAGACAAGGCTGTCTACTCTCTCCCTTCCTCTTTTTTCTGATGGTCGATTGGATTATGAAGGCCTCCACATCTGAGGGAAAACAGGGAATACAATGGACAGCTCAGAATCAATTTGAACATCGAAGATGACCTAGCCCTCCTATCCAATACACACGGACAAATGCAGATGAAAACAACTAGTGTGGCAGCAGCTTTTGCATCAGTAGACATCAACATACACAAAGAAAAAGCCAAAATCTTCAAATACAGCACAGAGAACACTGACGCAATCACACTTGATGGAGAAACTCTGGAAGATGTGGAATCGTTCATGTACCTGGGAAGCATCATCGATGAACAAGGAGGCTCAGATGCAGACGTAAAGGCAAAATTTGGCAAAGGAAGGACAGCATTCCTACAGTTGAAGAACATATGGAACTCAAAACAACTTTAAACCAATATCAAAGTCATAATCATCAATACGAACGTTAAATCAGTTTTACTGTACGGAGCTGAAACTTGGAAAACTGCAACAACCATCATCAAGAAGGTATTTATAAAAAGTTGTCTACGCAAGATAGTCAACATCCATTGACCGGATACTATCAGCAACAGCCTTTTGTCAGAGAGAACAAACCAGCTTCCAGCTGAAGAGGAAATTAGGAAAAGACGATAAAAATGGATATGACACACATAACAAAAATCAGCAAACTGCATCATAAGACAAGTGATAACTTGGAATTCTGTAGGGAAGCGGAAAAGAGGAAGGTTAAAGAACACATTATATCTGTATACAGAAGCAGATATGAAAAGGATGAATAACAACTGGAAAGTGTTGGGAAGAATTTCCCAAGATAGGGTTGGATGGAGAGTGTTGCTGGGCGGCCCAATTCTCCTCTACGACGAGTAACAGGCGTAACTAAGTAAGTAAGTACTTGAGGGGGGGGTTCGACACATTCAATTGTAGTTCATCGTATAACATATTCAACGGTAATATCAAACAGAGGACATAAATGTTACCACATAATTTAAACTCAATAAATAACATGACAATAATTAATTTGATTAAGAAAAATAACAATTAAAAGATAAAAAGAGAATCTAAAATACATACCTCATTATATTCTGTTTTAATATATGTATAACATAATTTCATAATATTAAAGCATAATTCTTTACGTTTATTTAAATTTATAGTAGAACTATAATTAGTATATAATTGTAATAATAATTTGCATATTCTTTGATAAACTATTTTATTTGAATATAAAATAAAATTCCATAATTGTTTTAAATTCATGAATTTAATACTTGTTGAAGTAGTAGTTGTCATAGTTTTAGTAGTATTCATAGTAGTCATAGTCTTAGTTACATTAGAATAATTACTATTAAGTGTAGTAAGTGTATAATCTGTTTTATTAGGAAGAATTGTTGATATTGCTGTTGCTGATGATGATGTCATTGATAATAATTTAATTGTATTGAATCCATTCAATTCACTTATAATACATGTATTATCCGAATTGATACAACAAAATAATTGAACAACAAATCTAATATGAAGATAATAAAAGTATTTCAATATTATATTTGTATCAGTGATGTAGAACGAGAGTTGAGTGAGTGAGTGAATGAGCGACCGATCGAGCAAAAGACAGAAAGAAAGAAGTAACCGAAAATAAACAGGATATGAGTAGAGTTGAGGAAGAAAACAATTAAATATCATAATATACAAATAATTAATAATTATTTTCTTTATAAGAAATTTATAACTAAAAATAATTTCACGTTTTACAATTCATTAATGTTCCTTCTAATTCTTTTCTTAAAATAAAGATTTAATCAAATATTTAAGTGTAAGACAAACTGTAGTAGAATTGATCACTCATGTGTCTATTTATTACATAATAAGTATCTATCAGTCAGTCAGTAACAACGTGTAACTTCGTACTTACGTACATCAGTTCGAGTTACCATACCACATTAGCACAGAGATGCAGATATCGATTCAAATCCCATAGTGGTAGAAGTAGTAGAAGTATAAGTGTGGTGTGTGCTACTGACATAAGTAGTATATGATGTTAGTCGTAAACAGAATGCCTGACAGCAGAGAGACAAGAGGATCGAACAGTAAGGAATGGAAACAAAATGGAATGGGTATGAAAATGCAAGAATAATGAAGTCTGAGTCATTATGAGACAATTGATGGACATTTTGCAAATTAAGTATTAACTATTTGATTGTTAGATTTTATTAACAAGTCCTGTAATTTCGAGTCAAACACATTCGATTGTCTCAACCCATGTTCTGCTCACTACATAAACAGTAATCGGAAACATTACGGTTTCAAGATGTTATTCAACCAGTATAATATAGTGAAATAAATTTGGAAAGAGAAAAAAGAAAGGGATATGAAGAATGCAGAAGACTGGAATTTGGGAGAACACAAAGAGTGGATGAACCTGTGCCATCGCAGACCATTTTGAGCCATGCCATTCAAGGTCTCTAACCATCGGTTGCTATCATCCCGCGGATCCCAACCAGGTGGTCAAACCAAACGTCAGAAATACAAATTTTCTACTCATTGATATATCACATAAAAATAAATTTATTATTAGCTTATTTGAAATTCTCGACCTTGGTATCGATATCTACAAATTGATACAATACATCTATTTATAGTACATGAATATTTGGACGTTCGGATAGTACAGCGAAGTGTGACGTATAAATATTTGGCGCCTCCTTGTACTAATGTTTGTGTCTAAATAAAATAAATCTATCTACGATATCAAGTTCGATCAGACATTTTTTTATTCATTTAGTGGATGAGAACTGCATATACGAGGTATTGTTTACACTATGGATCTTATTATCTAATATGATTTTCATTACTTTAATAAATATTATAAATTTATTACTACTTAAAACAAATAAGTGATGTATAGAGATTACATTATTGAATTATCATTTCAAGTTTCATGTGTCTGGTGAAAACAGGAGATATAATTCAAACACTTAAGTCATTTTTCCAATGTTGTTTAAATCTTCACATTGATGTTCAGGACTAAACTTAATCTATCTCTTCTTGGCATATGTACATCCTGTGCGAACTGTCTCAATATTGACTTAAGTCGCAAGTATTATAAACCTAAAAAAATCTTAAATATAATCTATCTGTCTTCCCTTAAATTAAGAGATTAAAATCGCTTCATATCTTTCTTTCTATGAACTAATTCTTTCTTCCTTATATGAAATCTTCCTTTTATATATCACACCATTGAGTTAACCACTCCTACGAACCCGGTTTTCATCTTGTTGTGCTAACGCGGTATGACAACTTGAACTGATGCACATATGTGCCTGGTCCTACATTTTAGCTGACTGCCTGACTGATTGAATTTTAACCGCATCATTCACGAATAATTAATGAAAAATATTTAAAAGAAAGAAAAATTTATAACGAATTGAAGAAATGAAAAAGAAAACAAAAGTAAACTCACTCTACACCAGCATTTGTCATTAATTTTGGATTTAATGTTGAATAATTATTCCAAATAAAATCACGACATTTTAACCATACAGAATTATTAAAAAATAATGTAAACCATTTAAAGCATAAATCACAATCATTTGATAATACAATTTGATTTTGAAATTTTAATAAAATATGATGGTTTACAATTAAATTTGGTTGAAATGTTGGCTTCAATAATGAATCCCAAATTCCTTGTAATAAATCTACTGTACATAATAAATGGCATTGAAATATAAGATAACGTAAAAGTTTTAATAATTCTTTAACTTTAATTAATTGTAGATTAGAATTTAAATTTTTCGTTGTATTCATTGAAATCGGAGATTTGGATGGAATAGATTGATCTATAATGCAGGAAATAAAATTGATGATAAAGAAATATACTACTTGTAAGTAGGCATATGTAATACTAGAAATTATTCTTATGTAACTTCTGATAAATAATAATGGTTGTTTTCTATGATGATATGTTAAAATAACTCTATCAATCTTAATCGGGCTCTCAAAAATAACTTTGGATCTATTCAAGTCTTCTATTTAAAAAAATGATATTTTGCTTATTTCCCAGTCAGATTGACTTCTTTTCAATGAAGTCAACTTCGATAGAAAGCGAAGTTGAAATTTCATTTATTGATTAGTATAGATTACAACGAGTTGAGAAGAAATAGATGCAAGATATTCAAAGATTATCTAAGATGATAGTTTTCATTAAGGGAAACCAGTCAAAGAATTAGTAGACATTAGTATACATTCACATGATCCTAGCTTAGGAGTCCTCAGTGATGTACATATGTACATAATGAGTCAAATTATAGACACTCGTTATTTTTAACACTAGCACTTTTAACAGTGTTAGTCAAGTATGCCCAAAATTGGGAAACATTACTACAAACTCTCCAGGAGAAAAAGTAAAATCTCAAAACACTTCTAATTGGACAAGAATGAAAATCTCTTTTAAATAACTCCGATAAACCAGCGTACCACTTAGTCATTAAAAGATGAACTAAATCAAACTATTGAAAGGTCTCTAAGCAAATATAATCACTGGATACCAGTCATCTAAACTATCAATGGAACTATAGTTTTTTGATGTAAACTATAAACTAATAAATATCATTGTTCGAGAATTATTCTATTTATTAAAAGTTGGCAGTTAAAACAGCACAATTAGTTTTCAATGACAAAGGTTGATTCAGGTAATGTTATACAACTATTCTGATATTGTGTTTATTGTCTGAAAAGTATTTGTCAAAGCCTAAAAACTAAATATATGCGAAAGAAAGAGAGAGAATGTAAGTCAATGTCATTGATGAAAACACACAATAACGAAACACTCAATCTAACCTAACTAATAAAACAAATTCATGATCACTAAAACAAATTTAACAACAACAATAACAAAAAACTAAACGAAATAAACCTTTACACTAAACTGCCACATGATACATTTTGTTTGTTGTTGTGCATATTCATGTATTCTGTAAATTATTGACGTATTTAGTTTCTCACAGCATATTGTTTAGTAAATTATTTCACGATTAATTCAAATCTATGAATAGTTTATTTGATTGACTTTAAGCTACATTTTTATTGTCTGACAACTCATTATACACTATTGCTAAGGTGAGTAAAGACTAATCTTATTGCTAGTATATATTAGTTCTTTCTTGGTAGCATAATCTCGATGATATTTTCCTAATTCATATGTCTGTAGTAACCATGGCTTTTATCTAACTAGTTGTTATCATCTATAGCTTATCATCTCAAAGAATATTGGATTGTACTATATAAACAAGGTAGATTTTTCTAATTTGCAATTTCTGTACGTTATATAAAACTATCCTGAAATTCCCGTCTTCTCCATTTTATACTTATGTGTGAATTATTAAAACTAAAGTGCTCTTCTAAGTAAAACATCCGGTTTATTCGAGTTCACAACCATTCTCGTTCATACCAGAGAGATCCTCAATAGTTCGTGAGTAGAATTTAGTTTAAGTAAACCGGAAATCTGAATACGTAATCGTTTCTACCCAGATACAACAACTATCCAAATGATTAAACAGATTGATAAACGTATAGTGTGGTCTGCATTTGTAAAACAAGAAATAGTCTGTTCTATTCATCCAGCCTTTATTTCACTACTGCATATGATCTAAACAACTAATCGAAAATTGATAATATGCACAAATAAATAAAAAAAGACACCGGAAAATATCGACTAATACCGGTAAATATAGATAAAATAAGATTTAGAAACTATTCAATATGATGAAAGCAACCTAACTACTAAAACACGAATGATCAAACTAAGTGAAGGTAGAAAGTGCAGAGAAGGAATGGATTTATTTAACACACAAAAAATCAAAGACATCAGTGATATCAAGTCATTGTCAAATATTTCAAAGAACAAGAACTTTTGTAAGTAGTAGAAATTTTTCATGCAAATGATTCGACTTTTTCAAACTACTAGATCACCTATTCTCTAACTATACAATCAATGTTTTATTATTTAAGATTTATTTTAACTGATAAATTATGTAATGTAATTGCAGAATATATTCATGGGCTTCTATAAAAAGCTTCTAGCACTATTTGGTGTTTAATACTGGATATGGTGAGTGTGAGTAGCACGGCAGGTAACAAATGCATTCCCTTGTTTATATTCTGCGAAAAAAAGGTGAGAAGAGTTTGTATTTTTTTTTAATCCATACACTTAATGTGCATTATGTACAAATGTCGTAATGACAGATCCCGTCGAGAAATTTTACGAAGGAAACTTAGCAGTGTCTTATTCTTGTTGAAAAACTAATTAACATTATTTTTTTAAATATTTACTGATCAAAGAAGGATATAGAAAGAGAATTTTCTGGAATACTGCACATTTAGTAAAAACGATCATTTGAAATCCTTTTCTTGAAACAGGTTTATTTTGTTGCTTACTATAATAGTAGTATAACTTCATGCCAAATAAAATGACTTCCATTACTAAGCAGAAAACCAATAAAAAGAAATTAGGAAATCTAGAGAACACAAATATCTGCTGACATGAGAACAAAGAGCAGGGAACGGTTGATTTATGGTTTGTTAACTACAACATCTAGATGATATCATAAAACAAAGAAAAGACGGTAAAACATGCAGTGAATAGTTACTTTATTGAAGTGACTGACAACCTCTGAAACCTTTCATGAATGTTTTAAACAAGAGGAAGAGAGACGAGTGTGATGTCAGGAAATGGTGAGTATTTTAAAAAGATATTAGGACTAATTCACTCCAAATGCCCTGGTACGGCCGAAAGTGGGGGGAATCCACTCTCCTACTCCAAATGCTTTCACATGGTAACGCATATACAGCCACTGCCAGAGAAGTCCTATTCACGGCGGAAGTGTTGTTTACGAAATTCAGACTACGAAAAGCGAATGACCAGCTCTTTAACCGCGTTAGTGGACACTGAGAGTTCACCTCGGGGAGTTGGAAAACCCTGATTCCACACCAATGGAGTAAATGGTTTTCAGGATCCTAAGGAAACAAGTGGCTTATGAACCAATCGTTGATCACCGGCTACCATGGAACTGCATCTGCTGACATTGATCTACTCCATTGTGGATCAGACCTTTAGGTCGAAAACTTGGGTTGTGGCCTCCTAAGAAAATCACCTACTTCGGTTTGGGCACCCGGGCAGTATCACAGCCTATGCACAAATCAATTGACTTGTGTGGCGCATATATATTCGGTACCCCCTTTGTACTAATATTCATATGTTCAAACAAATAGACTATATAAAATCAAATTTTTTTATAACTGTACTTTATGTATATACCAACCAGCTTTTACATAAACAACATTCAACAGTCATATGTCCTAAATAAAACAACCGTTTACTTTCAATAAATCAGTTACTAAAGGGTTAAAAAAACAACAACAACAAAAAATCAACTAGGTTAAAGAAAGTTAGAATTTTAAAAGCCAATAAATCGCGCCCCCCTCCCATCATTATAGATTAATGGAAAATAAACAAACTACGTTAAATCTTATCTTCATTAACAAATTTCGACCATCAGAATTCATGGATGTAACCTTTGGTTTACTATTTCAAATGGATAGGTTAATACATATTAGAAAAAAAAGTCCATTTACAAAATGAATAAACAAAAGTGATAAGAATCAAATCAATAAAATATTACATGGATAAATAATATTTCTCATTAAACAATTTCAATTTAGATCGATAACTATTGATTTCATCATTTAACAAATCGACTGAAATTCAAGAAACAGAACAATTGGATTTCAGGATCTATAAATCGATCTTAGACTAATCAGAAAAATAGCATAGTTTCTGTGAGTTCTTTGTAAATGAGTTGAATGCTGATGAGTCTCAAGATTAGGATTGATAAATGATTCTTTAATTTGATCATATCTGCTAAATTTTTATGGTGGTCAGTTGAATCAACTGAGTTATATAGGTTAGAAAACTTATTCGTTTAGGTTTGGAGAGAATGATTAGAGTTGGAGCAGTAACTTGAGGTATGTAAGAGAAGTAGTGAAGACTGTAGAGAGGTATGGAAGATGTGTAATGTTTCAGACAAACAACCAGTATATGAAATGCTGCAAAGTTACTACAAAGGGGAGAGAATTACAGAGTGATTTTAGTCTTTCTTTACAGATTTCTGTCGCCTGTGGTATGAAAAGTATAAGTGAACACATCAAAAACTACTCACAAAAAGGCTGTGATCGGTCTCAAGTATTTAGTAGGTGTAGACTACCTGGTTGGGATCCGCGAGATGATAGCAACCGATGGTTAGAGACCTTGAATGACATGGCTCAAAATGGTTTGCGGTGGCACAGGTTCATCCACTCTTTGTGTTCTCCCGAATTTATGCTCCTTAAGCAACATCTTCAAACTGCTAATACTCTTACTACCTCTACCACTATGGGATTTGAATGGACAATTGTATCTGTGTGCTAATGTGGTATGGCAACTCGAACTGATGTACGTACGTAAGAAGTTGTACGTTGTTGCTGACTGACTCAAGTATTTGTATCTTGAAATCATTGATCACTCTTCTAAGTCGTTAAGACCACCTCAAACACAGTTTCTTTTTCAAATACCTCAAGAAGTATCTCTCCATGATATGGGCAACTAAGAAGTAAGAATCAGGTTAATAACTCTAAGATCACTCGAGATAACCATAATCATAATTACATCCCAAATTTATGACAACCAATTCAGAGATGGGGAGAAAACTCCAGATTTCGGAAGCGTTCATTTAATAGCCACATTCGGTGTCACAATTCAGTTGATTCCATAATTACCTCCACGTAAGATGTGTTTGGCAATCCAAAAGTTATTGAGTAGGAAATATCTTTGGAACCTATTCTTAACAACGGTTCATGAACCCTTTGAGTTAGAGTAGCATAATATCAGGAATATATCTAAAACGGCTATCGCTAGGTCTCGTACTACTTATGAAGGATAGTTAGTATATGATAGGCGCAACTGCCCAAATGTTTTCGTATATTTAGACGATGAAATGAAATGAATGAATCTCTTTGCTACAGATGCATGAGAATAAGATGAGATTAAAGATGAAGGTTTATCAAATATATTACCATCGCTTGTGACTCAGTAAGCCGTTTATCAATTGCATAGTTCCTTAAAACTTAGTAAGTCACTGGGTTACACTCAAAACTGTTGTCGTCCCTAACTGACATTATTTCAGCACCATTCATACCCTTGTTAATATGTCCATTTTTCGAACTTAACTCACAAAGGCATTGGAAAGATGTTATCATTAGCCCTATATTATTTAAGTATGAAAAGAGATAGACTGTGTACAACCACCGACCTGTCACTCTAGCACAGTATTTGAGGTATTGAAAAAAATAATTAACGGTAAGTTATTTAGTCATGAAGAATCCTATATACTGACTCCACAAAAACAGAAACTTCGTGAGATTCAAGCTTAACTAATCAATTAATTGCAGGAGAAGAATGGACAGCAAATCAAAATAACGGCCCGCTTGTCGACACAATATTCAGAGATTTCAGTAAGGTATTTAACGAGACTTCGTACTTAGGGCTTATGAAAAAATAAATTGGCAGACATATGATTCAGTCAGTCAGTCAGTAACAACATAAAACTTCGTACGTACGTACATCAATTCGAGTTGCCATACCACATTAGCACACAGATACAATTGTTCATTCAAACCCCGTAGTGGTAGAGGTAGTACAAATTGTTAACATGTTCAATCTCAATGCTTCAGTTGGGACTAATCATCTCTGAGGTCGTCATAAAGTTTCAAAAGCTGCGAACGAACAACCGCAGAGTGGAATTCCGTTTTTACCATCAAGCAGTTGACGAGTGGAACGCCCTTCTAGAACAAGTAATATTAATACCATCGGTGAATACTATTAAGGAGAAACTGGTTCCTCATTAGAAAACATACTGGAAACATTAACACCAGTTGACCGACCTACTATCCATATTACCAAATACTGGAAGCTCGCTCTACTTCTTTCATCCTTACTATCAACCATTATCTCTTCGACTTCTTTCACATATGCTACCAGTGCTACCGACCCAGGTGAATAAAATACTGTCTTAGGTCCTCTGAAATTTAAGACGGTCTCAATCTATGAAAAATAATAAGTCATCTGTATTCCCATTGAGTTGAATAGTTATGAAATTTCATGAATCCACTAAGGATAGTAACTAGCTGTAACACTAGTTGTAACATATGTGACATGCCGATTCACTGCTTCACTTAAACAAAACAGTTAAACGTTGTATTTTGTTTGTGAGATCCGAAAATTATGATCTGAATTTTCACTGATGATCAGTTCCTCAGACATAACAATGACCAACATAATGCAAAAGACAGTGTAGTAATAACGAATACATCAATAGAATATATATTTTTGTTTTGCTTATGAATATCGAGTACAATTTTGACTAATAAATTAGCTTGTATATTGATAGTTTAACTATTCAGTGAAGCGGTGGCTCAATGGTTAAAACATTCGACTTCTAGATATTAAGTCGTAGGTCTGAACATCACCTTACTTACTTCAGTATGATCAACTGGCTAGTACCACTAACCCTTATCACACAGTGTGTGGCTTGAAGCTAATCACCTAAATTCACATTTGGTAAATGAGTTTGACTATACTCAACAATAGATATAGATATAAATATGAATACTCCCAATCGCGATGAAATATAGTAAAGTGTAATATAATATAATGCATAACTTACTTTTTATTATTACATTTAAACGTTCTTCATGTACTGACCACATTGTTTGTATGATACAATCTACAGCTGCTTTTAAAACATTATGTCGTTGATTTATACTTTGAATTAAAGTATTTTCATTTGATGAACCCTAAAATGCATTTAGACACTTCATTTATGGATGGTATAAAATGAGGAGAGAATATAAGTATAACAGAACAATAACAAAACGAAACCATGAAGATAATCTTTATTAGCCGTGAAATAATTGAAGGCATGAGATATGATGAACCATTGGACCGATACCGATTCAGTGTGATCTGAAAATAACTCACCTGTGCCCCTTCGATAATGTATCACTAATTGTAACTAAAAACAGCTGTTGGATGTTAACTTGTTTTCCAACAGATATTTTACATAATTAATGTAAATTCTGAAATTAATTACAGAATGTATATTGATTTACAGGGATGATTAGGTTGATACAAATAGCAAAGTTAGATGTAAAAAACTAGATAAATGATTTTAGATTGTTTGAAGTGTTGTAGCACGAAAATTGTTGAGGGAGTACATTTTTACATGAACCACAACAATGGCATTAGCTGGGAATTGAAAATAGAAACTGAAAGTCACTGGCATGTTATGTCACAACCCAACCGATTAAATTAGATTACATGATAGTCTATTATGGCAATTACTGGTTTATCACGATTTTCAAACAGTTTCGCGGATGACTTGACTATATAAACTTTGACTTCACAAGCGTGGGTTACCTAGATATCAATATGTATTAAAAAAACTTGAATACTGAAGATATATAAGTGTATATCGCTTTGAAACTATTTAAATATTCGGAACGTATCTTGTTTAGATTTGACGAAACTAAACAAAAAAAGTCAGATCCCGACCATTCACCTAAATTAGGTACGTAAAATTAAGTGAATCCATAGGCAAGAAAAAGGATACTCCGCCTTTATTCTCTTTCTTTCCGTACGGAGGATCAACCCAAGGGATAGAAAACACTGGTTCCAAATCAATGGTATACAAGGGCTCCAGGATTCTGAGAGAACAAAAGGTGTACAAACTTATTGTCGATCACCAGCTAATATGGAACTACATATCTTAACGTTGCTACACTGTCTTGTGAATTTGACCTCTAGGTCAAAGGCTCGGGAAGTACTCCCCCCAGAAAGACACCTGTTTCGGTTTGGGTGCCTGGATAGTATTCCAACCCACGCACAAATCGAATGATGATTACAGGTAAAAACTTATTCTCACTTTAATTTGCATTATGACAAACTATATTTACAATTATTTCGTAACTTTTGTTTCAATATTATGTTCCGTTACATGTCTACTCCCTTTTATTCTTTTATTTCTCAGTTTATACAGCAGCTCACCTATGATGGAAACTATCTAAATGATCTCAAATCACTGACTCGTCGAAAGTTGAATGCTACCACAGAATACTAATACTCAGACAGGATTTCTGTAACCACGAATCTCACTCGAATTGGCCTCTTTAACGTTCGCACACTAATGCAAATCGAACAACAGATAGAGTTGGCTGCGTCTTAAGAAAGTCTTAATATCAATGTCTGTCGTCTATCCGAGACCCGTATTCAAAATTTTATTGATTTACTACAAATTCGCTCTCCACCTGTATCTTGTTTATCCGAGAACCCTGCGGCATCTTCGTTTGGATTTGCTGACGTTCGTGTCTCACTAAGCGCTAGAGCTGAGGCAGTGCTAATCGATTGGATCCTCATTAACAGTCGGTTATGTGTTTTTAGCTTAGAAAGCTCCATCAAAGTGAGAAGAAATCGGCGTGAGAAACGATATCTTTTCGTCATCTCCGCCTATGCCCCGACAGATTGCAGCCCGGATGCAATCAAGGATGAATTCTACCACCAGTTATCTGTTCTTCTACAGAAAGTGCGTCCGACAGATATTGTAGTACTAGCTGGAGACTTTAATGCTCAGGTCGGGCGTCTAGACACAAAAAAGAATCGTTCAGGTGGCCGATGGGGATTTTTTGGTGGCAGGACAGATAACGGTGACCATCTTCTACGTCGTTCGTGTAACAACTATCGGGGGATAAGTCTACTTCCGATTGCGTCCAAGCTATTGGCTTCCGTCATACTTCGTAGATTGTTCAAAATTCGAGAAAGATTGACTCGCAAGGAGCAGGTTGGTTTTCGTTCTGATCGAGGATGTACTGATCATATCTTCACCCTTCGCCAAATGTTAAAACACCGTCATATTTATCAAAGGCCAACAATCGTAGCGTTTCGTGACATCAGGGCTGGCTTCGATTCGTTGGACAGGACTGTTCTCTGGGATTGTCTATTGAAGAAGAATGTGCCTGAGAAGTATATTTACATCTTAAAGGCCCTATATACAAACACCTCAGGCAGAGTGAGGACATACAATCACTTCTCTTCATTGTTCCATTCGAGCAGTGGGGTTAGACAGGGTTGCCCAATCTCACCGTTCCTCTTCAACTTTGCCATCGATGACATTCTGGAAACAGCTCTGATGGATATAGGTAATGGTGATGTGGATCTGTTGACTCGGGAACTTTGTGACTTTGGATGTGTGGATGATATGGTCTTACTAAGCGATGATACCCAAGGCATGTAATACGCACTTAATCAGTTCGCAGTCAGTGTCCGTAGGTATGGCATGTGCTGTGCACCTTCCAAGTGCAAATTACTTCTACAAGACTGGCAAGATCCTAATCCTGCACTCACCCTGGGTAGTGAGCAGACAGAAGTAGTCAAGAAGTTCGTGTATCTGGGTAGCTGCATAAGTGCTGGTGGGGGTGTGAGTGATGAGATAAATTCACATATAGTGAAAGCCAAAGAAGCTTATGCCAATCTGAGCCAACTTTGGCGCCTTCGCGATGTTAGTCTGGCTGTAAAAGGTCGGTGAGGGTAGTCTTTCTCTGTGCTTGTGAGACCTACCTTCTTCGAGTTGAGGATATTAGATGACTCTGTGTTTGATCAACGTTGTCTCCGAAGGAGTGCTGACATCCAGTGACAATACCATGTCAGTAATGCAGAGGTTCGGCATCGTGTGTTCGAGTGCAGATACGATAATCCAATTGGTGTCACCATATTGAAAAATCAACTTCGGTGGCTTGGACATATTCTACGAATGTCGTCCCAGAGAATTCCACGTCGTGCACTATTTGACGACTGTGGGACTGGTTGGAAAAAGCAGAGAGGTGGTCAGTGTATGACATGGTGTCGTGGTATGAAGGAAAGCTGCAAACGGCTGACTTCTGTTGGTCCTTCACGACTCCCTGGCTGGGGTCCGAGAGGTGGTGCGACACAGTGGCTAGAGACGTTATCAAATATGTCTCAGAATAGAAGTCAGTGGCGATCCTGCTGTAACTTTCTTCATAAAAAATGAACGTGTCTTCTTTAACTGGAAGAAATCTTTCGGGTTGTACTTCTCTAAGCTTAACTGCTTCTCCTATTACTATTATTTCACTCATACACTAATTTCTGCTGAATGTTGCTCTTCTTTTTATTATATATACCCATTCTCTATCTTTTCCCAACTTCATTGTTAATGTGTTGCGCACATATATTTGGTGCACCTTTGTACCAATGTTTATGAGTTCAAATAAATAATCTCTCTTAATAATTTGACTGAGATGTTAAAAGCATTAGCGATATCTTTTCCTCGAAAGTACAGTTGAGATAATATGAGAACTTTTCACACATATACACACTGCAGACAGTACTGATAGCGATAAATGGACAAACACACGCACATGTACACTTATGCAGACTAACAACAAATGTAAATGACTGCGGAATAAATGAATATTTTTTGAGATTTCAATCGATAAAGACAAAACTTAACTGTAATCATTTGACAACAAAAATATGGTGAGAAAGGATGAGTTAAGGACAAATGATTTACGTTGGAACTTTTATAGGAAACAAGCTGACGATCTAACAATACATGTGAAAAAAGTAGACAATATTAAGAAATCGGAAATGAATACATAGTAATTATGAACAGTTACTTAAAATACACAACTTAAGTGGATTGAAATAACTCTTTCATTAAGTCAAAGATGAATTATGAAGATATATATATATATATATATATATATATATATATATATATATATATATATATCAGTTCTACAGGAAATCAGTCGTTGCACGAATACCTTATTGGAATAGGTCGAATGGGACGAAACGCGCGTCCTGGTTACCATTACTAGTCAAAGTTCATTTATGCTATAAAAAATATTAAGAACGTTTTCATTGCTGATTAATGCCAACCAGTGAAAAAATAGGGACTTCATAACAGTGACCATCCACGAACAAATTACCAAGAATAGAATCAAAGACACTTGGGCTTAATAGTAAATATATTATTACTTAGACTCAGTCAGTCAGCAACATACAACTTCGTACATACGTACATCAGTTCGAGTTGCCATACCACATTAGCACACACATACAATTGTCCATTCAAATCCCATAGTGGTACAAGTAGTAAAAGTATAAGCAGTAATCGGAAACATTACGGTTTCAAGATGTTATTCAACCAGTATAATACAGTGAAATAAATTTGGAATGAGAAAAATGAAAGGGACATGAAGAATTCAGAAGATTAGAATTTGGGAGAACACAAAGAATGGATAAACCTGTGCAATTGCAAACCATTTTGAGCCATGTCATTCAAGGTCTCTAACCGTCGGTTGCTATCGTCTCACGGATCCCAACCAGGTAGTCTACACCTACCAACATCACTCAGTCCACTTGACAGTGAGTTCATGGATTTGAACCATGTTTCGGTCTGGCCGCCTCTAGCTTTCTTCCAACCTACTCCTACACCAGGAAACATCGCACGTCGGGGCAGTCGGTGGTTCGGCATACGTAACACGAGTCCCAGCCATCTCAACTGATGAAGTTTCACTACTTCATCCTTACCTAGTACCCGTTTCCTAACAACTCGGTGGTCTCAGGATTGACGAGCAATGTTTCGAAGACACCTATGATCGAATACTAGTAACCTACGAATATCCTCTACTCTTACCGACCATGTTTCACTGCCATAAAGAAGGACGGAACAAAATGCTGCGCAGTAAACACGTCCTCTGGTTGATAGACGGATATCTCGCCTACGCCATAAATGACGCAAGTTGGCAAAAGCTAGTCGAGCCTTCTGTATCCGTGCTGTAATTTCGTCACACACCAGACCATAAGGGCTGATAAGACTAATTAGTTGGAATTCTGTGATCTATCGTTCAACTTTAATGATTCTTCAGTTGACGTTAGTAGGTAATGAAACTCCTTTCATACATCACTGATTTTTACAATTCATCCAACTAAGCATATATATAATTATTGTATATCTTCGACTGTTAGGGGAATTAATTTTACTATTCTGCTGAATATTTCATCGGCTTATAAATAACTTCGAATACTCAAAAGTACAAATTATGCAAAAGGAATATATTTCTTTTCAATTAATTCTTGTAATCATAATACAGTTCTATGCCGCTGACATAAAGGTATTCCGCCCCCTATTTTTTTTAAAAACCACGCAAACTTACTAGTGAGTTTCCTGTTAACAAAGTTTATAAATGTCAAATACTCAATCAAGTTAAATATTAAAACTAATTTGAAAAGATTCCGATTTAGGAAAACACAACCCACAAGTCCAGAATTTAGAAAAAGTAAAGAAGTTGTAGAAAAAATGAAACATTGTTAGTTATATTCAACGAGTTGTACAATATGAATGATTGATTCTTAAGATGAATGAATAGTTTCTTGCAATTAAATAAACAACTGGCAACACATTACATAAGAGTAACAACTGAAGAAAAAACACAATTCCTAATATAGGGGAAGAATTAATTCAGTTGTTAGATGGTTTACAAAGAATAACTTCATTTGAAGTAGATTGATTACACGATGGACTGAATCACTGATACATTGTTGTATGAAACTCCACAACGATCCATACTCAGCAACCATATATTAGGTCAAACTCAGGACTTTCAGGTCTCTCACAGACGTATCAATGTTAGTCTAACTAGAGTCAGTTCGTGATGTAAACTACGAAGTTCAACAACCTCTACAAACCGTCATCACTAGTAACCCAATTTGAAATTGGTTTGAAATTATCTAAAAAGGGGCACGAGATCGAAGCTCCAACCTTTAGGTTTAATGGTAGTTGAGTTTAACCACGTAGACAGTGAGACGGCTACTATTATCATTAATGGCACTAAACGATCACTGTATCATATCATATTACTGACCAACGTTAGAAATGTGAAAGATTTGGATTCCTGCTAATTCGGTTTAAAGGTATGTAATAATCAACTGGAGACCGTAGGATCCTTGATTAGATTAAATGTACGAGTTCATGGCTGCATACTGTGAATATGTCCCCTAAACAAGGACGGTGGAATTGTCTAACTATGGGGACAAATCCCAGTGAACTCAAGGAAGCTCTGAAAAAGCTGAATATATTCCACCCGACCATCTTTTGGAAGAACATTCCAGAATTTCTACGTGTAGCTTCACGATTAGGCAAATGCGGATTGGATAACTGTAATGATGATATCGTTTTTAGTAAAAACTATAAATACCCGAGTGTTTTGTACCATATTTGACTGGTTGGAATAAGACTTTGTCTTCTAAATTAAGATTTGAAGGGTTCAGGCGTTCGAGTGCTCAACTTCTAGATACAACACTAACAGTCCTTGGTTTTCAACGGTTTATCACCTACTGATACCAGTCCAAGAATAAAACTATCTTCAAGATCAAGTTTGTAAGGCTTTGAGGATGATACACATTGAGAATATTGCCAGTTGGTTGGAATTAGTTCGATCGCCACAAAAGTAACACACATCACTAATCAGTGACCAACTGTAAAGAATATAGATGTAGAAACTTTTTGAACTAGATTTTTACTGCAGTGGCGAATAGGTGTATTTTCGAAGTACGTTGAACGTGAATGAATTTTCAAAGCTAAAAATAGTTGGAATGTATTATACAACTGATAGCTTTTAAAGCCACTACTATTAGGTCAGTTTTACAAATCGTATGAATCAAATATGAAGGTAAAACGCTTCTTCGCATCTTTATTTATCTCTTGATCAGCAATTATTTCTTCCCGAAAAAATTCATCGACTGAGTTACAGATGAACACAGTTTTGAAAAACCCATGAGTGTTCAGATATTTGCAGCATCATCGATGGACGTGGAGGATCCGATGCAGACGTAAATGACAGGATTGGCAATGCATGGGCAGCATTCCTACAGTTCAAGAACACATGGAACTCAAAACAACTGTCTCTAAACCAATATCAAAGTCAGAATCATCAATACGAACGTCGAGACAGTTCTGCCGTACAGAGCTGAAACGTGGAGAACTACCACGACCATCATGGAAACGGTACAAGTATTTATAAACAGTTGTCTACGTAGGATACTCAATGTCCGTTGACCGGATACCATCAGCCATAGTCTACTGCGGGAGACACACCAGCTTCCAGTCGAAGAGAAAATTAGGAAAAGACGACGAAAATGGATAGGTTATAACATAGTGGAAATCACCAAACTGAATTACGAGGTTAGCGCTAACTTGAAATCCTGAGGGGAGACGGAAGAGGAAGGCCGAAATACACACTGCGCCGAGAATTAGAAGCAGATATGGAAAGGATAGACCAGGACAGAGTTCGATGGAGAATGCTGGTGGACGGCCTACGCTTCTCTATGAGGGGTAACAGATGTAAGTGTCATATCCGGACGAAGAATAAGTCAATGATAACTGCTAGGATCTATTTATGAATTCTTATATATATACTTATTGTTTAACTATTAAGTAACTATGTTATATGTGTATTCATATTTCAGTTATTTTAAGCTTCCATCTGACATATGGACTACTATCATATGATTTACCATTCTTAGGTTATTCCCAATTTATTAGTTTCAGTATCTCACACTCATAAACACTTTTGGCCTGATCTTGTATAATTGCTATTTTCTATTTCATGGTATGATGCAGTCTGATTTGCTTGCATATAAACTGCGTATGTCTAAAATACATGATTCACACAGCAGAAGCTGTGTTCTGGACTCAAACAAGCAGGGCTAGATAGTAAGACCAACCAGGGCTCATAGTTGACGCTAGACTGCTCGTACTGGTTTATGCGTCATTGGTCTGGTCATATAAGTTGGTGTTTCTAATTGGCGATATTATCACGTGACATATTCGCAGGTCGTAAGGACATGACAGTAAGTGATTCAGATCTTTGGAATGTCACATAAACAAAAGGATTACTGGGAATCGACAATATATCCTTGTGAAATTCCAGAAACAATACTAAACTTTTGGTCGCTTAACTTTACAATATATATTCTGCGTTTTCGATGTAATGTACTGACTTGATCAGTTGAACAGGTTGACAACTAGCAGTTTTGATGTAACCAGGTTATATGTTAAAACAACAAGTCGCTTTCTATAAAAAAAAAGATTATTGGGACGGGGAGTAAAGTATACAATCAAACCAAAATAGACGAGTCAAATCAATGATTAGAGGAGTAAAATTACCGTGTTGTAAAGGTTGGCAATTTCAATGAATTGTTTTGCAGCAGGTAATAAACAACCTTCATCGTTGTTTGGTTCGATTTTCAAATAACTTGCAAGCTTCCCAAGCCAAACACTCCGAAGTTGACATACGAATGGCTGCCGAAATGAAACAGATAAATATAATGAGAAAAAGTATGATAATTTTTATCAGGTAAAATGTAAAAAAGAACATCTTTTGGTGGAATTGCGATTTCTGAACTGGATGACCTAATCATCAAGCCTTCATTATCCTTCTGATCAGCATCATTCATCCATATATGACTGATAAACCGTTTTGTCGACCTTGATCTTGATTGGTTATTGTTTTTTATCTTGTAGACAAATATAAATATATAAACTGTTCTAAATGCAAAAAACACTACAAAGGACAAAGTAGATCCCTTCCTCATCTTCACATGAATGAACATTGATTAGCGATCAGACGCCACGATATATCTTCGCTTGCATCGATGTTCATAAACAATCATGGACACATTCGAGGGAAAAAATGTTGAAATCCCGGATAGAGGGAATAAGAAAAACACCAAAGTATTTTACAGATGCTTGGCACACAGTTCAGTAAGCAGTCAACAAACACATAGAAATCGATTCAATTTATCAACCAATTAAGAAAATTATGGGCAAATATAGCACCGACAAGCAGATCAAAGGGAGATACAATCAAAATAAAGAGGTAGACAACGACAGGTTAAAGGTAAACAATAACCAATCAGAATCGAGATTAACATGACAAGCTGTAGATTATATGTGAAGAGGTTCGAGTACTTCACTTCAACCGGACATTTGTGATGGTGAAAGCCCCACGACTAAACCATCATAGGACAAAACTCTACCAGAATCACAAATTCAACCGGATTTCCGCTTGTTTATTTCGTTTTATATTTGCAAGTCATAGATTAGTATGTAACCTTCTAGAAAGTCTAAATCGGAAATGTGTTCAATTTGTGTACCAGACATAAAAAAATTTCAACAGTTAAAATAATGAATGTAACGTATGATAGAAAAACTGAAATCCTACAACAAATTTCGATTTATAATACATTTCATTCTTGCTACTGAAAAAGAAAAACTGAAACAGAATGGTGAAGATCAATTTGAATACAAAACTGTTTTTCTCTGGAAACAATCATTATCACTAAAGAATATGAGAAAACAATAACTAAAATAAATTAATATAATTTAACTGAAAATAATATCGTAATATGATACTAAGACGGTAAAATCCGACCAAAAGCCTGTTGGGTAGTGAGGAAAACCTCACTAGCTAACTTGAGCAATCGAGGAATATCGGACTGATCCATCACTCTGCTGTACTCGTAATATTCAGAATTTTTATTTCAAGGCTCTAACAATCTAACGTGATACTAACCCTCTTCACACCGCCCATTTGAAATTAGTGTGGAAAAAAGTCAAAGAGTAGCACTGATAGTTTTGTCAAATACACAATGAACTTAGCATTGTATTATTATTTAATATAATTAAAAATAAAGGGAAAAAGCAGGATATAACACTCATTTACCTTATTATTACAACTAAGAATTTTTGCATGTGATTTAAGTGAAGCATTCATTAAATCAGTAGAAAATTTAAAACTAATAGCCCAATCCCATAGAAGATCTAATGTTTTTTGCATCATCATACCATCTGTATCTTGTTCAGCTAACATTGTAATCAAATCAATTAAACGTTCACGTTGACGTTTTGTTGCTTTTTTCCAACTTTGCTATAATATATATGAAAAGTCAAAAGAATACTTGAGTTAGGTATCAAATTTACAATGAATATTGATAATGATATAATGTGGTATGACTAATCGACTTGGATGACTTTGTTACAAATATAGTTTAAATATCAAATTGTTAATTGGCACAATGAACAGAATAGAAGCGTTATTGGTTGCTTGGTGACCCGTATTCTTGACCCTGATTCGAGCACTTTTAGAAGAAAATGGGCTGCTAACACTTTTTACTTACACACGCTGCTAAAATATATAACTCTTCAACGAACCTAGAAAAAAAGATTAATAGTGATGGTTTTGTCAAGCTGGACGCGTGACAGAGGAATCCTTATTGTTAACTCCAGAAATCTGTGGAGCAAAGTGATATAATAGCTACTTTTAGATCGGACCTTTCTAATAACTTCTTTTGCGATAGAAAGACAGTAATAATGCAGATATTATTTATTCACCTGAAACATCTTACTGCCATCACATCTCAATAGTACAATCGACAATAAGAATTTATCACAAAACCTACAAACACTAAACAACTTTTTGTATGCACTTTGTACATTTACATCCAGATAATCAAAAGATAATCTCGATAGCAGATCATTCATATAAATCGGAGGAACTAAACAGTCAGTGAAAAGGTTGATTATGAATAAAGTGGTATTGAGTGCTGTTAGAAGTATAAAGGCGGTTATCACTCCCCGGTTTCCCACACTGTGGAAGGGTTCTTCTAGAGGTACCTGAAAAGGAAATTGGATTAGAAGTGGTCTTAATGAAATGAGAGCGTGAACGCAGTGCCCAAGGGACAACTGCTTGAGGTCGGTCACATACGACCTTTTTGTGAGTAATTTTCGTGTTACCTCCATACTTGTGGAGACCTTACTGCCGGAGACGGATATCCGTGGGATAAGGCGAGGTGTGCATTTTTAGGGTCAACCTTTTCTAACCCCACTCCTCCTTGTGGGAAGGCAGTATCACTGTTATGCTGGTTGTCTTAAGGAAGCACCTTATTGCCATCAGCAATATGACTTCACCTTCGGACCTTGGGTTTGTTGCTTTTAGTCTTACCGTTCTTCACCCGACCTGTCTGACATGGTAGGACCTTGCGGAACGATTGTTCCAGCCAGTATAGTTCGATTATTTCATCACGATAGGTAAGCCCGACCACCACATCAAGGTAACAACAACAGTCGGGGGAGGAACTAGACAGTAATGAGTATTACAGTCCTTGCACAGAATTCGGGAAAAATAAAGTAATAATTTTTAAAAAATCCTCATAAATTCATTTAGAATAATAAAACAACAAAAAACTACCTTAAAACAATTAAATAAATAATTTAATTGATTCATTGAAAATTCCAATGCTAAACGAGTTAACATATTGAATATATTTTTAATGATAGTTTCATGTTTACCAATTTGTGATTCCCATATAATATCTAAATCATCTGATGTTAATAATAATTTTCTAATCATAAAACGTATTATCTCTTCAACTTTTTCCACATATTGTAATTGATGCAAATTTTCACGAAGTAATAATTTTAATAACTGTAGATGAAGAGAAAGAAAGAGAGAGAGTAATAGGATAAAACAACAACATCAAATATTGAGGAGTAATATCGAGTGTTTTATAATGTGAAACATTATAAGTAATGCAAACTATCGCGGGTTTATTTAAGAACTCGAGAAGTTATTGCCAAATGGATTAACAGATGAAGCGGAGTTAACTTGCTTAGTAAGATAATGTACTGGTCCAGCAGCACGTGCGATTACGTGTGTGTTCTTTACAGAATCCAACGAGTGGTTGGGAAGGCCGCATACGATTGTTAAAAAAAACTGAAGTGACAAAGGGAATGATGATTTGAATGAAGTAGCCAGTTTCTTGGAAAGCTTATTGAAACAGAAATGCTATGGTATGATTGAACTTATATTCGAAACAGGCCAAGCGTCTTCCAACTCGGGTGCAGAAAAAATGGATTAAAATCAGTGTAGATACAGAGGAGTCGGACGAAGAAAACGAACCTAAACTTTCAGATGTATTTCAGTTGATTGGTGTTACTCAATAATTGACCTCACTTTCATTGAGATCGCCATTACCAAGCTTCAACAGAGGATGAGTTTTACATTCGTACAGCTTAGTTATTATTAACATAGCCACCTTTCAGATAGCGAAAACACAAACGTTACCACTCATGAAGTCTAATCTTTGTTGTAAGGTAAAGCTGAAAATTTTAGCACATTCATTTAGGTCGCGTCATGTGGTACACATAAAACATATGTTCCTTCCATTCACAAGGTGGTTTGCACTCCTAACATAAGATCTTTCCTTAGAGGATGGAAGTTTATATATGGAGAGAGTTGGTTGTACCGATCCCGTTTTAAAACTAGGCGGTTATTTTAAGAATTGCTTAATCTAGTCTCTATACTATACTTTTGCCCAAGTGCTTACATAAACTAATGAAATGTGATAACTGAAATCAATCAATTAGTCATACGTAGGACTTAGCAAATCTGAACATCAGTTCAAATTAGCATACCCTATTAACACAGCTAGATAAAACTGTCTGGGTAAATCCCAGAATAGTAAATGTAGTAACTGAAATATAATCATACAACTCATTTCTCCAACATAATAACCACTTAAATAGTAATTTACCTTAATATCTGTAATCCACTGACCAACTCGTAATGAATTAGTATTAGGTAATAGACGAATTAATTCGTTCAGTGTGTTCATTTTCCCATTGAAAGAAGATAGCTGTAAAAGCAGAATAGTTTCCTTTTAGTTTTAAAATGAATCAAATAATTACCACTAATCAGTAGGTATACAAAACTTTCAAAAGTTTGGTTATTCGACGATTAAAACATGTCATACATACTATGAAATTTTTTCAAGTATTTTCTGGACTAAACCCTCTTGAATGTATATACTACTATATAATATATTCACTGAGAATTTCTGATAAGAGGAAGTGACACTTGCAAATTCTAACAACTGAACAATGAATTTTCAATGAAAGTGATAATCTCAGAACGGTGGGTGTGTAAACAATTCAACCCTTCAATATTTCTATAGTTCAATGACACTAAATTGGACGCTAGTCATTAGTGAACATATAATCACCACGAAGTTACAGTATTTTATGGGAGCTTAGTATATTCTTGATATGTTTGTCAAAGTCAAACAGATCACATATTGACTCAAGACCATAGGATAAAGTGGATTATTTATTTAGCTAAGATTGCCGCCCACAATATCCCGTTCAGTCTAGCAACCAATAAATTTACATGAGTTATAAATGTTGTTATTCAGCTGTCAAATAAAGCACAAACAGTTTTAGTTGTCTCCCATTGAATAGCTAATTGATTGAGAGTTAGGAACATAACAATGACTGAACCAATCAAACCCCAGGTCATGAGAGTTCTACAGAATAATTTTCATTTCAAACTGATATAAGCAACGGAATTGCCGAAAACTAGTTATACTCTGGCATGAATTTTCAATAAATATTTTCCAAAAATATACAATGACAGGTTGCAGTCATTGGCACTGATGTTTATTTCCTACGAAAATGTGTGGTAAACAATTTAGAGTAGTGTTGATCTACGCCGTCAATTTCAATTTAGATTCACGAGAAACTCGGTAGAGAACATTCTACAACTAGAAAAATAAATAAGTCAGGAAATGGGAAAGAACATTGAGTATGTGTAAAAGCTTTCTTTCAATTAATGTAATTCTTTTCCTACAAAAATGTGCGGAAACATTTTATGGTGATAATTTATCATGTAGGGTGAGATAGAGAAGAAAAAACGATTATATACATAATTTGTACAGATATAACTTATTTTACAAAATCCAAGGTACATCAGTCCTTATGAATCCCAAGACACTCTTCATTTATGTTGAAATACTTGCCTACATCTTTGTCTCCATTCCTCATAATAACCCATGGAGATCCTTAAAAAGCCATAGTCTTCAAATGGTTCGATATTTCACATTTTGCTCAAATTGTGCGCATAGACGAGTTTTTCTAATTCAGTTTATCAGCAATTATCCAGACAGTGAGCTGACGGTCAGAATAAGCGAGAATGCGGATGTACTAGGCGAAAAAGTGACGCAGCAATATGCAATCACCACCATAGCAACAATTTGAAACCAGAACCTTGGGTTGTCGTAGGGATTACAATACTTTTTAGCCAAATAGTTAAAATGTAATCATTCACATTCTAGATTTTAGCTAATTTTTAGTATAGTACCGTCTTTTGTTTCTATAGTTTTCCTTTAGTCGATATCATCTCGTGATGGATATTACCTCCAAGTTATGTGAGACCTTTACAAGACCAGTTAAATTCATACAACTAAGTTATGTATGATTTTACAGTTGGAAACATCTTATGAGTTAATATCAAGTGAAATACACCGCTTGCATTCATAATAAAAAGATCCTAATATTTCTTATCTACTATATACCTTGTAATAATTGTGAACAAAAATTAATTTTAAAAAACTTTCTATAAACAACACCGACTTACTCAACTTACCTGAAAGAAACGATAGATTAAATTAAGACTGAGTAATTCAATTGTCTCAATATCATCTTCCGTTGATGATGGAATACGTTTTATTAATGTACATAAAGACAGTTTCAAACTAGTGATGAAATCATCTTTACGCAGTTCCTTTTTAGTTTCACGTTTAATTTGATCATCAGTTAAATGAGACAAATAATTGACAATAAGAGTCTGTAAATAAAATTTTCAATAATATTAATAATAATAATAATAAATTAATCAAAAGGGTGAAAATAATCCAAATCCACTTTTTCATTTTATTTTATTTAAACATAAACGTTGGTACAAGGAGGCACCAAATAGATATGTACCACATAAGTCATTCGGTTTATGTGAGGGCTGGGATACCGTCCGGGTGCTCGAACCAAAGCAGGTGGTTTTCTTAGAAGGCCACAACCCGAGTCTTTGACCTAAAAATCTGATCCACAAGGCAGTGGAGCAACGTCAGGAGATGCACTACCATGGTTGCTAGTGACCAACAATTGGTTCATACGCCATTTGATCTATCAGGATCCTGTAGTCCAGACCAAAACATAGCACAAGTCCATGAAGTCACTGACAAGTAGACTGAGTCATATTAGTAGGTGTAGACTACCTGGTTGGGGACCGCAAGATGATAGCAACCGATGATTAGAGACCTTGAATGACATGGCTCAAAATCGTTTGCAATGGCGCAGGTGCATCCACTCTGTGTTCTCCCAAATTCCAATCTTCCGAATTCTTCATGCCCCTTTCTTTTTTCTCTTTCCAAATTTATTTCACTGGATTATACTCCTTGAATAACATCTTCAAACCCTAATTTTTCTGATTACGGATTATAATTTTACTACATCTAGAACTACGGGATTTGAGTCGACCACTGCATCTCTGTGCTAAGGTGGTGTGGCAACTCGAACTGATGTAGGTACGTACGAAGTTCTACGTTGTTACTGACTGACTGATCGACTGAGTCCATGTGCACCATTAATTTGGAATCAGGGTTTTTTTAACTCCCCCAGGTGGGTCCTACGTATCCACCAACCCAGTTAAAGCACCGGACATTCGCTTTTCGTCCTCTCCATCTTGTAAACAGTAATTCCGCGAGAATGCAGTGTGTACGACTTCTTTTACAGTGGTTGCATGCACGTGGTCATGTGAGAGCATTTCGAGAGAGTGGATCTCCCCACTCTCGGTCGTACCAGTGATTAGTGATAACATCCACACACTGACCAATACTTTGAATAATAATCTAAATGAAATTATTTTAGGAATTGTCCTACACTGATTTCCTCACCTTTTTTCAAGAAAAATACATAGTCTTAATAAAGGTGGAAATGAATCTTCAGAGTTTTTTTTTAGAAACGTTTCCTTTATAAATAACAATCTAAGAGCAATATTATGGTACAACGCCTGAGGAAGGTTCTAATTTTTTTAGGATTGAATCCGATACATAAAACCCCGCATATTTACTAGGTCAAAGTCCAAGGATACTGGACATTCTCTATAAATATTCTTGTATTGTTCACTGTATTGTTGTCAATAGAATTTTGAGTTTTTTCTTTTACAATATGCACTTTTTAGGAATGTCCAGGCAGAACGTTGTCCCCTATTGGTTTCTATGGTTATCCAACTGATGTCCAGTCATTAACGCATTCAAGTAATATAAGGGCAAAAAATAAGTAAATATCCCAGTGACTTTAGTTTAACAACTTACCACTATTGGTTTGAAATATTCTTCAACTACTGAGTCACTTAAATAATTTGAACATAAAGCAAAAGGATGTAAATAAGCATGTATTAGACCAAGTGATAAGAATTCTGTCTGATCATTTGATTGTTGTTGTAGCTGCTGTTGTAACACATCTCTTTGTTGCTGGTCCCAGTGGTACTTGTTATCTAACTCAAGGAAACGTGCTTTCAATCGATCGAATCCACTGAATCGTCCAAATAGATTAATAAAATCCACTAGAATAGGTGCATCCTTATAATTTGCATAAGAAATAGAATATTCCTTTATTTGAACAGTATTGTGTGGTGTCAGAGGATCATTATTCTCGATGGGATTAGTATCTTCGTCGACTTGTCCTGGTTGTTGTTGACACGTACTGTCGTTTTCGTTTGACAATGATATATGTGGCAATAATTTAATTATATCTTCAAATCGACATACAACATTCCTATGAACACCATAACGAATTTCGTGTGTTACACTAGTGGAAATCATACTACGTGTGTGAAACCTAAATGGAAAAGTGTACAGAGAGATAGAAAGGTAAAATAGGAAATGAAGGTGAAGTAAAAATGAATATTATATTGATTAAGAAATTCTCAATCTCGTATGGAGCATCACTAACTGATAAAATACAAACCCTTAATATAAAATTATTAGGCTACTAAACACCAGGAAGATAAAACTTAATTGTAGTAATCAAATAAAAACGAAGAAACAACCATAAGGAAATTCGCTATGATTAGTGGTATACTTACATACGCATGTTACTCCTCGTGATGGAGCATACGCCGCTCACCAGCATTCTCCATCCAACCCTGTCCTGGGCAATCCTTTTCAGCTGTTTCCACTTGTTATTCAAACTTTTCATGTCTGCTTCTATTTCCCGACGGAACGTGTTCTTTGGCTTTCCTCTTTTCCGCTTCCCTTCAGGATTCCAAGTTAGGCCTTGCATCGTGATGCAGTTTGATGGTTTGCGTAATGTATGTCCTATCAATTTCCATCGTCTTTTCCTAATTTTCTCTTCAGATGGAAGCTGTTACTGATGGTGTCCGGCCAATGTATGTTGAGTATCTTGAGTAGACAACCATTTATAAATACTTGTACCTTCTTGATGGTGATTGTTTTAGTTCTCCAAGTTTCAGCTCCGTACAGCAGAACTGATTTAACGTTCGTATTGAAGATTGTGACTTTGATATTAGTTGAAAGTTGTTTTGAGTTCCATATGTTCTTCAATTGTACAAATGCGGCCCTTGCTTTGCCAATCCTCGCCTTTACGTCCGCATCTGGACCTCCTTGTTCATCCATGATGCTTTCCAGGTATGCGAAGGATATATATGCTGCATCAGTTCAAATTGGTTTTAATAAAAGGATTTAGGAATGAAAACTGACTCTAAATTGAATCATTTCCACAAACCCTCTTGATGGAGACTTAGTGGCAAACCCATGTCTTAAAAATAACCACTTGGTTACCATAGAATAAATTGGAAATGGATTCCTGAAGTTCCAATGAGAAACCATGACCAATTCATTAGAATGGTGATAGAAGAATATATATTACCAGTGATAATAGTGCTGGGTTGCGAATTAATTTGACTTAGGAACATGAACGTACGGATTCTGACCGTGGTATAAATGCATCGTATTCACTGTGAGACTTAAACATCCTGGATGTGATCCCGTGAGTGAGCGCTGACAATGAATCATAAACTGCGACAAAACGGGTATTTAGTTCTTTTGAAGTTTTCTTGATTCTACCTTAGAAAGGTACATTAAAGTTTGTACTTGCATTACTAATAAACTAGGGCCAAATATGAAAACCACTGAGTTTTTTCTCTTTACTTTAGTTGTTAAAAAGATAGACAAGAACTTACTGTGAATTAGGATCAAACAGGATACTTTCCAATTCTAATATTGCTGGGCAATCAGATTTTGCTTTTATGGAACACAGTTCAATACCCAGTAAAGAATTGGCGTAAATAAAGTGCTTTATTGAAAAAGAAAGGGAAACGGTGGTAGACATAAAGCAATTAATGAATACATACTAAGATATGTGAATCCCAGCGAGTAACTGCATCATTATGAAATATTTTCTGAAAAGAACTAATTAAACCATCTGAATAAAATCGTAAACAATCTTGTGAATGAATATCTTCACCTGAAAAAATTGCAAAAAAAGATATTTAGAAACAAATGAATATGATTACGAAACCATGTTTAGCCATATTGATTGATGCCAATAGTACAGTTTCCAATTGTGAATCTGGTAGAACAGGTACTTGCCAATGTGGTCGCGATAACAAAGAATGTAAAGTGTTGAATGCATGCACTGGAAATAATGTCGGCGATGGTGATTTCAGGTATGTTGAACATGTATTTTCAGTATTTATTACATCTGAAATAGGATTGTTTAGAGAGCTTTCTGATGGAGTATCGCTGCACAGTTGATCTTGTTTGCTGTTATTACCATTCATGATGAACTGAACTAAAAATGAAAAAACCGAGGTTTTAGAAAAACTGAATGAAAATGTGGGAAATGTAGCTTGACACTATTTTCAAAATTAGAAAAAACTACACAATCGCATCCATTTTTCAGCAATGAATGAGCTTAAGCCAACGACTATTTACATGTTTATGCACTAATCTATAAATTTATTTTAACACAAATATTGGTACAAGAGGGGACCGAATACATATGCACCACACAAGTTACGTGATTTGTATGTTGGCTGTGATACTGCCCGTGCGCTCAAACCGAAGTAAGTGGTTTTCTTAGGAGGCCACAAACTGAGCCTTCGACCTAAAGGTCTGATCCACAAGGCAGTGGAGCAACGTCAGGAGATGCACTACCATGGAAGCCGGTTGTCCAACGGTTGATTCATACGCCGTTTGTTTCCTTAGGATCCTAGAGATCATGTACACTATTGGTTCGCAATCAGGGTTTTACAACTCCCCTACGTGGATCCTCCGTATCCACCAACCCGGTTAAAGCGCCGGATATTTGCTTTCCGAACTCTCGATTTCCTAAACAACAGTAATTCCGCGAGAATTAATCCGATTGCCACAACTGTGTGCGAAAGCCTGCAATCAAAAATGAGGTTTATACTAAGCTATTACAGCTCTACCTTACCGTGTGCAAACGAAAAGTAGTCAACTGTCTGAATGGTAATTACAGAATGATCACAAATAACGTATAATACAACAAAGCAACTACCAACAAGTTTACATGAATTAAGTAGACGGAATACACCCACTTAGACACAAAAACAATAAAGATCGGGTCAGTGAAGAGTCTTTTAGGCAAATTCGTTTTCAAAGCTGTACAATCAGGAATATACATTTATTTTTTGAAATGATTGCTTGCTAACAATAATCGTGATAATAATTTCCTAGTTCTAACAGGAGTACAACAAACAAAAGCACAAACACGTTACTCCTATTAAGGAAATAAGAATGAAGTGATTAAAAGCATGATTGTTTATTTAAAAAGTTACTAATTAAGACAAATGATTCCGTAACATGAAAAAATCTAATTAGGAAAAGCAGAGACAAATAATTCGGTTGAGGTGGATTAAAATATTGATAGAGGAGATAAGATAGAGTAATGGTTTCGTAGAAATACAAATTAGGACTATATTATGAGTATAAAGTCAAATTTATTACAGGAACGTCAAATAAAGCCGGTTAAAGTCCCTGACTGTATCACTTGGTCATAAGCAACGTAACATCGACACAAATATGCAACAGTTCGTTTCCACATTACATCACTATGTCGATATGAGATCACTAAGATGAACATTGTAAGAGGCGTCTAGATTACCAAACAATAAGATCATCTACGGAATTTGACTAAATCCTAATGACTAGATTACAGTAATCATGTTGAAGACACCATTTCAGTAACTATAGGTATTCTTAACCAGAATGGAAGTGAACGTTCCAACGTCCTACAGTCTCTTTTAGACGATCTCGTGCTTCGGGGAAAACTGTTACTGGTGAATTATACCCATGTAATCTGCAGAAAAAAGGTTGCACAGCCTAGACAATAATAGATATTAACCTCTACTATAACCTACCAAAGCTAGAAGATGTGGACAAAAACTAGCCTCCAAAAGACACCATGAAACTAATGCAGAAGAGTAGGGATAGGTCTCCCTTCACGAAAAGTCCAACCAGGAAATTCGGGGTATTATAAGTACCAGAACAAACAACACTCTAGCAGTACTCTGTCCTTCTCAAAGTTGAACTATAAAAATTATAGCTTGGTGTTCGATTTCTAATCACCGAGTTAAAGGTTTAGACCTAGCTCCGCTTTCTTCATATCAAGCACCCAGCTAGCTCTAAAAATTCGTAACTCAGGGCGGTGAATTACTGGAAAAAATAGGTTCCGGCCAACAACTGAATTGTTTAATATGTAGTTTGATCTGAAGATATCTTTCACCATTTTTAACACATCAATCAACATATCATCTTTTACTCCCGAACAATTGGTCTGTAGGACTAATCATTACCTAGCTCTATATGAAAACTGACACCTTCAAAGAACATTTGGTTAGCAGTTGTGTCACGTATAGTAAAAATGAAGCAAGGACCCTTGTGAATGTGAACAACAAACCAAACTAACCACTCGGATTAATTCAAAGTAACAACCCCATGTGAAGTAACCGCGGCGTAGCGAGATTTTACATTCAGATTCAAATGGTTCAAATGGTTGTGGACGGAATAAAAGAAGCTTTCATTTAACAGGATTCCGTGTCTGTTAGCAGGGGATCACCAAATCCTCCAGGCAGGAACCTAGGTATGTTAACAATAAAAAAGGAAAAGAAATTAGTAAATCATAGTGTGTTACTATCACTAGTCCTTAAGAATAGATCAATTTGCCTCTTGAAGGACTCCTGGGAAGTCGCTTGGACTAGCTCGGCCGTCAGCGAATTCCAGCATTTGACAACTCTGAAGGAGTAAAAGTTGTGTCTACAGTCCGTTCTGCTATGTTGTGTCTCCAATTTCTGGGTGTTACGCCTTAGGTTAGTGTTCGAACTAAGCTTAAGTAGGTGTTTGAGAGGATTTCCAGAAGTGTTGAGCATACTATAAGCCATTAATAAATCACCTCGAAGACGCCTATACTCTAGTGGATAAAGGCCTAGTGAATGGAGGCGTCCTTTGTAAGGTTTAGATTTGAGTCCTCGAACTGATTTCGTGGCTCGCCGTTGGATACGCTCCAAAGTGACCTTGTCCTTTTGGAGTGAGGGGGGAGTATTATGTTTCCGTACTCTAAATGGGGACGGATGAAACTATTGAAGATTGTGTGGAAAGTTCTTCCGTCAAACTGACCAAAAATGCGCCTCAACGTTACCAGTGCAAGGTTTGCTCGGAAGGCATTTTTGTCACAGTTAGCGTAAGACTTCAAATCATGGGGCACATGGACTCCTAAATCTTTTTCGACTTGGGATACTACTAGAGAGGAGTTTCCTAAGTTGTAACTGTAGTTTGCAACATATCGCAAATGGACTACTTTACACTTTGAAGCGTTAAAGGTAAGTCCGTTGTCGTCTGCCTAACTTTGAAGTCGAGTCAGATCCTCCTGAAGTGCCTGTGTATCGTCTTGGTTGCGTATCTCTCGCCAAAGTTTAACACCATCAGCAAAGAGTAATAATTCTAACGTCACCTGTTGAGGAAGATCATTTATGTAGACCAAGAAGAGAAGAGGTCCCAATACTGAGCCCTGGAGGACCCCTCTAGGATATTCCATAGCCTGAGATAAAGTGAAATTAACCCTGACCTTAAAATGTCGATTTTTCAGGTATGAAGTAAGCCAATCGATTAATGGTGGTTTGATACCTAGTCGTTTGAGCTTATTGATAAGACATGTATGGTTAACCTTATCAAAAGCTTTTGAGAAATCTAGGTAGATGATATCAACCTTCCCCTTGCAATCGAGGATGCCTGTCCATCTGTTCACCGCAGTCAGTAAGTTGCTTATACAAGAGTAACCCTTCCTGAAACCATGCTGTTGAGGTGAGAATAAACTTTAGGACAGTAAATAGTCATTTATACCATCGCATATCAGTTTAAGCGCGATGGTGTCTGACTGTTTCTCCAACGAGTTGCCGACTTTACATTTTCGTATAATCCCAAGTCCTCGATGAAGTTGAAGAACCAAGCTTCAGTTGAGTCCTCACATCCAATGTACGTATGTTCCACGAAGTTGACTCTAGGGAGATTAAAATCCTTTAGAATCAGGATATGAGTGAAACCGAAAGGCGCAGAGTGGAATAGTCCTTCCAGCATACCACTGTCCTACTCGATGTCGACAGTGGGCTTCCTATAGATGACTCCGACTAGGCACCTCGAAATAGTAGACAATCTTACAGAGCACCATATGGATTCCTCAAGATTGTTAAACTCGATGTTATGAACTTGGTGTATCTCCAAGCACGATCGTATGTATACGGCTACTCCAACCCAATTTCTGTTTTTCTGTTGTTGCGAAACAAAGACATCCCAGGTATTGCTTGCTCGTGGTTCATAAAGCAATAAGATATCCAAGATTCAGATATTCCTATTAGATGAGCACTAGTAGCATTGCTAAGTTCACGTTGCTTATCCATTGTATTCGGTAAACTCGTGGCGACCATGTATAACCAGTTTATGCTTTCAATTTGAAACGTGTGGGCTTCTTCCTGTTTGTCTATGTGAGCCTTACGTGAATGAACAGGTAGCCTACCTATATGAAGTTTGTCGAGTTGGTAAGCCCTGTCCTTTACACGGTTTTTAATAATCAAGACAGTCCACAAGTGGGGTCGTCAGCTCCAACTTGCCTTTGTGCCTGATCCTGGCGTCATGTGGCTTATCCGGGTGCATATGGATCCCAGTTGGCAACCGACGTCTGTTGGTACGAAGTGCTTCCAGAGTTGAAGCCGCCTTATGGGAGGATGGGAAAGTTATCCTCAGTAGTTGGGGTCTGGAGTTACCGTCCTTCTTGGCTATTCTCGTCACGTGTTGAGACAGTATGCTTTTGAGCCTCAAGGACTGTTTGATGAATTTCCATTCCACGATATCGGAGTTTGCTTGATTAGGGTCTGTGTTTTCCGGCACACCTTGCACAATTATATTCCTTCCACGGAAAACCTGCTCGCGAGATTCTTTGAGGATGTTCTGGATGAGATTGCGCTCAGAATACGGTACGTCGGGCAGTATTCTTACATTCCCATCGGATTTCAGTAAATGACTAGCTAGCGTGACATCCTCTACGTCGGTCTCATTCTTAAGTGTTACACGAAGTAGCCTCGGGTGGTTTTGATGCTTAGATTCTGTTGTGAAAGGGGAAATAAGAAGCCCAGACAACTACGAAAGCTATTTTTTGGGACGTTATTTCATTTCATTCAAACCTTGTAAAACACTTATATTTATTTTTGTCCTTTTTTTAATACTACATAACATGAGCTTTCGTTCCATGTAGCATTCACTGCCATACCCTTTTCTGTTCCGAAAATATTGTAATTTAAACATAATATTTTGCATCTTATTTTCTACCCTAATTCCCAGCTTCGGACATAATTGTATTTTCCCAACTTATTGTACTTTGTGGTCAGGATATTCACTTATTTATTCATGTACATTTTTGCACTAATCCGAATTCGGAGAATTCAGAATTCAGAGTGTTCCAACTGTCTTGTCTTCTCTCACTTGCGTACTTGCCAACCAATCAAGTTCTAGAATTGTTCTCTCTCTACCCCATCTGGAACTCACGCGTACTAAACTCAAGATTAAGCCGCTCAGACTATCGCGTCAAGGTCCATAATCTAGACTAGACAGATCAAGGTCAAATCATCACAAAGTATCGACGGTGTAAATGTGATTCAAGGTCATAGCAGATTCCTTCCCCCGAGTGAGCCGTGTGATCGTCAAAGGCTCTAATCTTGGAAGTTCAAGTTTCTTGTTCAATTATCCTCAGAGCATCCTATCATTTTTGTCCTGCAAACTGGGAGGAAGTTCAGGGTTGTCTTTGAAGTTCATGACTACGAGAGAGTCATCACAAACCGTTATTGTTGTCCCAGGTTTTTCGGTGCGTTCAGGTTCAGCACCTTGTTGTTTGGAGGTCGAAGCACGTTTCTGAATCCTAGGCTCTTTGATGACCGGGCGGACATTCTTGGGGGTAGACTATGCGACCAGATCACCAGCTGACTTCCTTTCAACAGATGGGATGTTCAACATAGACTGTGACGCCTGCTCCTTTTTAGCTCTTTTGACATGGGTCCAATCACCTACAGAGTTTTTAGGAACCACTGTCGCGTTCAAGGAACTTTAGCTGTGAGACCCGAGTTTGCTGAGGGAGTCGAGTACCGTCGACGTAATGATGGTGCTGAGTTTCAATGTGTCATCATTAGTGCTGCTGCATGCTCCGTCGATGGTAGACCTGTCAACATCCCTGTCCTTGTTTTCATTGCACACTCTCTTGTCTGTCTACCCATTTTTTGACTGTTTTTTCCCAAGTTTACTGACAATTTGCTCTGCAGACCTGTCATTGGGACAAAGATATTACTCAGCAAGACTACAGCTTCCGTGATGCACGTAACACATTCCCGCTTATGACCCGACTGGCTGAGTCTGTTGTAAGCAGTTGCTGTGAGATCTGTGCACGCTCTGTGGAACCAACCTTTGCTGTTTTCGCATTGCATACCAGATGTAACAGCAAAACGGCATCCTGGTCGTTTTTCATGACTGTATTGACGTAAACTGTGTTGTAGATGCTAGCAAAAGCATAGGACCGTAAAAAATACACTAAAAAGCACACTAAAACCTGACAAAAATGGATATAACGGATGAGATAAATTGAACCAGCCTCTACGTGAAAAACTGAAAAAAACCGAATGGTAAGCTGGGGCGAAACCACAGTTAACTATTAAATTAATTGAAACTAAAAAAAGTAACCTACCGAACGTAAAGCTCAGAATAGATTCTTTTGGTCAGAAATGGTACGTTTGTTGTGTAAGACCACAGGAAAGTTTGATAAATGTAAACCACGTTAGGACTAAACTTCCCGTTCAAAAAGCGCGCAGACGAACAAAAAAGGACAGATGACCTACGGCTTATGTTACTCCTTTTATATTATGCTTCTGTGAGTGTCCAGACTCTTGAATGAGGTGTGGTAACATGTTCCAGGAATTGATAACTCGGTGTAAAAACTTGTATGTTACGGGCACTTGGTTGTTGCTGAGGCCTCCCGGCATTTTTACGTGGTTTTAAGATCATGACTTACTGTCACACCAAGATCCTTGTGAGATCAGACAACGGGTACAGACACTTCCCCTATGCTATGCCTATTAACCTTTATATACCAAAAGTGCATGTAGACACTTTGCCACGTTGATAAGTATCAACCACTCTTTAGACCAGTTAATCACATTATTTAAGTCTGCCTGGAGTGCGCATGTCTCTACTTCTCCAGTTATTACTCGCCAGATTTTTATATCGTCAGCGTATAATAAAACTGGGGACTGTACTATACTTGGGAGATAATTTAGATACATTATAAAAAGTAAATAACCTAGGACAGAACTATGAGGTACTCCACTAAGCAATGGTCTCCAGGTGGAGCACTTGGAGTTTATTCTTGCATTCTCTCTACGACCTACCAGGAAATCCTTAAGCTA